TATTGCCAGGACATTTGACTGCGGAACAGGAAAAGGGTCTGAAGACAAACAAAGATGTTATCTGCGGGCAGATATGGCAGGAGCTGTTCCCAGACGAGTCTACTGTTGGTGGTGCTGGTCAAGTAAAGACTAAGATTTGCTGGCTCACTGAACAATACAACAACATCAAGAAGACCATCTCACAGCAGACCGGTGCTGGAGTACTTCTTCAAGACATGGATCACAACAGCTCGGTAAGTACAACTTAGTTGATTCATGTTAAGTGTGCCAATGTTCTTATACTTTATATCTCTGTCTATGCTTCTTTATCAACTTGCAGGACTATGCCACATGTGAATCGATTGCTCGAAGCCACCCTTGGTTTGAGCACTGGCACAAGATGATGACCAACCGTGCACAGACTGGTCCAGTTGTTCTTCTCACTGGTCACCCATATGATGCCACCCCTGCCTCCTCTCAGAATAACTCGGTTGATGCTGATGTGAACATGGATGATGCCAGCGATGCTCACTACCCTCAGTGATGCAACATTCCTGGCATGGAATCCATTCTTGAGGAGTCGCAAAATGATCCCATTGGAGCAAGAGTTATCTCATCTTTTTCTTCTTCGGTTGCAGCCACCCCAGCTGCTGCTTCATCTTCATCCCGCTTGCCCTTCTCTTCCTCATCCAACCCGTCTTCGATTGGCCCCACCCCCTTCACCATTACCCCTATAGACACTCCAACCTGCCAGCACTCATCCAGCACCACTTTTGAGGCTGATGAAGTGGACGATGGTGATGGTGACTCTGTTTACCATTCTCCAGCCACAGGTACAACACCCAAGAAGTCTCAACCCTTCACTTCCAAGAGCAAGTGAGAAGAGCTGTCAGAAATTGTGCAGGCCTGCACCCAAGACATGCTTCAGGCATGAATCAAGGTTGAGGAGGAATGCACGAAGAGGGAGGAAATGCACATTCAATTTGCCAGGGAAGAAAGTGAGAGACAAGAGCACATGTGAACTGAAGAGCGTGGTTGGCTCATGGAGATGGTGCAGATGATGAACCCTAATCTACCCTTTGGCAACATTGCTGGAAGTAGTCAAAGCAATCTTGATCTTGACCCACTGGTTCTTGCCATGGATCAGCAGGACAATAGCGATTCAGCTCGTGAGTAGACCATTTGGCAAGAATGGTGTTCCTTTTGAGTTCTCCAAGTTCTGTTCCTGTGTTTCCGACTTGTTGTACCATTGCTCTCTGTAAAGCTAGCTCTCAATATGTATGACTAGCATACCCCATACCCAGTCTTCCATGTAATCTCTCAAATGTAGATTGCTTCAATGTGATGAATTGTTCCACATACAAGATGCTGATCGGTGTAGCCCCGGTTCCGAGCATGCATGTTGCACAGAAATCAGCTGCGCAGAACCCAGCTGCGCAGAACTCAGCTGCATTGTGTTTGTAGCTTTGGACTCTCTTTTGGACCACATCATCCTCTCCTATTTCTGGCCCTCTACTTCAACCATGGTGTGCACTTCTGACAAACAGCACCTCCTGGATGACATTGAGACCACCATCATGCACTCATTGATGGTGGAATCCAAGATGCAACTTGATCTGATGGATGTCGATGCCACTTGGCACCCTAATGATGACCTTGAAGATTCTGATGATGACATGTTTGATCATGCTATCTCATTTGCACTCATCAGGACTTATGACATCATCAGCCAGTCTCGATACACAGTTGAACGCCTTCAACTGCTGCAACGAAAGGATCCCCTCATCAACATGCTTGATCGATATGCTGTCATCAACTGCAAGCTCTTTCGAGGGGCTGTTCGCATGACCCCAGATGCATTCCAAGCTCTCACTTACAGACTCAGCACAACCAATGCCTTCAGATCAATATCAAGCTTTTGGCATGTTCAGCAGCAAGTGGCAGTTGGTCTATATCGGCTTGGACGGTCAGGAAATGATGGTGGAGTTCGTGATGTTGCATTTGCCTGCGGTTGCAGTTGGGGCTCAGTTCATGTGTGGACAGATAGGACTATTGCAGGCCTATATGAGCTGAACAGCGAGGTAGTAACCTTTGCAACTGAAGATGAGCATGCTAAGGCAAAAGCATGGGTTGCTGATAAGAGTGGAGTCGAGGAATGGTCTAGAGGATGGTTGGTGGTAGATGGTACACACATCAATCTTGCTTGGAAGCCAGCACTCAATGCTTGCGAGCATTACTCATACAAGGGTGATTATACATTCAACATTGCCCTTGTCTTCCTCCCTCATTCCTTGCGCATTGTCGAGTCGGTGGTTGGACATCCTGGGTCATCACATGATGTGCGAGTCTGGGCTTCAGGCAGTGGTATTGTTGCGAAGCCTCATTTGCATCTTGATGAAGGCGAGTTTGTCTGGGTTGATGCTGGTTATGGCTACTCCAGCTACACAGTTGGACCGTACAGCAACACTGCAGCTGCAAAGAGCAGAGATCTCCACTACTTCAACTATTCACTCTCCCACATTCGTGTCAAGGCTGAACATGGCATTGCCTACCTCAAGAACTGCTTCCAATGTCTCATGGGATTTCAAGGCAACCTGTATCAAGAAGAGGACCACGAGAAAGCTGCACATATGGTCCAGGCTTGTATCATTGCACATACATTCGCAAGCCATTATGATCGACCAGATGAGGTGGCAGAATACCTTAAGGCATCAGAAACTCTATCTGAAGCTGAGGTGCTGGAGACCATGTCAGGGATGGAAGCATATCAGCAGGCTACCAAAGATGCAAGGATACAACAAAGGGAAAACCAGCAGCAATACGAACAGGAACAGGCTGCTGCCATGGAGGGCATGTCTCAGAACTGAGTCCAGAAGTTCAGGCAGGAGAAAGCACTGGATCTTAGGGAGGAGATGCTCACTGCACTCTTTGCTTCTCATGGCCACCCTTTTGAGGACACAACAGCAGAATCTCAAAGGATGGGAATGACAACATTGGCCTTTGCCGAATGGCAGGAGAGACAAAACTGACAGCATGAGGCTTGCAGAAGACAGCGATCAGAACAGGTGTGATGTAAGCTATTTGCTTTAGCTTTTCAATCAAAGGTTTTGGCATTGTTCAGTATAGTGTTCAACAACATCTGATATGATCACTTTGATCTTGACCTGGTGTAGGGAATCAGAGATTGTTTTTACCAGGCGAGTCAAGTGAAACTCCAAGATGCACATGTCACAGGCCTGTGCAGTTTCTTGGGGCATCAAAAATTGGGCCCAAACATATTTTCAAAGTATTGTGTTTTCAAAACTCAGAGATAACTGAAACCCCCTACTGAGACTAAGGAGGAAAACACCAAGGCTTGTCACAACACACCTAGTTCACAGGGTGTGGATAGCCAATCTCACAAACAAACCAAAGGTATATATAACCTCACATTACTGTAGTCTTAGTCTATAGGAATCTAAGTGTTGCATCTACCATACACCAGTATGAAAGGAGCTAGAATGTGGCCTGGCCGAAGAGGTGTATCACTTAACTTCAACTGTATCAGACCGAACACCTCGGCTCTTCGACAACCGTATCAGCGAGAGATAAGGGTCGGCAGGAGGTAAGGGTCAGGAGGAGATAAGCACCTGGACTCTCTTGCTGTATGGATTTTTTGCACTGTCTCATTATGTTCAGACTCCTCCTCCGCTCCAACATGTCACTGTAATCGTTCACAAGCTAAGACGTACAGAAACACCCGAGTCAGTTAGTTCGCTCTCCATCAAATCCTCTATCTGTTTGTAAATACAGATCACCGTCGACATACGTTATACTACCGCGTCCTACCTTGCTGTTAGAAGGGGGCGGACTTAAGTGGTAGGACACGGTTCGATTGCGTACGACAACGACGAACGGTAAGTACAGATGGATGGTGTATATCTACAGTAGAGGCGACTGAGTATCGCCTCTTATATATCTATGCTACGAAGCAGAGCATGGTGTGAAACTACAACGGAAACACTATCTCCTCCCTCCTCCGGCACCTACTAGCCGGTATTCTGGGGCTCTACCAGGCGACCGGCCTGACGCGAGCCGGTTTACCCGTAGCCTTGTAACACTTACGAGTCTATCATTCGCTCCAACAGAAAGGTGGCTATTGGCTCGAAGCCACCAGAGATAAGCTTGCTCCCACCTTCCGTTAGCCTTCGACCCTATGGTTCACTCTTCTGGCGGCTCAGCATAGCTAGAATGCTCTCTTCTTCTCTGAACTTAAAGGTCGGCAGCGCTTAGACAGTTGCATGCGCTCTGGTCGCTCCTGACTTCTGTGAGGAAGCATACACCGGCAACATGGATCCAAAAGGGAGGGGGGTTCCCTCAGCCGTTCCTTACTGTGCTTCTTCTTGGACTAGGTTCTTCTGTACTCGGATAATATGAAACAGAAGGCATTCCGAAGCTTGTCAGAATCGACCTCGGGCGTGTCCATCGTCGTCGTGGGAAAAGTCAACCATCACACAATGCTCTCGAAACAGCGACACAGACTCGCTTCCTTCCTTCCCTGCAGGTGCATGTGATAAATGAACTAGTCTTTATTCTGAGCCAACGCGAAGCATTCTGGGCGAGATCATTGCCCTCTTAGTACGAGGCTCTATCCTCTTTGGCCCCCACCATAGCTCGAGCTCGAGCCTACTAGCCTTAGAAGCTATGTCCTTCTTTGTGCTCGAAGCTGCGGTGAAAGGCGCTCGTAAAAAAAAAGATTGCGGCATGAGGATGCTGTGGAAGAGGGACAACAGCGCCGAAGCTCAGAACCAGGGTTGCATGGACGTCGGGGCTAATTGATATCTTGCTGAGAACAATCGCCTCACTGTTGCTGCTCTTTGGCTTGATGTGTCCCGCTGTTGCTCTGACTTTGTCGATAATCCAGTGTTACGGATCTCATTTATACCGTTACATCCTCCCAGATACGCTTCCCCCGCACCTTGTCAGCGGACCCGCCATACAGTTCAGCAGCCTTCATCTGGACCCGCCTTTCTTCATTCACAATGTTTGCCGCCTCATGGACAGACGATGTCGAGAGCGTTAGGACACACGACTCTTCAATGACGGCCATCAATCCTCCTCTCCACCATCACCTCTCTGTTGGTGATAGACCGCAGCGACCACTGGTTCGATACATCTCAGACCCTCACTTGGCAACACTTCCAGCTGGAATGCAAAAGTCACACTTGACACAATCAGCGCCTTCAAAGCAGCCAGCAACCACAGTTCAGCACGATCGCAACTCGTCCTCTATGTCGGATGCTCATCTAGGCCTCATGTTTCCAACGCCGAGCCCACGTAAGCCCCAAAGTGGTGCAATAAACCTCAATTCTGGGCTAGAAATGCTAGACCTGCCCGGCGGGGCAGCAGAAGATGCTTTGGAGGCCGCATGGGAGGATGGAAGCTGTATTGACGCCTCTAGTCCTCGCATAGAGTCTACCGAGCGAATGGATACGATGAAACAAGACAGGTTCGAGGTAGAAGCACTGCGGAGACAAGTTGAGCAACTGCGAATGGCATTGCAACTGCAAAGTAAGCAGCGAGAACTAGAGATGAGGTTGGAGCAACAGCAGCAGAACCAGCAGCACCAGTTGCTGAGACGGCGACCATCTCAGATGCAGCAAGCTAAAATGACGATGGGCTACCATCCACAGGACGAGTGGTCCGCCCAACCGCCGACGATGAGGTCGTTTCCACAGAGAACAGGGATACCGAATCCAGCATCTCTGCGCTCAACAGCATTGCTCAACCCAGCACATTCAGCAGCAGCTGCATCACTCCTCCTCAACACACCTCTCCCACCTACTCCTCAAGAGATCTATCAGCATGCATCAGAAGCAAGCCCAGGCTACAACGATCACCTACACCCAACACAATACCAATACCCGGATGTCCGACGTCGACAAAGCATTCTCTCCCAATCCCAATCCTCCTATTCTCCTTCCCTTTCCGCAAGCCAAATACTTTTCGAATCTGTAGCAGCAAGAGAAGAGGAAGAAAAGAAAAACGATGATCTCAACAGAAAAATCGACGCTCTTCAACACATGATCCAAGCTCTCACCCACAATTCTGCTCCAGCAAGCACCGAGAAAGGAAGCTGGGAAGGATCAGATCAAGCTTCTGCTTTTCGATACAACCCAACCACTGCTAGACCGGGGTGGGCATCTTCAGGGGCGATCAGGACGAATCCTACTGTGACTTCTTCTGCGCCCTCCATCACCGCCAACACCGCTGCACCCTCAGCTAATGGGATGGGGAAAGGAAAGAAAGGCGGAAAGCTAGCCTCAGTGTTCACTTTAGGCTTCAGTAAGAGTGGAAGCAGTACGGATGACGCCACTGCCGGATTGAGGGAGGATGTAGGAAGGGTAAGTTGGAGTAGGAAACGAACAGAGAAAGTTTCGGTGCCAAAGGTCAAAGTTCGTCAAGGTCCAGGTCGAGGGAGGATGGTGATCAAAGAGACGAGTTAAACAGTCGTTGCATTGCAACCAGAAGTTGCTTTTTCGCATAACATGTCTCATACAATAGTGTGGATTGTTATTGAGGCTGAGAGAGACGAGCCTGAATCTCGGCATAGGTCTTATCTTGTTCGTATGCGAATTGGTCTGTGGCAGGACGGTTGGGTGCTTCGCCAGCCATCCATCCTCCTTCAGGGATGCCGGTGGAGTAGCGTGGTGGTGCCCAACCACTTTCATCGCGCTTACTGAATCTGGACTCTGCTCCTTTCTCCTCCTGCTTCCCTCGGTCCGGATGATGGGTGAGGACACCTGGCTCAGCACCAAATCCACCTGGCAGCTGCAGTGGTATAGTATGGAAAGCATTTAACGCACTCCTATAAGCAGCATCCAATCCTTCTCTCACCACCCATCTTCGACCCTTCAACCATCTTTGCACCCTGTTCTTATCCTTCCTCTCCAGCTCTTCGGCATCTCTCAGATTAATCGCATCATCCTGCACCGTAACATCACCCGCACCTTCCAGCGACAGAACTGACCATCCAATCACCATCATCCCTGGTGGTCTTTGCTCGCCGCTGTTCTCCAATGCCTCCACAATCCCATGCAACGTACTAGCTACCATACGCTGATCGGACGAACTCGCGCGTTCAATAATAGCAATCGGCGTGTAGGGCGGGAACACGGGACCTTCTCTATCTCCGATACTATCCTCTTCACCTTCACCAGAGATAGATTGTTTAGCACCAGCCGTGAGCGTTGCTACCACTGCCTTCAACCTCGCCACTCCCATCAGCACAATCAGCGTTCGGCCTCGATGGTAACCTGGAAGCTTGACCTTTTTGCCTCCCTTGCCTACGCCCGTACATAGTACTAGGGAGTCGGCAGCACCTCGTTGGGTCACTGGAATACCCAACATTGCTGGTGCTGCAATGCTACTGCTAATTCCGGGAACCACTGTACATTCGATCCCAGCTTTGCGGAATGCTAGCACTTCCTCCCCTCCACGACCGTATACGAAGGGATCGCCCTGCTTGAGTCGGACTACGGTCTTTCCTTCCTCGAGAGCAGCACGAAGAGCTTTGGCGATGAGCTCGGATTGGGCGCCTTCTGCGTTGCCAGGGAACTTTTTGGCGATCTCGAGTGGAGTGGTTGAAGGGATGAGTTTGAGGATCGAAGCAGGGACGAGTTTGTCGGAGAGAATGAGATGAGTGGAGGGGGAAGTGAGGAGTTTGTAGGCAAGCGTGGTGAGGAGACCTGGATGACCAGGGCCTGAACCGAGGAGGTAGATGTGACCGCGGGAAGAGGCGGACAGGGGTGGCGGACGGATGTCGAGTGAGTGCTGGGATCTTGCTCTCTGGGCTGCTGCTAATGGAGCGGGTGGCACGGCTGTCGATGGATTCTGATTCGCACGACTTGCAGTGGAGCGACCTCTTGAATCCGCTACATCGCTCACGTCTGCTGCGGCGGCAGAGGCAACCGGCTGCTGTTGCTCTTCACCATATGCCCTCAAAGCATCTTTCATCTGTTGCTCCGCCAAATTACCCAAATATTCGATCGGCCAATACTCGCTGATCTGGGCAACCCATCTCATTCTCCTCTTCGTCCGTTGCTCTGCTTCCTGCAATTGCTGCTCGTGTTTCGCCTGCACTTCCGCTTGAAGCTGGCTGAGCTTCGCTTTGGCACCAACGCTTTCGAGCGGATTCTTGGGAACGAGTTGCGGCACGGGGCTGTTGAGCGGTGTAGTGTCAAATGAGAGATCTTCTTCTTCCACCTCTGCTGTTCCGTCCTTTCCCATTCGAGTAGGTTTGAGTCGCTTGAGGGGTGAGGCTTTTGCAATGGAGTCGTGGTGATGTTCACCTTGACGTTTGGCTAGGTCTCGCATGAGACCGACTTTTTCAACTGCGTCACCGACGTTGTGGGGTAGTGCGGAGACGATTTCTCGACGAATGCGGCCTGCTAGTCTACAGCCGCGGCCGTTGGTTGTTACAGCGATTTGAAGCGATGATAGTAATGGTTGTGGCGTGTGAGAGGAAGAGTGATTGGAGAGGGAGGTGATTGGGTTTGTGCAGGGGAAACGGTAGTTTGCGGGGAAGGAAAAGTCACATAACGCTGGCTTGTCGGCTACGTTGATCGGCATGCGTCTTTTTCTGCACAGGCGGGAGATGATTTCTGCTCGATCATACCAAGTGAGCGGAGCTGGAATGTCGAGAAGCTCGTTGTCGCCATTGGAGCCGTCTGGATTAGGTGCAAGCTGCTTTACTGCAGACGTTTGCGGATCGTCCCCGGAGTGAAGAGTGTCGGTTATACAGACTGCAAAGATATCATTCGTTTCGCCATCATATGTGTCAAGAAGACAGTTCCACACCTGCTCGACTGACTGGCTGGTGGAGAATGAATTGCTGTCGATGGAGTGATACTTGACCTGACCTGATGCTATGCGGTGTTGGATCTCAGCGCAGGGCTGGGTCGAGCTGGAGGACTCGATAGGCGCAACGCTGATGACTACGGGCTTAATTCCAGCTTCGAGGCAAGCGAAGCATCTTGATGCAGCAAGCTTGCCTGTCCCGAGCACTAGTACAAGCTTGCCTGCAGGTGGTCGATGGGAAAGGAGAAGACTTGCTGTTGGCTTGGGTTCTGGCAAGTGCAGCGATGTGGAAGCAACAGCTGCTGCTCCGCTTGTCGACATGCTTGCGATTGCAACCACGCCAGGATTTGTGTCGGGGCGCCAAGGTTGCAGCTAGCGATGGATGGGGATCGTGGTGGAAAGAGGGAGAGAGGGCAGGTGTGGGGGTCTCGTGTACGACTCAAGAAGACAACAATCACCAAATCCATAAAATCGAGTCTTATTTTATTTTTATTTTTTTTAATTCCTGGCATAAGCGGCGATAAGATAGGCTCCAGGGCCGAGACCTCGGGAGTTTTTGCGGATTACTAATCAAGCCGAGTTCTTGCTCGTACGACCACGGTCCACCCCCCCCCCCCAGCTGTTTCTTAGTTGCTTCAATGGACGAGACCTGGATGAAACTCCCGTGCCACTTGCTAAGATCTCACCTGATCAGCTGTCATCGCACTTGACCATACTATTGGATCGGAAGCATGAAAGTTGATATGCCTATTCGGTACAGAGCGGTGAAGAATCGAGATAGTGGTACAATGTGTAGCTATGATGGCCTAGAATGATTCTATAAATAACCGAAGCGCATGGTTCGCTCAGAGGTGCACTTGCCTCGGAGCAGTCAAGTCCCGAAAGGGAGTGCTGGATTGATGTTGAAAATAGTTGCTATACTCGTCTTGAATCACTGGAGAACGTCTTGCTCGAGGCGAGGCGGCTGCGGCAAGTCGGTGGACAGCAGAGGTACTCTGGTGTGCTGGCAGCTTAGACCTTGTATCCAAGCTTGGCCATGCATTCGCGATGCGCCTTGACAAGGTCTTGGCACTTTCTGGCCGACTCTCCATGCTCTTCAACGCTGTGACCGAACTTGAAGAAGCACTCGTCTCGAGCTGCTTTGGCCTCTGGGCATGCGCAGCACCTGTTGTCGTGCAACAACACAATTAGTGCCTTAGCGAATCAGGGTCAGTATGATCGGTTTACGAAGCGTGAAACGTTTCAATCCAGGGCGATGGTTGTACTCACGGCTTGATGCCTTCTGGGTTGAGCTCGGTGACGAACTTGTTCGCCTTCTGTGGTGCTGTGTTCGACATCTTGCCTCCGCACAAGGGAAGGGCCAATGCAGGTGTTGATAGTGGTGGGGAGAATGTAAGGCTAGTGGTAGGAAAAGGACAAGGAAGGGCGATGGCGATGCTATTGTTGTGTGTGCAGGATTGACTCGGAAGAAGCAGCAATCCCCTCCTCGCCGTCTGCTGTGGCGGAATTTTCCATTGCCGGTTCGAGAGTTCCAGATTGAGTAAACGCTGCGCCAAGAATCATATTATTCTTGCTAAAGTCCGTCGTTGTTGTTCCTCTTCCGACATCCGATTCTCCACAGCATAGCCGGCCTTTTCCATTAGTAGCAGTTGGGCGTTGGCATGTTTTTGAGAGAAATGTAACATGTATTGCTTACTAATGATGAGTAACCCATTCTCGGGTCGCCGGTTGATGAGCTCATGCTTATTCATCGCACAGACGCGTCACGTGGATAATTATTATTTTTTCTTTCTTTTTTTCCCCAAATTGCCCAGTCCGAAAAGCGAGTTGGTCGTTGACAATGTCGTCGCTCCCGAACCACCACCATCTCCACCTCTCACCACATACTCCCTTACCAGTTCGTCGTTGGTCGTAGGTAAGTATCTCAAAGATGACAGCCCGATTACAGAACTCAGCCTTTCCATCTTCTCTCGCTCAGTTGGCTCGTTTTGCATTTCTTGGCGTGTCAGTTTGTGTGTGTGAGACACCAAGCTCAGCTGACACCTTGCTCATCTTGGCCTAATCATCACCAAGCAACCTAGTCAACAGGTGTATTTGGTCCATATACCAAGTCGAGCTAGAGCAGCATCTATTGGACTGGAAGGTGGTTTGGTAGCAAACACCTTTTTCTTTCCATCACCCGTTGATGCCTTTGGTCACTCGATCTCTCCTTTCTGGCTTGTCAGTGCATCCTTACACCAAGTCCAACTTCCCCACTGCCTTGCCATCTCTCACCTCCTCTAGATCTTCTATCTCTACACTAGCCCAGCAGCCTACACCTACTTTATCGCAGCCCAACGTGCGTCTTCCTTCGGCTCCTTTCGCCTCGACATTGGCCATCGGTGCACTTGCTGTCTACCTGGCTAGAACGCCCATCCAACGCACCTTCACCACCTCTCTCCGCCAGACTGCAGCGATCATGCCAGCTGAAGGCGCCGCATCTTCCTATTCAGGCCTCGTGAACGGCAACCTGCCTTCCGCATATGGCAACTTCGACCTCGTCACTCGCCACGATCTCGATTATGCTCCCGGCATGTCAGTCGAAAAATGGAAGTCGCGCAAGACTGGCCTCACCGTTCTATGGGCCAACTTCGATTCACCCCTTCTCAACTGCTACATGACTCTTGCATCCGAGATCTTTGAGGATTCTGGTGTGCCACACACGCTTGAGCATCTCATCTTCCTTGGTTCCGACCTTTACCCCTTCAAAGGTGTTCTCGACACTCTTGCCAACCGCGCTTTCGCCAGTGGCACCAACGCTTGGACCGCCAACGATCACACCACATACACCCTCACCACTGCCGGCTCTGATGGATTCTTGCGCATGCTCCCTGTCTACCTCGACCACGTCTTTTTCCCAACTTTGACGAAACAAGGTTTCGTGACAGAGGTCTACCACGTCAACGGCAAGGGTCAAGATGCCGGTGTAGTGTTCAGCGAGATGCAAGGACGTGAAAACTCGCCTGCTGATTTGATGGAGCTCAAGTCTCAGCGTATGCTCTACCCCACATCATCTGCTTACCGTTCCGAAACCGGTGGACTTATGTCGGCATTGCGTGTTCTCAACATCGACAAGATCCGCGATTACCACCACCAGTACTACGCTCCTCACAATGCTGCCCTCGTCGTATGTGGACCTCTCGCACGTTCCGATCTGCTCGACTCGCTGGCTCCTGTCGAAGAGCGTCTCATCACCAAGCGTGATGCTCAGCCTCAAGGCCCAAGAGGGTGGAAACGACCTTTTGTGGAGACAGACTCTGCTGTCCCGCCCACCATCGATGGGTCTAAGACAGAGCAGCCAGGTCTCGACCCAGCCGATCCACCCGCAGAGGGTTCTCAGCTAGATCCCAAACGTAGACGTGCTTTCGTTGACTTTCCCGAGAAGGACGAAAGCGTTGGTGAGATTCAGATCTCTTGGGTCGGTCCCAAATTTCAAGACTGGATGACGTGCGAAGCGGTTAACATCCTCAGCACTTATCTTACGGATTCGCCCGTCTCGGCGATTCAAAAGGCATTTGTGGAGCGCGATGATCCACTCTGCACGGATGCCTATATTGGTGCGACTGACAAGGCTGGTGCTACCACGCTTTCGGCCTATTTCTCTTCGGTCCCTACTGAGCAGCTGGACAAGCTCGATCAGCAGCTAATCGATCTTCTGGCCAATATCGTACAGGAGGGTATCGATATGGAGAGGATGCGCATGGTTATTAAGCGCGACAAGCTCAAGGTTCTTTCTCAGCTAGAGACTAAGCCTGCTGATTCTTTCGCTGATTTGCTTATTACTGATTTCCTCTACGGCAAGCGAACTGGTGAGGACCTTCACACGGCATTGGAGGACATGAAGAGGTACGATGAGCTGTTGACTTGGAAGAACGAACAGTGGACAGAGTTGTTGCAAAAGTACTTTGTTGATAATGCACGCCTCGTTGTAGTTGGTCGACCGTCTTTGGCGCTGTCGAATAAGCTCAAGGCCGACACGAAGACACTAGAGGAGAAGACAAGGAAGGAGTTGGGCGAGGCAGGGTTAAAGAACTTGGAAGAGCAATTGGAAGAGGCGAAGAAGGAAAACGACAAACCGATTCCAGATGAGATGTTGAAGCAGTTCAAGATCCCACGCACTGACAGTATCAAGTGGATCCCTGTGGGGACTGCTCAGTCCCTCCCTACCATCACCGCTTCCTCTTCTTCCGCTGGTGCGAAGGGAGAAGCGACGACAGCGTACGGAATCAAAGTGGACACAAAAGCCAACGAGCTCGATTCACAGATCCAGAAGCACGTCGATGCGGATCCTGCCTCGCTGCCATACTTTGTGCAGTTCGATCATGTTTCTTCTGCTTTCGTTTCGATTTCGTTGGTATTTGGCACGACGGATCTTCCAAAGGAGCTGCGCTCGCAAATGCAGCTCTATCTCTCGGTTTTCTTCTCTCTCCCCATCATTCGACAGGACTCGACTCAGGCTTCGCTGACCTACGAACAAGTAGTAAAAGGCCTCGACGAAGACACTTTGGAGTACGACGTGTCGCTCGGCACGGGCGGATTCGGCGAACTTGTTTGTGCAGAACTCAAACTCGAACGTGCCAATTACGAAAAGGGGATTGCTTGGTTGCGCGATCTCCTCTGGGGCTCTCAATTTGCGGTTGACAGATTGAAGGTTTCGATCAGCAAAATCATCCAGAGCTTACCGGAGCAGAAGAGGAATGGTCGAGCCATTGCCTCTGCTTTGAGTCGAAGTCTTACACACGACGGGGATAAGTCGACGAATCTCGCGAATAGTGTTCTTCAGCTGGTACAGACGATGCCTGCGTTGCAGGAGAAGCTCAACTCGAACCCGGAGCAGGTTGTGGAGGACTTTGAGATGATTCGTTCCGCCTTGCTTCGACCGGAAAATCTGCGAGTGTCGGTAGCGGGAGATATTCTGGCTTTGCCTAAACCGAAGAGTTCTTGGGCTGAACACTTTACGCACTCTTCGTGGAGTGAGGAGCCGGTGAAGCAGACGTTGCCCGTGCCGTGGAGTAAAGATATGCTGACACTGCTAGGAAAGACTCCGAGCAAGAAGGGATTGATTACAGCTTTGCCTACTGTGGAGAGTAGTTATTCCTATTTCACTACTAAGGGTATTTCGTCGTACACGCACCCAGATGCTCCCGCGCTCATCACCACGATCACCATCCTCAACGCTATGGAGTCTTTCCTTTGGCGATACATCCGAGGTGCAGGTCTAGCTTACGGGGCGAGCATTGTCAGCAACCCCGAATCGCAATTGATTCACTTCAGTCTCTACCGCTCCCCTGACTCGGCCAAAGCCTTTATCGAGGCTAGGAAGGTGATTCAAGCTCTTTGCGGTCAATCAGGAGAACTACAACTCGAAATCGACTCTACCACCCTCGAAAGTGCCAAATCTTCTTTGCACTTCAACATCGCCGAAGCTGAAGGAACGCTTTCTGGTGCCGCTCAAGAGTCGTTCTTTGATCAGGTACTTAAGAATGCACCGAAGAACAGGGGTAAAGTGTTGTTGAAGGCTGTGCAAGAGGTGACTTTGGAAGATGTTAAGAAGAGTTTAGGCGAGTATATTCTGCCATTGTTCGATCCGGAAAGGAGTTTAGCTGCTGTAGTTGCGCCGCAGAGTAAAATGGAGGAGATTGAGAAGCAGTTGGAAGAGGTAGGGTACAAGATGGAGCGGGTGGAAATCGATTTAGGGAAGGACGATGATGGTGAGGAGAGTGAGAGTGGGAGTGAGGATGGGAGCGAGGATGGGAGTGAGGATGGGAGCGAGGATGGGAGCGAGGAGGAGAGCGAGGAGGAGAGTGGCAGTGAGAGTGAGGATGAGGGTCTGCGCTAGACGCTAAACATCTACAACCCGAACTCATAGATTAGTATCAGACACTATCCCAATATTCGCATATTCTCATTGCATCGTTCGAGATTTGGTCTGTGATGTCTATATGATGCCAAGTTTGAGTCTTTCACCTCTCCAAAAGAGTCTGAGTGGGGAAGGAGGCCTGGAATGAGCGCTTTCAGAGTCTTGCACTCAAAACGCAACAAAGCATCTGTTGGCTTCAACAGATCGCAGGATCTTTCCGTCAGACTACTATCTTGGTGACAGTCTGCTTGGCCACAATTCTCTCCCCGCAGTCTATCAGACAGGATTGATTCTGGTGCTCGCATATAGACCATTCATCCAAAAATGCATCTGCTCTTCGTTGGTTGGACGGACGGCATGGTATTAAACAGAAGAGTTTGTTTTCAATGGTTGCTTAGATTTCAAAAGAGTCCGACGAGGATCAACTCCTGTTCAGATTTAAATGAAGAGCAAAGCCAAAGTGCTAATTGCGGTAGCACCCATAACCACGTAGGCGGTAGAATAGACACCCTTAAGAGTCAAAGCGTAACCCCAGTCCCAAGCCAAGTGACGCAAACCGTTGAAGCTGTGGAAAGTGAAAGCCAGCGCAAGGGGAAGCTTGACTGCCGTCTTGAACCAGACTGGGAGTGTGGAAACAAAGTCGACGAGAGAGGTTGTGGAGAGAGCGTTGACTGAGGAGCCGCTGAAGAGAGGGTATCCTACATATGCTGAGAAGTAGGCATACATCACTGTTGCGAGCGTAGCGAGCGGAGCAAAGGCAGTGAGCATGAGGAGTATGGTGAGTCAGATTAGCAAAGTGTGCGAGCGAAGCGAGCGTATTTTGCTCACTCAACAGCGTGCGCGTGAAGCAAGGCGCAGCAAGCAAAGCAAGCAAAGCAAGCAAAGCAAGCAAAGCAAGCGAAACAAGCGAAACAAGCGAAGCGAACTAAGGAGTGGATTATCTTTAGAAGAGGGGGTTTGGGGGGGAATACTTACAGACAGAAAGACCGGTACCAGTGATACGGTTGATAATGGACAAATACCAAGTGATTTGAGGTTGGTAGATGGTGAAATGAGGGCTGGATGGCCTCTTTGCTCTCTGCTCATTGAGCAAGTCGAGATTCTCCTGTTGAGAGAGCTTAGTAGTGGGTGCTTTAGCTGTAGTTGCAGCACCTCGAACGGCAGACATTGGAGGAGCACGGAATGCAATAGGTGCTGCAACGGCAGTTCGCAAACCAAGACGAGCCATCGAAAGCGCAGACCCGCGGGCCAGGTTAAGCGTGAGGAGTGGTCGAGTAGCCAACATGTTCGATAAGTGATGAGGTGAAGAGGTGATGGTCGTGAATGATGTTGAATTGCAGCCGAAAGAGAGCGCGCGGAAAAGACCGGCTTTTTTGGATCGCGAGCCAAGTTAACGTGTGTGTGCATTTCGTCCCCTGCTTCCGATTTGTAATCGGACACCTTACTATCTCGCACGATACAAACCACACCAACTTATCTCGCACGATACAAACCACACCAACTTATCTCGCACGATACAAACCACACCAACTTACCTCGTCCATCCTTGGCATACATTGGTTCCAAAACGAACACTTCACTACCTTGTGTGCATGCTAGCCCTCACTTTGAGCGGCAACGGTTCATGGCACACAAGCACCGGAACACAACCGCATCGTCTGAGGACCAAAACAATCAAATCTCTCTCCGCTATGCGTTCACATAGCAGCCAAACAAGTGCCCCATGAATAGATACATAGGGAAGCAAGCATTTTCCTAGCGATTCCGTCACGATGAGCAGGAGCAAGAAACCTGGGGTATCTTATAATAGAGAGGAAGGAGTTTCTTGCGCCGGCGTCGTTAGCATTCCAGTTCGAGAAGAACAGTCGTACTTCAATCGGGCCACTCCTTTTTCAGGAGAAGGACATTAACGAGGACCATGAAGTTGAGCAGCCTGCCTCGATCTGGCCTGATCATTCACCGTCTTCTGGTTCCTCAATTCATCAATGTGCTTCTTGGCCTTCTCGTAGCCTTCCCTAGTGCTCTCGGTGTGACGCTTCTTGATGTCCAAATCCTCGACAGCCTTGGCCAATTCGGCAGCGTACTTCTCATGCTCAGACTTAGCCTTGGAGAGAGCCTTGGCAGCCTTGTGTTCGTAGGTCTGGGCCTTTTGGTGGCGCTTGAGAGCCTGGCTTTCAGCATCGCGCGATTTGCGCAAGAGCTTTTCGGAAGAGGTGGCATCCTTGATAGCACGCTTGAGGGATTTGTGTTCGTTCTTCGCTTCGGTTTTCATGAGCTTGTCCATCTTCTTGATCTCCTTGGGGCTGAGGGCCGATTTAGGAGGTTCGACGGCGGCGACCGAGGTGGGGGCTGGGTGGGCTACGACGGCGGCGGCACCGGCAGGGGTGACAGTGTTGAGTTGCTGCTGGTGGGCGGGCTGAGCTGCAGCTGCGACGGGAGCTTGCTGAGCAGGAGCATCGGGGGAGGTGGCACTGATGAAGCTACCAGGAGCGGTGCCTGGTGCAACAGCACCCCCGCTGATGGCCGAGCCAGTAGCAGAAACGGGGGCACCGGCACCAGCAGCAGGAACAGCAGTGTTGATGTGAGAGGGCTGAAGAGCACGCTCGCCAGGCTGGATGGGAGTAGTCTGAGGCTGGATGAGACCAGCAGCAGCACCGTCAGCAGCAGCATCGGAAACAGCACCGCCGCTAGCAATGGAAGAATCAGCCTGGTGACCAACAGCAGTAGCGCCAGTACCAGCGTTCAAAGCAGAAGTCTCAACAGCCTGACTGTTGGCGATCTGCGAGTGGGTCTGAGGAGTGGTAAGCGCAGGGTCAACAGCGGGAGCAGCACCTCCATCGGTAGCAGTGCCGGGAACAGCACCGTTGAGGTTGGCATCCTGAGCATGGTGGGCGGCCTTGATCTCGGCGACAAGGACCGAACCGTTACGAGCGAGCGAGGTCATCGTGCTTAGGAATTGGTATCAAAAATGGAGGAAGGGGATGTGCTTTGAGGGTATATATCGGATCGTTGATTGATCTGCAAGTGGGGAGCAAGGATGGATGCTGTTTGCAGACAAGATAGAGAATGTAGGATAGAGAATGTAGGGATGATGTGTCTGCGGATGGATGGGCTAGAGGAGTGAGAGAGGCGTTGACGAGGTGATATACAGGAGAGGGCAGACAGGCAAGGCAAGGCAAGGATGGAAGCTTGTCGAAATGCGTTCATCGAGCATGCTGTCAAATGGCGCACTCCTGGGACGCTGCACGGAGAATGGTTCAGAGGACCGACTGAGACCTCGACCGACTATGGTTTCAAGCAAAGGCAGGGAGAGAGTCTGCTCAGCCTACATAGAGCCAAGCGCCAATGCAAACTGTTAACCAAGCAGCAACAGCAGGAAACAGCAGCTACCCACCTTTCCTCGAATGCCTGCTTTCTCTTCCAAATGTCTACAGCGTAAGCTCATCCTGCAAGCGCAAGAAAGATGGCCCGATTCGAGTGGGATGGCAGTTTAGCATGCGATGATTGATCCGATGGCTGAGCAGCAAGAGCAAATCCAAGCTTGAATGCCATGACGTTCCGGTCTCAAGGCAAGGTGACGTCGAGAGATCTGCTAGCTGCATCCATCCAAAATCAGGCTTTTCACACCATTCTCAAGCTTTCCATATCGATTCGGCTTGTTCAACACCGCCTCTGTCGGTAACCTTCCTCCTCGCTGCCAACCAGCTAAGTGACTTAGGACAATGTAGCGAATACTTTGAGGTTGTAAAGCAGCTCTAATCCATTCGGAACTGCGTGCACGGCCAAGCTAAAAATAAACTACGCGGGCTGACACTCGGCCAGTGCGTCTAATGTTACAGACAGCTAGCTCCATATCAACCTCATCCATCCTTCTGAGCCTTGCTACTTCTCCACTTCTCCATAGCAACCCTATACTTCCTCGCCAAATGAGCCCTCTTCTTCGCCCTCCTAGCCCTCTTAGCCAACACCAGTGTCTTCCGATCAAACTTCATCTCGCTTCTCCTCTGATCTCTTTCGAAGCCTTCCTGAATTTCTTTCACTTGTTTCATGAATTCTACCTCGAACCCTTCCCACCCCGCACTCGCCGTTTGCGACCCGCTTAGCCCGTCCAACACCTGCTTCATCAATTGAGCCTCGGATCGTTGAGCAGCCATAATCTCGTTCAATTCCATCCGTCTCTCCGATCGTTTCATCCGGGCTACACGACGACGGTAGATCATCATGCTGACACCGACCGGTTGGACTGGTTTGTAGCGCGGTAGTGGACAGTTGTAGATCGTGGGGGGCAGGAGTGCGCCAGAGTGGTGAGGGATGCGAGGGGGATATTTGAGCTCGTGCAATTTGCTTGCCCAGAACGAGTTCCATGATCGACGGTGATTGCGGCTTGAGAGTCTTTCTTCTTGATCAGCGAGGGTAGACTGAGCGGTAGCGTCGCCGGCAGCAGCAAGCTGAAAGAGATGCAACAGGTCGCGGGCCTGTTGAACGAGTTCAGCTACCTTGGATTGGGAAGTCAGGCCTTTCTTCCTGCGCATCACTATCTTAATCTCTTGTCTGAGTGCCGGACATGATGTTGGGCATTGCTGGAGAAGCGGACGGTAGAGCTGCCAGACCACCAGGTTGCGGTGGGATGGCTCCCGGAAGAAAGGCATCCTCTTCTTAATCGCGCGTCGAGGAAGGTATGCGGCGAATGCAAGAGCGTCCAGGCTGTCGGAGCTGGCTGTTGCTGACGAGCTCTCCGCTGGCTGATGCGTCGGCGCAAACGTGCTGAAGCTTGACTTTGAAGGTATCGCTTGCATGTGATCTGTTGTCGTTCGTGCTCCGCCCCTACGGGCGCTGCTTGTAGCCTTACCGCTTGTAGACGCGATTCGACGACGACGAGCAGGCTTTGACGCTTCGGCTTCTTCTGCGCAGCTTTGAATCCAAGCATCTTCGTCAAACGAAGATTGTGGGGACGAGGGCGAAGACCTCTGGGTGACAGCTGTGCTTCGCGACTTTGTAGACGAGAAAGCTGTGTTCTGACTCGCATCACCTCCAGAAGCAGTCGGTGTACGAGAGATTCGTACAGGAGGAACTGGCGCATCTGCTGGACGTTCTGTAATCTTTGCTCTCGTTTCTAGAGCCCTGATCTCAGCCATTTCCTTCGATGCCTGAGCCTGCAAGAAGTACAGTCCGCGTTCTCCAAGCGAGCGATGGACCTGCGTTGAGGGTACGTATGGCGGGAAAGAGCTCTCCGACGTCTGCCCTTGCTCGTTCTGCTGTATACGCGTAGCTGCATCTTTGTGCAGAGACCCCTTGGTATGCTTCAAAATCTGCTCGATATCCATTGCGACACCCACCGGGATCGCCTCAGGATGAGACGGCGTCACACACGGATCATCCGCCTCCTTCCTTAGCACCTTATCGATATCTACCTGTGCGAAGAAAGCGCATCCCAACGGAAGATCGTCCATCTGCAGCTTGAAAGCAAACATGGCTCTAGTCCAAATGTTGGCGATCTGCAGCGCCAATGCCGCCCTATACCTATCCTTGTCTTTCACCAGATACCTCACCTCGTCATGCACTGACAGCATGAACCTCGCATCGATGTCGTACCGTTTCGACAGCCACTCCATCGCAGTAATCAATAGATGCAGATAGTCGACACCGCTACTCTGCACCACCCAGTTGATACGACTCGGCATGTACTCTTCCGACATTCGACCATTGCCAAAGTCCACTTTGCCCAGAAACTTCTTCGTCAACGCATTCGTCACACCGCAGTCAAGAGCAGGTGTCTTGGGGTTGTCGGACAGAGCAATGTTTTCGAGCTTGTTGAAGACGTAGCTTTCTGTGCCACCGAACCAAAACTTGGCTCCGAAGAACTCGTCCGTGTGGGTGTTCTGACCCTTTGTTGCCATGTAGAGCTCTTTGGCTTTCTGTGTAGCTTCTTCATTGGTGACGCTGGGATTGGCTTTGAGGAGAAGGTGAGTAGCGTGCTTGATTCCGGCACCGTAGATACGCGAATAGTTGAACACTTTGGCTTGGTTTCGGCTGGTACCCAAAATCGAGGCCGTCTTGGAGTGAAGATCCGTACCAAGGGCTTTGGTACCTTCGAGTGTCATCCATCCAACAGCAGTGGCACCGTGAATACCGAATTGAGCGTCACCCATAACACTGCAAATCCAAAGCTCTTCTGAATCGACATCGGCTCCGACAAGACTGTAGCCCGGAGGAGCTTTGACCATCGCTTTGAGTTCCGAACCAACTCGGTTCTTTTTGGCGTTACTGGCGGTAAGCCAGGTATTCTCGATGGCTCGACGTGTGACGGTGCCCATGCTGATGACTTGTGGCAGAATCAGACCTTTTCTTCGATTCGCTTCGCCGTCTTTATCTTGTCTTGCACCAGATGCTCCACTTGGGTACCTCATCGATGTCCCAGCATCACCGTCCCATACTACCATCTGCTTGTGCACACGATCTCGAACCGCAATCCAGTAGCTACACTGAGCATTGAGTTCAAGTGCAGTCTTGGCAGCAGTACGACCGACTTCATCGGGATGCTGACTCTGCAGCGTTCCATCCTCAAAGTACGCAATAAAGGACTTTGCGAATGGACTGCCGACATTGGCTCCTTCACCTTCACTGTGAGGCACCTTGTAGAACGTCGAGTTGCCGAATGCTTTAACAATGAGAGGAGGCGCACTCGAGTCGCTTTTAGACGAGCTCTTTTCCTCTGGTCTGCCCTTCTTGAACTTGACCGCCTTCGTTTCGACAGGTGCTGCGAGGTGCTGGATCAAGCCGTCAGCTGCCATACCAAAGGAGAGGGGTGTTTGTCTCGTCACGAGTTCAGGCACCTCGGATGGGTCATGGCGGAAAATCCAGCCGTGCTCGCGACTGCGATACAGAGGACATCCTCGCCACGAGATCTTGAGTAGGATCGGAGCAATTGCTGAGCGAATGGTGACCTGAAGCTCACCCGTAGCGCTCTTGTACAGATCCCAGTACCATTTTGGCCACCAGGCAGGTTCGGCGATGGTATTGAGTTCGGCTGATGCCATACCATCGGAGTCTGAATCCGGGGTTGCGTCTCTGCTGCCACGCAAAGCAGTCACTTCTTCGAGACGGATGTCTTTTAGCGACCAATCAAGCTGTGCGAGCTGTGCATCTGCTTGTATGTCTTCTTTTGGAAGCTCCTTGACCGCATCGGCTAGTTCGCGTAGCTTGCTGTTGATCTCGTCTGGCGACAAAAAAGATTCACCAGAGACAATAGCGGAGAGGATGTGCGACCCGGTGGGACCTGCGTTGCTTGTTATCTGACTGCCATAGCGCTTCAGTGCTGTCGCAGCAAAGAGATTGCTCCCGACCAGCGCTGTTGCATCTTCAAGCATCCATCCTCTTGGCTCGCTCTTGAGCACTGCTTTCCCGTCAATGCGTAGTCGCAACAGCTGCTGAGCAATAATGCTCTTGGGTGAAAACCCGTCTTTGGTTTTGTTCCGCAAGACACCGTCTCGATACCATGTCGGTACAGAGAAGTCAGAACGTGGCTGGACGACGTTACCGGTGCCGCCTTGCTCAACAGAGACTTTGGCCATTTTGGGCTTCTTAGGTGTCCAATCCAACTGAGAGTACCATGCGTCGTCTTCCCACCAAGCCCTCTTGCGGTCAGGGTCCGGGAACACGGGCTCGTTCTGTTCTGGGTCTGTGATTTGTGACCTCTCTTCCGCAATCTTGGCGGCGAGACTCCATGGGAGGTCCTTTGTGCCTTTGTCTCTTAGCTTCTCTGCGAGATGGACAAGACACTTTTGTACCTGATCGTTGATGCGATTGAATTGTTCATCGCAGCGTCTCTGGTAGTCCATCCATTCGTCATCAACGGGGAGGAAAGTAGAACCGAGACCAAAGACGCCGGCCATTGTCGCAGGGTGAGGACAGCGGGCTGCAAAGTCAGGCCAAGTGCGGCGGAAGATCTCGTGAGTGACCACAACGTCCGAGGCACAGTAGGTGAGAAGATGCTGGACATCTTTCAGAATCTCTTCGCGGGAAGTGCCATTGACAAAGACGTCACGGGCTGATTTGGATACTTTCATCGGAATGCGGTGAAGGCGGGCGACGTCGGCGAGCGAGTTCTTGGAAGTCTCTTCCAGCCATTGTGACTCGGTTGTGGTGGGCGTCGAAAGACGAGAAGCGAGTCCTCCAGCCTCATCATCGCTGAAAGGCATGTCGAGTGCTGAAGGCGATACAGCGACGTCAGTGCCATCTACGCCGGCAGCATCTGAGGAAGGGGCGCTTGAAGACAAGTGGACAGCATCTGCAGCCAAGCCTTCGAGCTTGAGACCTTCGAGCTGGTCCGAGTCGTACTCGAGACCTGATAATGCATTCTCGATGGCTCTTCGTGTCTCTTCCTTGAGCGCCGCCTGATCGAGCAACTTCTTGGCACGCTTCTCTGCCTTTGCCTTGTTATGCTTCATCCATGCTGGGCGTTGTGGAGAGGAAATACCTCGTGTCGCAACATGCAGTGACATGGTGTCAAGCCATCTTGTCGAGCCAAGGTCGAGTGTGTATTCTTCCAGAGTCCTGGCTCGGTCGTAGGAGACGTTGTGACCTACAACGAGACGTGCTCGATCATGCTTGCCGCTGGGTCCAAGTGGGATGAGATGGTTCTTGCAATGATAATCGCCTCGCTGAACAAGCCAAGGTGAGAGCCAACTATACCACGCTTTCGCACCGGCAGCAGTAGCCATTACGGGAAAAGGACCTTCCTGCACCATTGTCTCGACATCAAACACGAGCATATCGTCTTCCTTGTCCGGGTATGGAACACTGACGCCAGGGCCTAGTGCGGAAGCTGAGCCATCTTCTGATCGGAGGATGGAATACTTGGTCCATCCAGGCTCGATGGACCAGTTGACGGGTTTCAAATGGCCAGGAGTGCGTAAGGCTGGGTCGAGCTTGAGCCATTCGCTAGCTTCGAAACGAAAGTCGTCAGCTGCGGTCTCAATTTTGCCCGAGTGTGCGTCTTCGAGCTCTTCTGGTGATTCTGTGAGCTTGAGATCTGCAAGCCGGAAGGCCATACCGAGCCATGGCTGTGCCACTTGTCGGCCTAAGCTCCAAAAGTGTTCTGCGAGGTCTCTGCCTTGCAATGGTGGCAAGTCGAATGAGGTCTGTGGCAAGGTGGACGCATCCGACGCCTTGAGACCATGTTGATTGAGATGATCGCGGCAGATGTTGAGCGCCTTGGTTGCAACGGGTGGTACAGGCTGCATGGTCGGTGGAAAGAGCTGTTCGTGTAGCCGGCGAGGGAGCAGCTGAACACCGACTTGATTGCGTGGAACTTGCAACGGTGCGGCTTTCTGACCCCTCGGCGGCTTGGCTGCTGACTGAGATGTCTTTGCATTCTTTATTGGTGGTGGCTGATGTGGAATCTTGGAAGCCAAAGAGGGATGGTCGACGGGTGCTGCAGCGTGCCATCGTTTCTGTTGATGCGAATGAGATTGTAGAGGCCGAGATGCTGTAGCAGCTGTGATAGAGAGAGGCCGTCCAAGAGCTGCAGCGCTTCGTATTGCCAGGTTTCTATGGGGCAGTGTGCACAGGCACCTGCTCGTGCGCAATATTGTTGACATTGCACAAGCCTTGAAGTAGCAACGTCGGGTGCTGCTTTTCCTTTTGCGCTTAGGCAGCTACCGATGAGAGAGACGGGGAGGAAGCAACTTGAAGGGGAGACATTGCTGCTTTCCGAGAAGCGCCGTGCTAGGTGGCTTGTATATGCTGCTTGAGATTGGCTGTCGCCGGTGCCTGTTGATGGATGTAGAGGTGTGAGAGTCATACGGTTCCGTTCATTGCTCCACCTGACTTATTAATTATTTTTTTGCCGTCCAAAAGCGGACTGAGCGGCTGAGCTGCGGAAATTCGCCGTTCAGGGTCCAATGCTGAGGATGACGATCCAGCAGATCTAATCGGGGATCGGATAGACCCAAGCTGATCGAAGATAGGATAGATCTAATTCAATCGGGAATCAGACAGAGCCGATCGCAGAGAAACATTGGATGCTCTCTCCTCAAGGGGGTATCAAAGTTTTTGCGTTTTTAAAAACCCGGGTTTTTTCAAGAGCACGTTTTTCAAAAAAACGCAAAAGCTTACATAAGCTCCACAAAGGGAAAAAAAAAACCGCATTTTCAAAAACGCAGCTCAGGAGGCACATTTGTGAAAATGCGGTTTTTTTATCACTCCACATCTTCTCTCCTTTCCTCAATCTCATTGCACTTTTGCTCACTCCCTCTTCCTTGTGCTCATTCAACATGACCTCCTCCACTGATGATTCTGGTGACATCTCTGCAGAGTTGTTATGCCAGTCCACTACACCTACAAGCTCTGCAACTCAGACCAAAAGTGTGCCTGCACTGTCTCAATCTGGTTCTACAAGTGCTCCTGACATCCACACTTCCTGTCCAACTCGAGCCTCTAGATCTGCCACAGGCAAGAAGAACTTGACATGGTCAGGTGCCAATGTTCTTCACCTTGTCACGATCCTCTACAACAACAACTCCTACCAGTGCACTCTGCTGCCATCTCGAGAATCGGCTGAGAGCGATCCAGCCCTCAAACTTTGCAAACATCCCATTTTTCGGGATATCTCCAAGATGATTTTCCCAGGCACATCTGTCGATCCCAATTGCATCAAGTCCAAGCTGAGGTGGCTGCTAGAGACATACTACAGGGAGAAGAAGAAGCTTTCACCCACTGGAGCTGGTACACTGCTGGAGGACATGGATGCATCCAACCCAGTAAGTTTTGGTGATCTTTGTTGCTTGCAATAGTATGCTTGGATGCTGATTCATACTTTCAATTTTAAACAGTCCTATGTATCTCACATTGCCCTGTCAACAAAGTATGCTTGGTTTGAAAGGATGCACGAGATGATGAATGGCCAATTCAATGCTGATCCCACAGCACTTATCACAACTCCCAGTCTCGACTTCACCAGCAATGATGAGCCTGACATGCCTTCAAATGGCTCAGCTGACATACCCATGGATATTTGTGGCAGTGAGCTGTATGATCACAGCGCTCATGGCCATGGTTTGCCTCCTATTCTCGACTTGATCGAACCCACCAACCCCCCAGCTGCTGTTGCATCCACTTCTGGTGCATCCTTTGCTGGCGCTGGTGATGATGACATCTTTAACACACCTTCATCTCCACCTTTGCAGGCTCGACCACCTTCCTCCACTGCTGGCAGTTTGGATGTCTCTGATTCCACCTCTTCTCAATCTTCAGCCCAGCTCTCTCCCAGCACCAAGTACAAGCGAGGTGCCCTTGATCACAAGTGCGACACACTTGCTGAAGCTTTCTATCATTCTTCCATTGATACCCTTCAGATCCACCTGCAGCTTGAACAGGAATGCACCAGATGCAAGAAAATACTGGAGGCTGAGCGTACCAAGCACGAGGAGATGCGCCTGCATCATGAGAGGGAGGAGAAAGAGTGTGATGAATGTGTTCGCACATGTGATCGTGAAATGGTGATGGAGATGGTGTGCCTCCTTGCTTCTCAGGCCAGTGTCGAACAGGATGCTCATCAGAACACCAGCAACAACAACAACATGGACTCTTCATTCAATCTTCCTGTCTTGTAGCATTACATGTACTATCATCTGGTCTCAATGCAAAGTCATTTCTGAGTGTTTTTCTGTAGAGTGCAAGTATGAGGTGAATAAAAATGATGCACAGCACAGTCACATAATGAGCTCAAAAGCATTTAAACAAAAAATTTCACTCTCACACCTCTTCCATTACTACCACCACTCCACTCTGCAACCTTTCAGCATCGCTCTTGCTGCCATCCCCCCTCTCCATCCCCCCTCTCCATCCCCCCTCTCCATCCCCCCTCTCCATGCTCCCTCTCCATCCCCCCTCTCCATGCTCCCTCTCCATCCCCCCTCTCCATGCTCCCTCTCCAACTCCCTTCCTCTTTCCAGCCATGGTGCACTACAGTGACAAGCAAGTAATTCTCAATGACATTGTCCACACTCTCGAGCTCTCTATACCTGCGGAGGTCATCCAAAACACTGACAGAGTGCAGCACTCCTGCAGCACTGACATTGACAACTTGGATGACGATGGTGACCCAATTCTGCTCTCACGACACCTTGTCTGCTTGTACACTTTCATATGCAAGCAAAGGTACACAATCACACGTTGCACTCCTCTTGGCTGCACCGATAAGCTTATCCACCTTCTCAACAGGTATGAATCAAGCAATCATAGGATGTATCATGGACTTGTTCATATGTCGCCTGAAGCATTCAACAATCTTGCCATCTGACTCCAGCAAACAGAGGCTTTCTGGTGGAACTACAGCAGCTCAGGTGTGATGTCTCTCAACAAAGTGCAAGAGATTCTTTCAGTGGCTCTGTACAGACTTGGCCATTCTGGAAATGGAGGTGGTGAATGTGATGCTGCTTTGCAATGTGGTTGCAGTGTTGGGAGCATTGTTGGATACACCAATTGCACAGTTGCTGGCCTCCTTGAGCTAAACAATGAGGTCATGCAGTTTGCTTCAGAGGGAGAGAGACAACATGCTTCTGCCTGGGTGCGCAATACAACTGGGGTTGAAGAGTGGGGTAAGGGCTGGCTTGTGGTGGATGGCACACACATCCCTCTTGCCTGGAAGCCAGGAGTGCTCAGTCGAGAGCACTTCTGCTACAAAGGCTTCCACAGCATCAATGTAGTGCTGGTGATCCTGCCACACTCACTGCAGATTGTCGAATCAGTTGTTGGACAGCCTGGCAGTGTTCAGGATTCGAAGGTTTGGGCCTCAGGCAGCAACATCCTGAAGAAGCCTTGCCTGTACCTTGATGAAGGTGAGTTCATCTGGGTTGATGGTGGATATGGCCATTCTGCCTTCACAGTTGGACCATTCTCTCACATTGCTGCTGACAAGAGTCAAGACCTTTGACACTTCAACTACATGCTCTCTTGAGTCCGAGTATGAGTCGAACATGCCATTGCATACCTGAAGAACCGCTTCCAGTGCCTTACAGGCTATTGTGGTAACATCTACCATTTCAAGGACTGCATCACTGCTGCCGAGACGATCCAAGCCTGCATTGTTGCCCACACCTTTGCAAGTCAATATGACCATCCTGCTGATATTGCCGACCTGCTGTTGCCCTCTTTCTCTGAGGATGAGGTGAGTGAGGTTGTTCAAAGCCTCCAACTTGATGCCAGTGATACACAAGAGCTCAGGAGGACAAGATGCACAAATCAGCAGGAATATGAACTGGATCTTGCCACTGCAACACAAGGAATGTCACAGTATGCAGTGTCAAGACTTCGAAGTTCTGCTGCACATGATCTTTGAGAGGGTTTGTTCCAGGTGCTGTTCAGATCCACTGGGTGCAATGAGGAAGACACTACTGCATTGTCTCAACGTCATGAGAGGACTACTGTGGACTACATTGCCATGACTCAAAGCACATCAGCTCAGAGACAGGAGCAAGTCTTGACACAACCATTCTCGATCTGACAGGCACTCTCTCTTCTTCTGTTCAATACAATTCTTCTCACCACCATATGAAACATGTCAGGGGTCTCGCGCCTGAAACCCAGGTCGGTCTGTCGAGATACTCGGTGACTATCAAACTGTGCGACAGCTATTGTCTCAGTATCAGTGACTATCAAGTTGTGCAGTGACAGCAGGTGGCATTCATTGTATATACTATCGTAGGTTTCAGCTGACCTCTGTGGACACTCCATTCAGGGGTAGCTCAGCATGATCAATATCAATGCTATGATGACACCAAGGTCTGGTGTGAGTGTTGATGATGATGAGGTTGATGACGTTGGTGATAAGGTTGGTGAGTGTTGATGAGAATGAGGTTGATGGTGTTGGTGATAAGGTTGGTGGCATCAACACGAGTGTCCAGTGTGTTGACTTTGATGCTTGAAGTGATCCCCAGACCACAGTGGACTACTGCCTTCGGTTCTATCTTGATCCGGACTGCTAACCTGCTATGGGCGCCTTCGGATGTCAGGTAGTGGTGATACAACACACACACTACGATGAGGAGCAACCTTGATAGATTGCTGCTATGCTGACTGAAACTAATATATACTTATGCTGAAGTGATAACTAGTTATGGTGAGTAGAGTGGATGCCGATCCACTCGACCTATGATGATGAGAAAGCATGGTTATATACCTCTTCACAGCATCGCCAGTGATGCTGCTCCTGCTCTCTCTCCAGAGAGTACCTTCTTCATCGAGTACTGTTCAGGGGCCTCTCCTGCTTGGCACCCCTGTGCCTCTTGAGTGGTGTCGACTCCTTCGACACTGCTCCTCCTCCTCATGACCTGGTGTCAACTCCTTCGACACTGCTCCTCTTCCTCAGGACCTGCTTGCCAGTGTCCTATGACTCTTGTCTCTTGAGCCCCTGAGTGGTAACCATCTGAGCTTGGTCCTCTTCGTGGCTGTGCCTGCTCCTTGAGCTTGGTCCTCCTTGTGGCTGTGCCTGGCCCTCCTCACATGTGGCTCAGTTCTCCTTTGCATGTGAGTCCATAGGAGTCCATGGTCTCCATGGAGACTGCACTATGACCATGCTCTCTACTGGTATCAACTAGGTCTTCGATACCTGTGCTCCCTCCATATGAACCAGTGACCCTCCTGCTTCTTGAGCATCCAGGCCCATGACAAAACAATACATTGAGTGCATGGTGTGAAGAGGAAAGCAAGATATAAGCAAGCAATGGGTAATAGCAATGAGAGCGACAAGTAACATGACCACTGTTAGGTTATGCATTTTATCGGCCGTATGATTTCATCGCATTTTTGGAAACCCGCTTTTCCTTGGGGGGGGTTCAAATTCCCTCCAAAAATGCGCTCTCGAAAAAACCCGCATTTTTAAATTTGCAAAAACTTTGATACCCCCTTCAGTCAATTGAGTATATATGTTTCTGTCTTAAAGCACCAGTGACATCGTACTCAGACTCTACCCGATCACCAGTTATCGGGACTAAAACTTCATCATCCAACGCTTCAGACGCCTTGCTTCTCTCTGTTCTACCGTCATCCTCACCGTTCATGCTCATCACCAATCTGAGCACTACGAATATGGACAAACAGCAGCGCCGTACGCCTTCGAGCTGAGTCGTGATGTTCTGTGTGCACAACCATGGACGACAACGGATGGGAAGCCGTCCGAATTGCTGACGTGGCTCAGTCGTCTGACTTGAACATTTTAGCGTGGACGACAGCATCCAGAAGACCGCCTGATCTCCTTGCCAAGCTAGACAGCCCGACTCAGCGCTGCGTGAAAGAGTTGGATGCAGCGAGCAGCTCAAAGGATACAGACCAACCCTCTCAGGACTTGTATCGTCGAGCAATCTGGGCACCCGACGGCTCCTCAATCCTCGCCATCACAGAATCGCAGCAGAAGCACATCCTCCGATGCAGCTCATCCGGTGTGATCGAGCGGATGGCTGAGTACAAGAGCCCTTCTCCGAACCTCGATGCAGTATGGTATCCCGTACCGGCTATTGAGCAGCCAAGCGACCCCGACACCACGCATACCTCGGCACCAACTCTTCCAACTTGGTGCTTTGCCGAATCGCATCGAGACCTACCCATCCGGCTCACTTGCAGCAACGATGGTCGCACCCGCACAAGTTACTCGATCATGAATCATGTTGAAAAGTTCGTTGGTCCTTATTCGCTAGCGTTCAGCCCGGATCTTTCACGCCTCTACTGCGGTCTCTATTCCAGTCTCGCTGTCTTGCCACTCTCCCGACCGGGACTCAACTCGCATTCGCATGTGCCACTCATCTCAAACAAGCGCTCGATAGGCGGACAACGAGGTATCATTTCTGCCCTTGCAACTTCGCCGCATCCGAGTGAGCCTGGTTCACACGAACTAGTCGCTGTCGGAACCTTGAGTGGCACTGTGGGAGTGTACGACTTGATTCCTGCATCCTTCCCGGAGCCCACAGAGCACATCGCAACCCCCACAGCAACAAGTGATGGCCAAGAGTCACTAGCACAAAGTTCCCTCCTAGCTGGATGGAGCGAGATCGAGGGTGACGGGATAACACAGCTCAAGTTCCACCCGCTGACACCGTATGTATTGTTTGTCGCTTCAAGACGGTCTGATTACATCTATGTATATGATGTACGATATCTGATGGGCGATACATCGAGATGGATGTTCAAGCCTCTAGCGCGAGCAGCAGCTGGTGTGCGATCGGCGCATTTGTTGGCCAAATTGCCGAGATACGGTGGTGCAAGTCATCAGAGAATGTACTTTGATGTCGATTGGGCTGGGCGGTGGCTTGCCTCGGGGGATGAGAACGGTAAGATCCATCTGTGGCGGATTGATACTGGTCGGTTCATGGATCAAAGCAAAGATGAAACGAGTGGTGCGGAGGATGAGCCGCTGGAATTGAAGCCAGACTTTGATTGGAAAGCGCATGAGGATACTGTTGGCTCAGTGTCGTTTCATCCGTATCAGCCTTGGTTGGCTTCTGTTGCTGGTTCGCGACGGTGGCCTCAAGCAGGCGCTGCAAGCGATAGCGACGATTCTGACGAGAGCTCGAAGCGAGGCCCAGCATGGACGACCAAAGATAGCTCGCTCAACATCTGGGATTTTTCTCATCCTCCAATCTCTGCTTGCTAATCAGCCGCAAAGCTTTGGCCTGCCTCGCTCTCTCTGGAGACATTTTGTACTTGTACCGTTGTTCGCATTCAACCTCTGAACTTCCTCCCACTCTTGACGTCAGCCCTTTTGATCTTGTTCTGCTTCTTCCTTCTGGCATCTGCCTCCTGCAACCTTCTGACCCTTTTCTTCTGTTCCTCACTTGTTTCTCCCACCAGACCCTCCTGAGCCAGCTCAAGTAGATGAGCATGCAGCTTTTCCAGTGCGTCCTGAACGTTTGCTTCCTGTGTCCTATGTCGCATACTGGTGACCAAGAGAGAGTGGTCGGAAGCGACGTAGTAAGGAGACTTTTTGGCTATCCGACTGACCAGATCACGAGTTAGCCATTTACGTGGATGAGCGCGGTCGAGCGAGTCGGGTGCATGGTTGCCGGCTTGAGATAGCTCGAGTCGGATGTTGGCTTTGGTGTTAAGCTTGTTGACGTTTTGACCACCAGGGCCGGAGGAGCGGGAGAAGGTTACTTGGAAGTCGTTGCGTCGGAGAGCGAGGTCGCGGAAGGATGAGACCCATCGACGACGCTCGGCCATTTTTTGTTCGTCGTATTCGGGCTGGCTGTCTTGATCGCGGCGGGATGGGGAGGATGAGTTGCATCGACAACCGATGTAAGGCGTTAGGGGACGTGTGGTTCCAGTTCGGACGATTGGCGGCCTAGGTATGAGTGGGATCGTCTTCACGGTCCGTATGCTCGAATCTGCCAAGAGCAACACCGCCGAGCGCGGTACTGTGCGAGCCCACATGGTGGCCCAAGTTGCCTTTTCCGATCGCTTGTCTGAGCTTCGAAGCAGCAGAAGGAGGAGCAATTTAAGATGATGGTGAGCCTCAAGCTGTCAAATCGGGGGGGGGGAAGGGGAAGGGGTGGTTCAAGACTTGCTAAAAACTAGAAGAAAATCAAGGAAAAAAGAAGCCGGAAAATGCACCGAGAAAAACAAGTCTCTGAAAATCATCCTTGGAAGGGCAGCTCACGGCGATCAGACTTGCTTCATGCTCTCTCCTGATACTCGTCTGAGATGAGTAGTATTGCCAAAGCTTGACTCTGACAGGTTTGGTCGTGCCTGTGGCGGTTGCTTTGCGTGAGTCTTTGTGAACAGGCAAGTCGGCTTTCACGTCTGACGCAAAGCTGCAGCCCGATTGGCGATTGGATTTATGACTCCCGATCTGACCGTCGGCGATAAGAACGCGAGCCAATCAATCGTTGCAAACTGTGTTCTGTTGCACCAATCCTTCACCTAAGCAACTTGCAACGCTCGCTTCTCTTGCTGAACCGAAACCATAGCGTGAGTGTGTGAGAGAGGGCGGAACATCGACAGCTTGGCATCACACAAGGTTCGATGGAGAAAGAGCAATGCTGATGACCAAGCAGATCCTCGGAATAGACGGACGTGGCTTGGCATCTCACTCACTCTCGCTGAATTTGTGTGCATCGGGCAGCGCGACCCTTGTTGAGCATGATTTTTTTGTTTTTTGGATTTTCTTTTTCTTTTTCTTTTTCTTTTCCTTTTCCTTTTCCTTTTCCTTTTCCTTTTCCTTTTAGTTGAGAATTTTGGCGCTTAGTTTCATTTTTGAGTGCTATTTACATAAGCATATATATATATATGTGCTAGCTTGGTGGTCACTATCAGTCTGTGCCAATCTATGACTAGTTCATCCCTCACATTGCTCCTGAGTTGTCATGGTAACACCTATGTACCCCACGTGCGTAGCCACCGACATGTGGTTTTGTATCATCAATAGTTACTTGCCCTCTGCAGACCCCATATGCTTTGTTCAGTTCCGACGTGTCTCCAACCATTGTTACATTTCCCTCAACTCTTTTCCTTTTCCTTTTCCTTTTCCTTTTCCTTTTCCTTTTTCTTTTTCTTTTTCTTCCACTTGTTACTGATTTTCCGGGGGAAAATTAGAATTGTCTGTGCTTCTGCTGCCGTGCAATTCTTCCTTTCTCCTCTCAGCCAATGCTGTGTGTCACCTTTTTGCGGTCATTTGCATATACGGAACTGCAACTGGAACTTCCCCGCTCGACTTGGTCAGCTCTTGATTGTCATCATCATCCTCTTCAACGGCTCCCATCATCCCTTAAACTCCTCCTCTTTCCAAGCGCAAGCGGGTACACATTCTGTAAGGTCGTCCCACCACAACTCGGAGGAGGCATCGCGTACCTCGCATAGGAATTGACGTGCTCCGTTGGCACGCGGAACCTGCCTCCATCTTTCTTTCTATTTGAACCCACGAGTTGCCCTGATCACACTCATCACCATACTAGCACATATTTCACTCTGGCCGCTAGATCAACGACATCGCAGTCGCCGCCAAGATGGGTCTTCTCTCGCTAGGAACCCCTTTGGAATGGCAAGATGCCCGACCGCTTGCCTCTCACGTCCGCAAGCACGGCATCCAACAGTTCCTCTCCCTCTGGAACAAGATCAAAGATCGCCGCGGTGATATACTGCTTTGGGGTGATGAGATCGAATATATCGTAGTTTCCTTTGATCAAGAGACACAGAATGCTAAACTCTCATTGAGGCAAGAAGAGATTCTCAAGGTCCTCTCCGCTAGCGATCAAGAAACACGTGAAACAGCCCCCGGTCTGGCAGGTCAGATTCCAACCTTCCATCCAGAGTATGGGCGTTTCATGCTCGAGTCCACCCCTGGATCGCCGTACGGTGCAAGTCCGAAGGAGCTTCGACGTGTCGAACGCAACATGAGGCTGCGCAGGCAGATCGCCAGATCTCATCTCAAGCCGAATGAGCTTCCTATCACGCTGACTTCCTATCCAAGGCTCGGTGTCACAGATGCGCCTTTCACGGAACCACACTATGAAGCTAATGGTAATGCTTCCAGGAGCATGTTCCTCCCTGATGAGCTGATCAACCCGCACGCACGATTCCCAACGCTCACTGCCAACATCCGCAAGAGAAGAGGAAGCAAGGTCGCAATCAACATGCCTATTTTCAAGGATGTCAACACACCATCGCCCTTCATTGATCCTAGCATTCCATGGGATCGCAATCTTTTCCCCGAGGATGCAGAGGCGAAAGCGGGTGCAGCTAAGCCTGATCACATCTACATGGATGCCATGGGGTTTGGTATGGGCTGTTGCTGTTTGCAAGTTACTTTCCAGGCTTGTTCCCTCCAAGAAGCGAGGACAGTGTATGATCAGTTGATTCCAGTTGGTCCATTGTTGCTGGCTTTGACAGCTGCTTCTCCCGCCTATAGAGGTTATCTGGCAGACGTAGATTGCCGATGGAATGTCATTTCCGCTGCTGTGGATGATAGGACACCGCAAGAGAGGGGAGAGCCAGCATTGCCCTTGCCAGCACACACACCAAGGGGAGGATTGGATCGCGATGCAGAGCCAATCCCCAAATCACGCTACGATTCGGTCGACTCGTACATTTCTCAAGATCCTCTCAATCGTCGTAGCTACAACGATAATCCTTTGCCCATCAATGCCCAAGTCAAGCAACAGCTTCAGGATGCAGGAGTAGATGATCTTCTCGCCGATCACCTTGCGCATCTTTTCATCCGAGACCCCTTGGTGATTTTCAGCGAGATGGTGGATCAGGATGATGAAACCAGCACGGATCATTTCGAGAATCTTCAATCGACCAACTGGCAGACGATGAGGTTCAAGCCTCCCCCGCCCGGTGGAAGGATCGGATGGAGGGTTGAGTTCAGGAGTATGGAGGTTCAGATTACAGATTTTGAGAATGCCGCATTTTCGGTCTTCATCGTGTTGTTGACCAGGGCGATCTTGAGTTTCGGGTTGAACTTCTATATGCCTTTGACAAAAGTGGATCAGAATATGGCGAGAGCGCATAAGAGGGATGCGGTGAATGGGCAGAAGTTTTGGTTTAGGAAGGAAGTCTATAGGACGAGGAATAGGCACGCCTCTAGGCAGGCTTCCAGGGAAGTTTCGAGATGTAGTTCCTTGGAGAATTTGCAGGGCGGGACTAATGTTGCGATCAATGGTCGAGCGCTGAATGGTGGGGAGTTGAATGGTGCGGGGTTGAATGGGAGGCTTAGTCCCCAGAGCATCTCCTCGAGCTCGGATGGTGGCTTGGAAGAAGAGCATGCCGAGTTTACGATGGATGAGTTGATGAATGGGAAGGGAGATGAGTTCCCAGGATTGGTAGGGCTGGTGCACAACTATTTGGATAGTTTGAATATTGATGTGGAGACGAGGTGCGAGATGGGATTGTATCTGGAGTTGGTCTCGCAAAGGGCGAGTGGCAAGCTGATGACGACGGCCAGCTGGATTAGGCAGTACGTGAGGAATCATCCCGAGTACAAGGGCGATTCGGTGGTCAGTCAGAAGATCAACTATGATATGATCAAGCAGTTGGATCTGATTGAGAGAGGGGAGGCGGATGCGCCTGGCTTCTTGCCAAAAGGGTATTCTCAGAGGAGGAAGAGTCAGGAGACTAAGCCCGAACTCAGGGCTTGAACAGCGGAAGAGAAAGGAAGGGGGAGGGAGGATTTGCGTTCATTCGGTTCATCGACACAATCACCAGAACTGGCAGCAGTAGCAGAAGCAACAACACACTCTTTTCCATCGTTGTTCGCAGTTCTATGGCAGAGAAAATACACATTGTCATGGTCCAGAGCTTTGGCGGACGTGTGATTGATTGCTACAATGCGTTCGGCGTTGGTAAGTGGTGATGAACTTCCGAAGTCTTGTGGTCGAGGCTGTGCTTGCGGGTCTTTCGCAGATGAGGTCGGAAGAAGTCGGATAGGCAGGGAGCATTTTTGGCCGGAGGTGGAGGCATTTCGGTGAAATGTCAGCAAGAAAGTGACACACATCCAACTCACACACATCCAACTCACACACATCCAACTCACACACATCCAACTCACACACTGATGACTAAAGCTTGCTTCTCTTTCTTTCCTCCGCTCATACCCTAGCCTCTGACAGTTAGGGTTGAGGAAGCTTCATCAGACCCTTCGCTTTTCTCCCCTTACCACCGCCACGATTGACAACCCTGAGCAAATCCATTGATCAACCCGTCACACATCCATGGCACCTTCACTCAAAATCAGCGCCGGTCCCTCGGTCGACCAGCTCGAGACAGTCGCAGTCAATCACGACGAGTTACCCACCTCCATCGACTCTCCCCACTTCCAAGGTCGGATCGCAGTTCGAATCAAGTCCTTCACAGGATCAGACCCTGATGCAGTCGAACATCGCAAGGACACGCTTTATTTCGAGAATGGTCATGGCAAACATCAGTCTTGGTCGATGCAGATTCAGGGCCGCTTCAAGGAAGAGGTGAGCGCGGATGATTTAATTTTTGGCAACGAGTTTGATAAGCCGATCAAAGATCATCTGCCATACGGTACAAGTGTAGCTTTACAGTTTGTAAAGTTGCTCGATCCAAACTTGGAGCATGACTTGTATGCGCAGAAACCTTATGCTTGGAGTCCTTACCTTGCTACCATGCCCAGAATTAGTTCTCAAACGCTCGAAAAGCAGGTAGATGGCTTCGATGGTTGGCCCGCATTTCCCGTTGCGCCCGAGGCCTATGTTGAGGATGACATTTCAAGCCTCATCCCCGAAGAGTTGGCAGAAAAGAATAAAGATACGGTCGCAAACTTCAAAGGCATCGATAAAGCTCACGAATACCGTCAGCGTTTCTTAGGCAACAAGGAGAATAGACAGCAGATTACAATCAAGCCAGAACAGGTCGTGACGGCAGATTTCTTCAACGGTTTCATCGACTTTAACGATTTAACCCTTCACATACCCTTTTCGGGCGGATTGAAGTTCGACCTGAAGAAGTACTGGGATGGTCAACCGGTAAGGTACATTTGTAAGGATAAGAAGCAAGGTAGAGTGTTCTTTGTGATTCAGTTTGATATTGTTGATCTTCACAACTAGAGCAATTGCATTCTCAATCGGAACTTGACTTCTCGTGATCAGATCGTTGCAGGGCAAGATTGTGCTGTGTGTGCATGTGTTTAGGAAGAGAGAGAGAGGGAGTTGGATTCGATAGAAGTACACAAGAAGGAGACAGGTCAAGTTTACTTGCGGTATTGGGGAGGAACGTCTTGTCCACCCTCTTCTTTTGTTGGTACACGATTGTGGTATGCTCTGAAAGAGGTTTCCCATTCGACGTATTCGCGCCAGTACTTGTCGAGTGCTTCTTCTTCCGGTGATTTGGCCGATGCAGCGGTTGCGGTGGCACGGTTGCGTGATTGAGGTGAACCTGCGGGTGAAGAGTGGCCGTTCCTTTGCGACTGTGAGTAAGGTTGCTGGTGCGCTGCTGCTTGTCTTCCGGCGTGGCTGTCCGAGGGCGGAGGCGGTGGAGCGTCGTCTTCGGGGGGAGGAGGGGGCGGTACGTTGGGGTTGTCTGAGGGAGGTGGTGCTGGGTCTCCACTGTGTCGTCCGTACTGATTCCAGCCTCCTCGGGATTGGTCCCATCCACCTCCACCGCCTTGGTAGTGCTGCTGCTGCGAATAGTGGGATTGGTGACCATAGCCGCCCGCACCGGTTGGACTTCCACCGCGACCATAGCCACCTCCTCCACCACCACGGCTATAGCCACCACCACCTCTTGGTGCTCCACCTCCATAACTACCGCCATAGCCACCATCTCTTCCACCACCGTACCCCGACCCACCACCACCCATCGCATCATAGGCCTTGTGCCACTCACTCTTCACCACCTCCATCAGATCTTCGGCCAGCACCTTTGCCGCCTGAATTTGTTCATCTTCCGGCCCCGCAATCGCAATATGCATTGGCTCTGGCAACTCCACCCCCGTATCAGTCTCAATAAACCCACTCCCCAAACCTTTAATCTGCACCCTTGTACCTGTCTCACTCTGGATGTACTTGACAAACATTCCTCCCGGCCCTACAATCTTTGACCTCACATTGAAGTTTCTGATGTTCTCAAGGTTGACTGACACTTTCTCTTCGGCCCACCTTCTTCGTTCGCGCGGAGGTGGGCGTTGATTTTCATAATCCAAACGACGTTGGTGACGATCTTCGATAAGTTGTGGCACTTCTTGCGCCATGAGTTCGTTGATCTTGGCGATGGCGGCATCTAGAATCTCTTGTGAGATGGCAGAGACGTGCAGGTAGAGGGGTGGGTCTTCTTTGGTAGCCAGGGCTTTGTCGGGGTACCATGTACCTTTTGTGGTGACGGAGGCGCCGGTTTCGCGATGGATCTGTTGTTGGGTTTGACCTTTGGTGAGCATGTAGCGGTTTCGCTGGTCGTTGATTTCAATGTCATGGGTGAATTCAGCGTCGTGCGCGTCTTTCTCCTTCTTAGCATCCTTAGCATCGGAGGAGGAAGAGGGGCTGGGATCGGACTCTTTGGAGGATGGTTGACCTTTCGATGCGAACTGAGCAGCGATCTTGGCGGCGGCAGCGGCTGCATTGACCGAAGAAGATGTGGAGGCCGAAGCCTGGCCTTGGTCCTTGGGACTATCCCATCGACTCGACATTGTTGCAATGCTGTTGCTCGTAATCGAGCCGGGTATCGTTTGTTGTGGAGAGACGGCAAGAGGTTGTTACAGACGAGACTGGTAAAAAGGCTGGACCCTGAGGAAAGAAAGACTTCCGAACTTCTGATCGCGCAATTTCTCCGGATCCCTGATACTAGGGTAGATCTAACAAGCCCACCATCTTTAAATCGGCACCTCATCGATTCAAGCGATCTTGAAGATCTCCGATTTGAGATTCATCAACACAACGAGAGAGATCTCCGGACGGCGACGGCACGTGAGATGAACTTATCGAACGGAGATCTTGCTTGATGTGATCCGGCGGCCCTTCTGGATGGTTTCCCGAACAGTGCCGTTCTCCATGCTAGGAGCTGGTGTTGAGCTCAATGATGGCGAGAAGAACGGCGATGGTTGTCAGTAACTTGTTCAGAATCCGGCTGCAGCAGTTTAGCCATGACAAGCGTGCATAGCTGAGGATGCAAGGCCTCAGAGAGAACGAAAGGCTTTGGATGCGGGGCGAAAGACAGTGATGGGACGGCGATACAGTGGAGCTCGTCATACAGCCGGACGATGCTGACTACGCTTACACTAGCTCACGCTGATATCTTACGCCTTTAACTGCAAGAGAGAAAGGAAATTTCCCGACCAGATTAGTCAGCCAGCCACAGCGAGGGCGAATTTGTGAGAAGAAGAAAGGAGGCGGTCCGAGCGTTGCCGTCAGTGGCCGAATTTCCAAGACGCACGCACCACTTTGAGTTCTACCGCCCAGCAAGGGTTCCTGCTTCTTGTTCGACCTCTTTGCCTCGCATCTTCCTTCTTGCTTTCCTTCTTCCTTCACCCAATCGTCCTTAACCCCTCTTCCAGCATCAATCTTCAAAATGGCTCACAAGCTTACTTCCTCCCTGCCAGCATGGCAAAAACTCCAGCAGCTTTACGACACCAAGGGCAAGCAGATCAAACTTGGTCAAGCTTTCAAGGCCGATGCCAACCGATTCCAAAAGTACTCTCGCCAGTGGAACTCGTCCAAGACCGATGCTCGCTTCCTCTTTGATTTCTCCAAGAACTTGATCGATGACGAGGTTCTGGACCAGCTCCTTGCTCTCGCTGAGCAGGCTGAGGTCAAGCAGCAAATCGATGCCATGTTCTCTGGCGAGCACATCAACACATCCGAAGACCGTGCTGTTCTTCACGTCGCTCTCCGTGACGTTCCTGGAGACTTTAAGATCGACGAGCCCGGTGTTGATGAGGTCAAGCCCGAGCTTCAGCATATGAAGCAATTCTCCGAAGCCGTCCGATCCGGCGCCCACAAGGGCTACACGGGCAAGAACATCAAGAGCATCGTCAACATTGGTATTGGTGGTTCCGACCTTGGTCCGGTCATGGTCACTGAGGCTCTCAAGCCTTACTCCAAGCGTGACCTCGACGCTTACTTTGTTTCCAACATTGACGGTACTCACATGGCCGAGACTCTTCGTGTTTGCGACCCTGAAACGACGCTCTTCATTGTCGCTTCCAAGACTTTCACCACTCAGGAGACCATCACCAACGCTACAACCGCTCGTGACTGGTTTCTCGAGCACGCCAAGGACAAGGCTCACGTTGCTAAGCACTTTGTTGCGCTCAGCACCAACGTCAAGGCTGCTACCGAATTCGGCATTGCCAAGGAAAACATGTTCAAATTCTGGGACTGGGTCGGTGGTCGATACTCTCTCTGGTCTGCCATTGGTCTTTCCATTGCTATCGTCATTGGCTATGACAACTTTGAGCAGCTCTTGCTCGGTGCCCACGAGATGGACTTGCACTTTAAGAACACTCCTCTGAAGGACAACTTGCCTGCTCTCCTCGCTTTGATCGGAATCTGGTACATTGACTTCTTCGGTGCTCAGACCCAGGCCATCCTTCCCTACGATCAGTACATGCACAAGTTCGCCGACTACTTCCAGCAAGGTGACATGGAGTCGAATGGAAAGTTCATCGCCAAGAACTCGGAACGTGTCGACTACCAAACCGGTCCCATCATCTGGGGCCAAGCCGGTACCAACGGACAGCACGCTTTTTACCAGCTCATTCACCAGGGAACCAAGCTGATCCCTTGTGACTTTATCGCTCCTGTCCAATCCCAAAACCCTCTTGGCAAGCACCACGAGATCCTCCTCTCCAACTTCTTTGCCCAACCTGAGGCTCTTGCTTTCGGTAAATCCGAGGCTGAGGTCAAGCAAGAACTCGGCGCTGAAGCTAATAACGACTTCTTCGTCAAGTCCAAGGTGTTCGAGGGTAACCGACCCACCAACTCGATCATGGCTCAGAAGATCACCCCTGCTACTCTTGGTGCTTTGATTGCATTATACGAGCACAAGATTGCTGTTCAGGGCTTCGTCTGGTCTATCAACTCGTATGATCAGATGGGAGTTGAGCTCGGCAAAATTTTGGCCAAGAAGATTTTGCCTCTTCTTGAAGGTGCTGATGCTAGCAAGGTCGATGGTGCTGGCCACGACTCTTCGACGAGCGGACTGCTGAAATACTACCTTTCCAACAAGTGACTCGCTGTTGACGAGACAAAGTCGACGAGTCGAAGTAGGATCTGATCGAAGATGGCTCTTTGTATGTTTTCGGATGTCGTGTATAAGCTTCAATTGCCAATGTCGTTTCTCGTCTTCATCCTATGATTCGCTTTTGAACGAAGCAATCTGTCCGTGCTCCATATCTGAACCAAGTTGCCTCCGTATGTAAACAGAGCTCTAACCATCCGAACTAGACCCAACACCACAACACTTTGCCTTGACATGATCCCGCTCATACAAGCCATCTCTTTCTCCCGAATGGGCATATCTCATGTTCGACCACATACAATCTCGTTGACAACAACAAAGTTCAGACACGTTAGCCAAAAGCGGTTGAAAGGACTACATTACAACAGGTACGAAACGGGAACAAAACAGGCGCGAACGACATCGACGCGCTTCGATTGACTCGAGTGAGTCAGGACATCAAGCCTATCCTCCTCTCCAGAGCGAGAAAGACGGTCATAGGGCATACGACGTGTGCACGAGAGCGGTGGAGGAAACAACAATAGCGGAAGCTACTAATGGAGCCACGCTGGTAAAACCGGAGAGGATAGATGTTGGTACAAGAGTCAAAACGGCGAACGAACCAGAGGCTTGATGAGCTCGTTTAGAGCTCAGGACCACGAGTAGAGTTGTAGATCTCGAGATCGCGCTTGTACTGCTCGAGAGCGTGCAACGCGCGCTGCTCGTAGGGAGCCTTCTGCTCGGGGGCCATCTGCTTCCATCGTTCACCACCACGCTTGCTGAACTCGGTGATGTTGGGGATCACGGTCTCCCTGGCACGCAAGTCGTTGAGGAACTCGAAGAAGGCCGAGTTGGGACGCTTGGGCTTGGCAGGGTCACGAAGGAAAGCGGTACCCTTGATACCCTTTTTCTTCTGCGAAGCAATGTAGGCATTCTGACGCTTGATGTCGTCGGGGGAGAGAGCAGCCTTCCACTCGGCAAGAGCACGCTCGTACTGCTCCTTCTCCTGTTCGTGCTGAGCCTCGTAACGAGCCTTAAGTTGAGGAGCAAGCTGAGCCCACTCGGCACCGACAGCCTTGGCCATCTTAACAATGTCGACGACCTGAGCACCGGTCTTGGGCGAAGTCTTCTGGTACAGAGGCTCACCCTTGAGCTGAGCAACGCGTTCGGACATGTATATCAGGAACGAAGAACGCAAGGTGGGCTTGCTGGCCGAGGGAAGGGGGAGGAGCTTTCCATCGGTACCGCGTGCCTGCCAGGGTTTGAGCTTCTCCTTCTTAGGAGCCTTGGCCTTGGCACCAGCGCGCTTGGTGGTGGTGGTGGCAGCAGCAGCAGCATCGCCGACGACAGCAGAGGTAGCGGAAGCCTTGGATGCGCTGGCCTTAGCCTTGGTGGCGGTGGAAGAAGCGCGCTTCTTGGTCTCCTTGGGTGCGACGGCGGTGGCAAAGTTAGCGGCGGCAACAGGCATGGCGTTACGGACCAGAGCAGGTTGCCCTGGGGCGTTGCGGACGGCTGTCCTCATGATTTGTGGGAGATTGAACATAAAGAAAGCAGTTGGCTCTACCTACTGCGGATGGGAGTAGGGGAAAAAGACCTGCGCGGGGGTGGGGAAGGGATGAGATAGGATCTTATAGCTTAATGAAGAAGAGGCGGCGGGGCAAGAAAGAGAGCTAGGGAGGAGAGGAAGAGAGAGAGAGAGAGAGAGAACAATGCGGGTTGATGGTAAGACTGAAAGTGAGGAGGGGAAGGGAGGGGACTCGAATAGAGCGCGACGAGAGGGTGCCAGGATACCCTGTATCTTTGGAGGAAATGAAAATGTGGCTCCAGCGAGGCAGCAGAGCGCGGAAGAGACTTGAGGCAGCAGACAAGTCTCACCTTGCCTGTTGCTGTTTCTGACGGGCGACACAGGCACTAGGGCAGTGAAGCCAGTCAAATGGAGAGTGGAATTGCAACGCTTGTTTTCGAGAAGGAGAGAGGGCGCCGGTTCAGGGAAGCAGACTGAGAACGGGCCAGGAATGAGGCAGAATTCAGAAGAGGCTGGCCTGGAGCGAGCTGCCAGTAGAACACGTCCAAAATTGCTTCGAAAATTTTGCTTCACTGGGTTGAGAAGGGTTTGCTTGGCTGAACCTCCGACGCAAGACTCTAGTACTCGAGTTCGAGCGACGACAAACTGAGCCGCCCTGCGAAAGAGAAAGAGAGACAAGGCGCAATTGCTGAGCGCAGTTGTGTCAAATCCTAACTCGATCGCGGCACCAGCGCGCGATACTTATCTCTTGCCAGTCACGTGGGGAGCATGGGAAAGTCCAAAATGTGAGGCTCCTGGTCAGTGTCCCTTCCTTTTCGAACTTCTTCCCTCTCTCGCGGCTACGTTTGACCACAAACTGACTGCTCTGGAGTGACACTTTTCAACGAGCCTGCAGAAGGGCAGAGAGAGGCAAATGATCAGAAAGTCCAAAATTCGGTGCCCGGCTCGTGAGACCTCCTCTGCTGGCAAAATTGGACCAAATTAAAAATCGCGGGCCAGAATATTGGGAAAGGGCATGAATCAGAAGATCGCAATTTTTCTGTTTTCTTTTTCTAAACGCGCAAGTGAAGTCGGCCTAACAGTTTTTGGATGCGAATGAGTATCTGATCGGGCAACAGTGGATGTCTATCGGTATCGGGAACGCACCCTTGGACCCTGGCTGAGTTGCATAGCATGAGCCTGGGCAACAAGAACTTTTTCTCTTCCAACGCTCACCTTCCAACCAGCCAGCAACACCCGACGCTCATCTCGCTGTTCGACTTCACTGCCAATGAAAGAGCATGGTGGCAGGATCGAGGAAACGTAGGCGTCCGGATGGACGTCTTGCCTCGCCGCCTCTGGCTCCTTCGCCTCTTCTCACTCGTAATTTGCAGTTGCTACCTGTCGGCCTAACGCAGCTTCCGAACGATGCGCTCTTCCTCTCTCGGCTGAGAAAAGATGTCGATGGTCTACTCAGCGCCTTTGCTGAAGCCTTCTTGCTCTCGATCATCACACATGGAATTCAGACCGGACACCAAGGGCCAACGTCTTTCCTTGGTCCTACATCCAGCTCAGTCTACGAGGGGCAGCACGTAGCATCGCCATTCTCGGTCTTCACCCAAGTCTGGCAGCAAAAGGGGTGGCACTACGCTCAGTTCACCTTTGCAGATCATGCAGACAGTAAACGTGCGGTGGGAAACGCGATCTGTCGAGTCCTGCTCGAGCACCTCACACCCTACGTCGCCGAGCACAATGACAGCAATAATGACGAGGCACCTCTGTCCATCAGCTTCGCAGATCTGAAACAGCTGTTCAAGATCCTGGCTGTACCTTTTGCACTGTACATGTTCTGGGTCACCCAGATCTACCCTACCTCAGGTATCGGCGTCAAACACTGTCGACCAGCACTCGAGCGTATCGCCATCGAACAGGACTACTACGATTGGCTGCTCGAGTTTCCCGAAGCTGTACTCAAGCACTTGCGAGAAGAACAAAGGACACGATCTCAGGCCGAAGCGATCACCGCTGATCTTGCTGAGCTTTTGTGCCGGCTTGCTGGTAAGCCATTTGACGAGCAATCGCTCCCTCAGGCTACGGAGAAGACACAGAAGCCAGCGCCGAAACCTCGCAAAAACGCTTCTAGCAATCCAAGACGCTCAACAAAACCACCAGAACGTCTCGAGCAGAACACAGCCTCAGCGGCAGCGTATCCAGATGGCATCTTTGATATCATACCCTCATCAAAGCTGGGCACGCGGCTTCCGAGAACGTGGCCATCAGTAAAAATAATGTCGACACTGCAAGCAAACAAAGAGTTCGGTCGCGTTGGAAACATCGTTCGCTTCCGTCAGCGCGAGAACGAGGGCGACAATACAGCATCGAGCAGCAGAGCAGGAGAAGGAGCGGGCGAGGTGAAGGAGAAAGTTGCAGGTCTCTCACGAGGTGACGTCGTTCGACTCAAAGCTAGACAGCGTTTGGCTGTTGCTTCTGCAGATCTCTCAAAGCTGCTTCCTCGCACAGCCAGAAACAGCGCTTCGACGTCCGAGCAGGGCGCATCGGGATCAAAGAGGTCAGAACTGATAGCGCAGACTGCACAGCATACTGCTCCAACAACCTCATCATCGCCTAGACGCGGGAGGTACGAAATCGAAACACCAGCTTGGATCAGCAATGCCAAGTATACAGCCAAACTCAAACCTTGGTTGGAAGAGTCGCCTACACTCATGCAGCAGTCTATACAGCGTAGTGCTGATAGTAAGAGGCGATACCAGGCTGCACGGGAGAACGCCATGCCTTCCGAGAGCGTGGGAACAGACTTTGGTGAATGGGTGTTGCAGAAGTTCAGAGAGGAAAGAAAGAAGCGTGCTGATCAACGAGAAATAGGAGAGCAGCAGCGAGAAGATCAAGAGCAAGCGGAGTTGGCAAGAGTCGAACATGAAGGATCGCTCTCTTTAGAGGAGCTGTATCGGCTGGCTGCCGAACGCACCAAGACTGCTGCTGTGCAACAAGGCGAGTTGCTCAAGTCGATAAAGAGTCGGTCGAGTGGCTCCAGATGATAGCCCAGCATCACACTTGTACTTGTAATCAAACGCACACTCCAGTATGATTTGCATTTGTTTCATTGCTTTTGTGCTTGATGCTCACTCTTCGCGATCGCTCGGTACAAGTTTCTTGGGCCACCAATTGGGAATCCATGGTCTCACCATCAACGTTGTCTCGCCGTCCGCCGCTTTTATCGACATTTCCAAGCCATCTTCCTTGCCTGCCTCACTCCATCTTTGTACCTGTTCCAGCCGCAAACACCCCAACCCAACATTGTAGACGCCTGAGGTGAATTTGCCTGCTGCTTTGCCTCTCGCCTGTTTTGCTTCCCCACTTGAGACCGGTTTGGACCTTACCTCTGTGAGATGGTTGGGTAACTGAATGGATCCGGAACGGTCTACCGAGGCGAGGCTGAGGGAAGTAGGTGCGGGTGAACCAGCAAGGTAGAAAGTGAGGGGAAGAAGACGTTTTCGCACAACACCGGTGTGATGGGTTCGAGCGGTGAGCTCTTGGCCGACATAACAGCCTTTTTTGAAGTCTACGCCATTCATGTAGTCCAAATTGTTCTCGAGAGGTAAGGAGGAGCCTTCTGGGAAGTCTAGACTTCCTTCACCAATGCCGTTTAGGATTCGGTGCAAGGTGTATTCTTCCCCCTCTACCACATTTACGCCTCCGAGTGTTAGGTCAGAGTCTGAAGAAAGGACGCCGCGGTATCCTATTGCTGGACACCTGGGGTCTAGCGCCAGCTTCTCGCTGATTGCTTGTGAAGGTTGAGAAGAGGTGGAGGAATGCCAAGCTTGCACCACTTGATGCTGAGCAGAAACGTCGGTGAGCTTGACCTTCGACCGAAGCTTAAACTTCTTGATAAACGCCAGCAACGATGGGAGCGTACGTGAGTCGACATCTAGTAGCCACCGTGGTGAGCCATCCTCGAGAGCTGGCTGAGGATGAATGAAAGCATCGGCAAGCATTCGACCTTGAGGGTTCATGAATCCTGAGTAGACAAGTGCCGGTGAATCAAGGTTGGAGCAAGTCTTGGTGGGATCGAGAGGCTTGACATCGTTTGAGACGAGACCTTGGATGAGTTTGACTGTGTCTCGTCCGCTTGCCTCCAGCACACCTCTGTGGGGGACTTTTGCGATGTTCCATGTGGCGGAATCTGCAGAGGCGGTTGAACGGACGATGGAGGAAGAGCAGAAGCTGCATCGCTGAGCCGCCGCTGGAAGGCGGAGCAGGCGGCGAGTAGAAGATGATGCAGTGGAGCTTGTGCAGGTCAGTACTGGCGTTCGCAAGAGTAGTGTCGTCGAGCTCATCTTCGCTGTCAAGTATTGCGGTGATGGTGAGCGGAACAAGTGCCAGAAGCTCTGAACTGAGTTTTTGGTTGCTTCGCCTCCACTTCGGAAGTCGGGTCGAGGCTTCCGAATCTGGAAACTTGAACATGTAAGCAAAGACGATGTAACAGTGTGATCTTCGACCGAGCTCCTCCGAGATCGGGAGCCTGTTCGAGGCGCAGCCGGCTCAGTCTCAGCTGGTGGGACCATGCGCGACTTAGAGTATGAAAGAGCCTGAACTAACTGAAGAAGAGGACCGTACAGCCGTGAAGACGGCCAATCGTAGACGGCCAATCCTATTCTGCAGCTGCAAGGGGCATGCTTCCAACCAAGGCGGCTATTCATTTTGAGTCCAAGCTCAAGCTCAAGCTCAAGCTCTGATTGATATTGACAGGTCAAGACAAACAAGCTGTCGTCTTGTTGTCAAAAGAGAACATTCAAACGGCGACTGGCGAATTGATATTGTAAGAGGTCTACAAGCGTTGCCGTGCTTTGATTGCGGAGATGCTACAGAGTGACACTTGTATACGATCCTGATCGACGAGTGATAGCTTCTGGACTCTGTCCCCTACCTCTCTGTCTCTGAGCTGCCCTATTTAGACTGTGGCTTGCTTCCTTCCAAAGGTGACTAGTTAGAGTCTGCCTGTCTATGTGAGGATAGCGTGTGCATGCTTTGTGGGCACCAGAGTCTTGCACCTGCATCTGCATCTGCATGTCTCCCTGCCGCTCGATGCCTTCAATCGTACAGAAACTCTCCTGTCTCTGTGCAAGCGTGTAAGTTGATAATGAATGTTCCGAGATCAAACGTCGAACTCAGCCGCTTTTGTATGCCGTCTTGGTTGAGCTTAGCTGGCGATCTTCTTCAACAGGATGATGTGCAACCATCTATGCCGTGGGTGATTCCACTGAAGCCGGCGCTTTGCTGAGTGGATTGGTAGCGCTTGAGTGCTGGATGAAAGGATTGAGATCTCTGTTCAAAGCCAGAACAGACGGTTGCTAAGCGAAGCACTTTCTGCACGCTACTTCCATTCGCCGTAAGTCAATGTCTCTGTCTGCTTCCCCTGTCCTCATGCAACTGTGCCTGTGTGTGTTTGTGGGACCCTCTCGCACGCTTGCAAGACGGTGGCACAGATATCGCAGCAGCCGCCTCGTCTCAGTGGCGACCAACCTTGCGGGTCTCTGATTTGGTGTCCCTTTTCAGCGCTATCCTGAGCTGCCTGCCACTTTGATTGTTGACTCCACCTGCATCGACACTGTTTAAACGTACAAACCCCACGCCCTTGACGCTGACGCTGTCCCTGCTTTTGATTTCCTTTCGCCAGACGCAAGCTGTCGTCGTCGTTATTGTTGTTATTGTTGTTGTTGTCGTCGTCATTGTCATTGTCGTTGTCGTTGTCATTGTCATTGTCATTGTCATTGTCGTTGTCGTTGTTGGTGTCTTCTTTCCTATCTGTCTGTCTGACACTCACTCACCCTCCGTGTGAGCCCGTCGACTTTGCCTTTCCTTTTTCCTTCGCCATCCACACCTTGCGGACCTGCCTCCCTCCCCTGATCCGCAACCCCCCTTTCCTACGGTCCACCTCCTTTTTGCATCCGTTCCTCATCCTCCCTCATTGTCTCTGATCGGCATCTCCTCTCGCCACATATCCTGGCTCTACCGTGATGCTCTTCATCCACAGACCATCTCGCCATTGATCGCGAGCCACCACCATTCTTCCTTCCTCTCACCAAACAACAAACAGACACACACACACACAGGACGAAGCACATCCTCGACCTACATCCTCGCTCTTGATCACTTCCAGACATCCAAACCTACTCCATCTTTAGGTCACTTCTAATCGTCTCCACCACAGGACTTCCCAGATCTTCTCGAACTGCTTTTGGACCCACTTACTCTATCATTCTGGCACAACCGCCACCTTTCATTTGCTCCATCTCTAGCCGTGTCGGATCATCGGAACCATCAAGCATTGTGTCCCATCTTGACATCACGACCATTGCTGTTGCAACTCTATATCCGCAGGGCTGCTCAATCTCAGCTAAGCTTCGCCACGATTCTAGCTGCACGGTAGCACGTCCAACTCCAGTGCTATCTTCTCGGGAGCTTGTTTGACGCTCATCCATCTCTCGAGGCATGACCGTGTCCTACGTCCGATCTCCTAGCTTTTTCAGTCACAACACTTTCACCGATCTCAACCAAGCTTCGCCACAGCACTCTCCGCTCGCCTCTTGCGCATCTCTCGATCCCACAACATCTCCTGTCGTTGGCTTCTCGTCTCCACGCTCCGCTTCGCGTGCTTTCGGCACCCCTAGCCCAGCTGCGGGCTCATCTTCAAGTCCACACAAGCAGCAGCTGCTCGCCTCTTCAGCATCAGCTCCCATTCCTCTAGCCCAGCTGGCCGAAGCTAACAGCATCGTTGTCCCCAACGATTGCATGGAAGCTGGCCTCAGCCTGAGACCAAGTCCACTACTACTCAGCCACGACTTTGAGTCTGAGCCACATACATCCGACACCGAAGGTCCACGCACCTCATACGACTCTGATCCTCTCGAAGACCTCGAATCGTCCAACTCTCGCTATCAATCTCTTCTCACCGGCGACATCGATCTCGACCGTTTCGTTTATCGACGTCCCTACGTCGACCGTGCTTTCTATCATTCTAATCGTCGAAGTCAGCTCATCTTTGAACAAAAAATTTATCAACAACGCTCCAGCGCACAATCCCAACAGGACGCAGCACAGACGGCTTCGACTTCTACCTCACCAACTCGACAGCTCAAAGCAAGACGTCCAGGTACTGCACCCCAACGAGCTTCTCCATCCGCACACACACCAGGGTCTGCTCCTGGACGCCTCGACTTTGCAAGCAGAGGCCTCGTGACAACTTCCAGTGGACTTCGAGAGCTCACAACCGGTGCATCAGCACAACGTGCCTCCAACAGAGCTTCCTGGATCCGTCGCACTCGCGAGTTTGAGGCTCTGAGCGACTCGCACCATCACAGTAACACATCCACCGCTCTAGAACCAGCAGCATCGATTGCAGCCTCGATTGCAGCCTCGCGCCGTCACAGTAGCTTCTTGGCTGGCGACTTTCGATCCGCCACCTTGATGCCTGTCCTTGCAAGCAACAGCTTCGATCCACACTTGTACCGCGCCAACAAACGCCGGAGCGGTATCTTTGACAAGCCAGCAAAGGCATCATCTACATCCAACCTTTCCACATCCCCAGTCCTCGTGGCGGCCTCTGCTTTGGCGGGTGCCAAATCGTCCAAACGCAACTCGATGCTTTCCACCGACTCTTCAGCGACGTCCTCGTCAAAGGGCGGTCGTCGCTCGATCGAGAATGCCGAGTTTGAAGGCGACGATGCACATCAGCAAGCACAGAGCTCTGTTTCGTCAGGATGCGGTCATGATGACACTCCAGCAACCAAGTCTGCAACATGGAAGGCTGATACCGATAGGGTTGGTCAAGACAAAGTTGCGGAAGTCTTCACTACTCCAAGAACGAGTGCAGATCACGATACGGCTACCGATTCCAAGCTTGTCGAGTCAGTCAAGGTACCTGTCACCGTCGTCGATGAGACTTTGCTCACAAAACCACTTCCCGACCCACCGTCACAGGACAATAGCCTGCTCACCACGCCCACCGAACTGGAAGCACCATTGGAAGCTAGCACCGACTCTGCTACAGACCCTGAGCTCGTTGCTGCGCCCGCTACTTCATCCGCGATTCTTAGCCCAGTCCAGACTGCTGTGCTCCCACCAACGCCCACAGCGCCCGAGTGGACACCATCAGCAATCGACCCGGTTTCTCCAACTAGCAGCCCAGTGAAAACCTTCCGGTCTTTGAACACCGACGGATTTCGTCGCAACTCTCAGGCTTCGCTTGAAGTTCGTTCGCCAGGCAACCCTGCCAGTCCTTTCAGCACGCTTGCTAATCCCAGTGGCAAAGCAAATGGTAACAATCACCTGCTCGCATCTGCCAGCAGGCGCGACAGCTCTGCTTCCATCGCCTCTGCCGCCAGTTCGACCTCGACATATCGTATCCGAACAAAGCATGTGCCTTCTGATGCTGACGAATTGTCCCCTCAAGACTCGCCAGCTACGCAGGATGTTCCGTTGCCAGAGGTCAGCACCTACAGCAACGCTGAGAAGGACGATGTGTGCACTGTTCGGCACACGCGTACTCCCAGTGGCTCGGACTTTATGCGAACAGCCCAAGAGGCTGCATCGGCTCATATGCTCGCCAACGACAAGCGTCCTAGCACTGCAGTCTTTTCCACCGCCACCTCAGATCAGGAAGGGCTTGCTGTCGGAAGGCAGCTTCATGGCAGCGCATCGACCCGCGATTTTTCGACCAACAACACTTTGGGTCTCGGTACTCCACCTTCTACAGCAGAAGGAGCTGCACCGACCACTGCGGAATCCCGTACGCCTTCGCGAGCGACGATCAAGAGGCCTACAACAGCGCCTGTCAGTTCTGCAAGCCAGTTCCGCTCAGCGGACGATGCTGCCAACAATGCAATGATGGAGGTAGAAGGCATGCAATTCGTCCTTGGCAAGCAAGAAAGGAAGGGCAAGGCTCCTCAGGAAGCCACTTCGCCTTCGATCCCCAACGCCGTTCGATTCATACAGGATCAGCGAGTTGGTAGCAACAGTGGCGAAACTGCTAGCCCCAGCAAGCGTGATTCTCTGTTGGACAAGCGCAAGTCGGCCAGCATCAAGGACTCGACTCGCTCCGATGGCGCTAGTGCAAAGACGTCCAGTCTCAACGCATCATCAGGACGCAGTGGAGCAGGAGGAGAAGCAGCAGGAATCAACTCAGCTGGCGGTTGGGGTCTGGAGCAAGAGCTCAAGATCGTGGATAGAGTTAGGGATCCGCAGGGCAGTGCTGAGCCCAAGCCACGACCGGCCTCAATGGATAAGAGCAAGAAGTCACAGGAAGCTTCAGCTGCCAAAGCCCAGCTTAAGAACAGCATGCTCATGAACATCATCAACGAGGACGAGTCGGACGAGGTCAAGGCTGCTGCCCGCGAAGCTGGTATCCCAGAAGGCTCGTACGCCATTCACCCTCCCTCGATGCTGCAGATCTTTGAAGCATCACAGTGCCTCGTCTACAACCAGAAGGGCGAGGAAGTCATCTTTGGCGATCTGTTCAAGAAGCGACGTACGCTGGTCTGTTTCCTTCGACATTGGTGGTGTGGTTTCTGCCAACAGTTTGCCAGGTCGATCCGCAACATTGACCCATTGCCGCTAAAGAAAGCCAACCTGGACTTCATCATTGTTGGTCAGGGTGACTGGCATGTGATCAAGGCGTATCGAGAGGTGATGCAGGTGCCCTATCCAATGTTTGCTGATCCCAAGCGAAACATCTACAGGGCTCTTGGCATGACGCTTCGAACCAACGATGCGAGCCCTGTTTGCGCTCGACCCGACTATGCGAACATGGGCATGACCAAGGGTATCTTGGTTGCTATCAAGAAGGGTCTGTTCGACATGCCCATTCGCAATCCCGGTGACATGAAGCTGCTCGGAGGAGATTTCATCCTTGGACCTGGTCTGCAATGCTCATTCACCCACCGCATGACTACGGCAGATGGACATATGGATATCCCTCGAATTCTAGCCCAAGCCGGTTGCGATCTGTCGCTCAGGACGCCTAAACCCAAGATGACCGTCGATGAGAAGGATGCACGAGCAGCCATGTTGGCGGGTGGAAACCAGAACCGCCCTCGTTCGCTCGGTCGATCGCGAGGAAAGAAGTCGAACAAGCCCGACCCGGCCATGTTGGATCAAAGCCTTGGTAGCGCCAATGGTCACTCAGCAACTGGCGCAAACGGCACTGGCAGCACAAACTCGCGCTCCAACCGTCTTAGCTTGTGGGGCCGCTTCCCAGGTCGATTCAGCATATCACAGGTCTCGTTGCCTACATCCGGATCGGTTGTGGATCTCAACGCCGACTTTGTACCTTCTCGAAGGCTCAGCGCTGGACCGCGATCGGCTTCCGCAATGCGTAAGATCTCGTACGATGGACGTGTGCGCGACTCTTTCGAGACACAGCAGACGGATATCGAGTTCGAATCGCGTGCTACTTCGATTGATACACGTTGGCGTCCTAGTGATGTTTCGGCATCTACAGGGTTGAGCTCACTACACAAAGCCCAGTCAATGTCGGAGCTTCGGAGGAGGTTCGAGATGAGCTCGATGAGCAGCTTGGGTGGGTTCAGGAACAGGAACCGTCAGGAACCTTCGGCTGCAAAGCTGTCGCTCGAGAGTCATCTGGCTATGCCAGGTAGTGGTGGCAGGAACGACTTGCGTCACAGTGCCTCGAGCACGTCGCTTTGTGGAGCCAAGGCCAATGCAAATGGCAACGACGGGGCAAGTGGTGCTGCTACAGCGACGCAGCAGTCGACGTCTGCTCAGAACGGTTCAAAGCCTTTGTCCGTCTTCCGCAACAATGTCATCTCTCGATCCAACGGTGTCACTTCGCCCGCACCCGCTGGATTGGACATCGCTGCTGCTGGTGAAGAGTCGACAGATGGGGCAATCAATGCTACCGCCGGAGACAAGACGATGGTGGAGGACGACACAAACAAGGTAACGGCACCACCCAAGTCCATGGCAGAGCTGGCCGCACCAGGGAGCTTCCTGATGGACCTCGATGTGTACGACTCGATCTTTCGCCAGCCTTCACAAAAGAACCCTACCAACGGCAAACAAAACTTCTGCTCAGTCAACGCCGGTCTCTTCCCCAGCGCATTCAGCGACAGCAGCTTCACCGAAGAAGCAGCTGATGCAGACAGTGACACTGATCCTTCGATGTCAGCAACTCAATCTCCTGTTCGATCGCAACGCACCTCTGCCAGCAACAGCTTTTACAGCTTCAAGACGTTCCATGGCAAGAAGTTCCGTGGCAAGACGTTCCGTGGCAAGACGAACCTCGAGCATTTGCCTGAAGAGGCTGATGAGGAGGAAAGTGATGCTGATGATGAGGAAGAGGAGAATGATGAGCCAATTCAGTTTGAAGATGGTCGATCTGGGCTCTCCTGAGAAGAACTGATGCTTCTTTTGTACCTTCGCTCTCTTTTGCACACTTTAGTGATTTCGCTCGTTTTAATCTGACCCATTGCCACACAGAGATATGCTGCAGCTGACTGTGTGATCTGTGTACTGAGTGTCGGAGAATGATGGTCGAAGCCGGTTCCGTAGGTAGGCGATCTGGAAGGACGTCATACACAAAAGTGTTGGTCTCGGTTGTGCAGCCCAACTAGGGTCAAGTCAAAGTCTCATATGAGACAGCGCAATTGATGCACAAGGTGCATATGGACCCCGTCTCGGCGTTTTGGTTGCATGTACGCTGCTGCACATAAAATCTAGTTCTCGTCTGTTTGAAGGTCCAAGCATGCTGCTGAACAGAGAGGGCAAGGAGAAGAGGAGAAGAGGGAAGGCGTGAAAGAGTGAAGCCACGCACAGCCCCTTTTGATGCAACATGCAGTGGTTTGCAGGTGTTTGATGGCAAACGTTGAAGTGGTTGTTTGACGTGGGGTGGGTTGGTGGTGGTGGTGTAGGTATGCTTTGCTTTCTTATCTGTAGCGCTGTGATCTTGTGTGCTAGAAAGCTGATGAAAGACACTTAGCTTCGTTCTCAGGAGGCCCCACCACACCATCTGCTCACCACTGTCGACGACGCTTCTGGCCCACCGTCATTCAGCATCCACAGTTGATCACCATAGATCGGCACCTTAGTCCAAGTGTCTTCCCGTCTCTCATCTAAAAGCACAGCGGGCGGTCATCTGTATTCAGTACATCCGAGTGCATTCAGGCAAGTGTTCCGTGTTCTTCGATCGAATCCGAAGCGACTCAGCCTTGACCTGGCCTCTCCTTCCCTCACCATCACCTTGTACGATCATCATCCTCCGCTCTGGAGTACAGCAGCAGCTCGCGTTCCCGTCAATAGCGACATAGCACTACTCGTCCATAACCACCATGTCGAGCTACCACCGCCCGTTCAGGGGCCAGAACGAGCCGTCCTCAGCCAACTCACCAACACAAGATGAACAACAAGAAGAAATCATCGATCCCAATCTCTACGGTCCCTTTGGCCATCGCTACCGCGACAGCTCCATCGATCCGATCCACCAACACCCGCATGTGGCTTCCGACGCCTCCGCTACTGGTTGGCACCAAGTCGAGACCTCCGAACAGCATCGTCAGCACAGCCAATTCACCGTCCCAGATCTACCCTATCAGTCTCACGAAACAGCCATTCCACTGCGACCTATCGAGACAAACCACTCCAGCACTAGCTTTATCACCAACGCTGCGCCCATGTCAATCGACTACACCCAAGACAGCCGATACACAGTCCAGTCCGAAAATTACCCTCTACCTCAACCCAGCATCGACTCAGCCAACCGGCAATCGCATCTCCGTCGCCGCTCAAAAGGCCAGAACCACTACCGACCTTTATCCCAGCCCTATACCCACGCCCGAGCCGGCTCCCTCTTCGACCTCGTCCACGGTCGTGATAGATCTAAATCCTCCCATCTTTCCACTACAGCCGCGAAACCGCACATCGAAGTGCACGGCGAAGACGTACCCATCACTTTCCGTCACTTGCTCAAACGCCCTATTATCCGACAGTGGCTGCATGGTAACAAGCTCTATCGCGAAAAGGATGAGAGGAAACCATCGCAGTTTGAGCTAGTCTTCGACCTCATTTTCGTTGCGGTGGTGAATGGATTAGGTCATGCAACAGCGGAAAGCAATACGGCGATCAATGTGTTGAAGTTCGTTTTGAGCTTCTGGCCTTGTTTCTCGATCTGGACGGATGTGAGGTTGTTTTTGAACACGAGTGGATCGGATGATATGTTGGAGAGGCTGTTGTTGTTGGGTTGGATGATACTTTTGGGTGGATACTGTGCAAATGTTTCAGGGGTGGAAATTGTGAAGGCTACACCGGAGTTGTTGGTTCAACTGCATAATGAAGAGTTGGCGGGCGATGCTCCGGCGCAGACGGAAGCACATGGGATTGTTGCTGAACTGGAGCAGATCTTTCGTCGTGCGGCTTCCACCAGCAGCGGTGCAGACGGGCCTGAGGTGAAGCTAGCAGTGCCCGCTTTCGGGCCGTACTGGTTCGCCGCTGGGTACGATAGAGCGATCCATGCTGCTGTAGCCTTCTTCTTAGTGGCAAAGCTCTGGAGGCTGGGTATCTATGTCTACTACGGTTTCTGTCTTCCCAAGTTCCGTAAAGCGCTCTGGTCCAATGCATTAGCAATGACGGTGATCACCGCTATATATATTCCGATCACACTCATCAGCCAGCCTTGGCTCATCGTCACCCTCATGTCCACAGGCATCTTGGTCGAAATTGCACGCCCCTACATTGTTGCGGCAGCAATAAAGCTCTTCCATGGGCGCCAAAAACGGACGGGAAACCACATGTTTATCCCCGCACAATCTCACGAGCATTCCATTGAGCGCTACATCCTCTTCGTGATCCTCATCGTGGGAGAGTCGATCATCAGCAGCACTTTCATCGCTCGGCCTGGCGATTTCGGTATCAATGCAGAGTTCGGTCGTGCAGCCCTAGGAATCACGATCAGTGTGTTCGTTATTTGGATCTATTACGATGCAGATGGAAGTCGAGTCTACCAGCATGCTCTCCGTCGAAACTCGTTTACGAGCATTACCTTCTGCCATATCCACTATCCACTCACAGCCTCACTCGTCCTGATGGCGGCGTCACTCTCCTCCCTCATCTCGAACGAAGAAATCAAGGGCGGATACGTGTGGTATTTCGGCGGCTCCTTATCCTGTGTCCTTCTCTGTCTTGCCCTTATCGGGTGTATGCACCGGAATCTCGACCTACACGGCTCAACACTCGTTCCTCGCTGGTGCCGTATCGGAGTCCGGTTCCTAGCAAGTATCGGATTCGGCCTTCTCCCACTCAAGAAGGACTGGAACTCACTCGATCTGATGGGTGTAGTTGCAGGGTCCCTTGTGGCACTAGTATTCTTCGAAACAATCGGCAAGATAGGCGCGGTTGGAAGAGTCTATGATGCGGAGAAGACGATGGAACTGTTTGCAGGAATGGATGCGAAAGGAGAAAAGAACTTGAGGTTGGATAAGAAAGCCAGTTGGCATCCATTTGATGATTTGACCGCTGGCGAGAGAGGAGAGGAGGATGTTGGGATCGAGTCCGAGATAGGACATTTGGAAGAGAAGGATTTGACACATGGTCAGAGGTGGGCTTATGCTGCCTAAGCTCTGGTGTGAGCATTATGGAGGAGGTTTTTGGGTCTCGGTTTGGGGCCCTATCCCTATTGAAGGGCAGACACTTTTGTTTCTATAGCATACATATACACTCGTTTTAATCTTGTCTTTGTCGCATCTTGCGTTTTCAATTCAGTCTTTCTAGCATCATATGAGGTTATGATGGCCTCTGAGAGGTTGTGTTGCTAGCGTCGCCATGTGTTGGGAAGCAACCGAAGGCCATGTGTAAGGTTTGACCCGACAAGAAGGTGGAGTCCCAATTCCCGACTCCCGAGGAAAATTTTCACTTTTTTTTTTTTTTTTTTCTTTTTTTTTTTTTTTTGGCAGAAGACGCTCACGTCAGAAGAACGTGAGCATTTCTTCTTGCTCTTCTCTACCTCTCCTTCTTATTCACCCCTCGCCTCACTTCCCCCTCATTGCCACCACAACTAGCAGAATGAGGCTGCCCATCACTCCCTACCGAGCTCTCCTTCTGGACCGCTCCACTCCTCATCTATCTCGCTCGATCTCCACCTCCCAACCCCAATTCGAAACATGGAACCAATCCCAATCGTCCTCTCCTCGCCCCTCCAACCCTAAAAGAAGACAACACAACGAGAACCGCCGACAAGTCAAAATATCCAACACTCTCCTCATCGCTTCCCGTTTGGGTGAAAAAGCTCCTACCATCTCCAAGGAGACCTCAGATAGGTACTCAGGCTGGAAGCCCACACCCGGTCCGAGTAGCAGAAGGAATGTTGGTCGACCGCAACTCTCTCGTCCCGCTTCAAAGTCGCTAAGCAAAGCAAAGGAGAATGAATCGATAGATGTTTTGTTAGGGCCTCATTCGGCGGCTGTGCTTACCACACCCCTTCTCCGATCCGAAGACGGTCCCGAGGACGGGATTAGTAGTCGGGACTTTATCGCACCCCGCAGACAGCTCAGACCTGGTGACTTTGTAGAGGTGGTAAGGAGTAACATTTCCATCGGAGTCGTCCTTCCTCCTCCAGAAGACGCAGCTGACACAACAGTAAAAGGGGCCAGCTTTAAAAACCTCTACGTACTAGTAACCTCCGGTCAAATCGTACTGTACAAGGAGCAAGATGTTATGATTCAAATCCCCTCTTTCATCTCTCCTCCCCTTACACAGCTTGCTGCTGCAACTTCAAAACGCTTTGTCGTATCCACCAACTCCGTCGACATTCCTTCAAACTCGGGCGGCACCCACGATACGCACTCCAGCAATACAGGCGGGGAAGTAGATCCACTAGAAGACACAGCAACAGAGGAAGAACCGATTGATATGCCCCGCTTCGAAGCTCGCGCGAGCATCTGTAACAAATTGAGAGTATTGGAGAGACAGAAGGAAAAGGAACTGCGAAAGTTGTTGCCAGCATTTCAGTCTCTGTTTTTGGTTCCACAGGGGAGTGAAAGGGAGGTCGGGGAGAGAATGGATTTGAGGACTGGGACTATTACGACTTTCGAAACTGCCCGCTTACTTGCCCAACATTCGAGGGAGGATGGAGAGATGACAGCGAGTACGATTTATGCTGCTCATTCGCTATTGATGTCCCACCCAACTCACTTTCTTGTTGATGCATTGTCGCATCGTACGAGTCAGCTGTTCAGTTGTAGGAGTAAGGAGGAGAGAGCGAATCATGCCTTAATCTCTTCTTGGATCTCGTCCAGCCCCGATTCAGAGGGTCAGAAGTATATCGATTCTTTCTGCGCCAAAGCTAGCAAGATCCGCAAGTACAACGAAACGCACCCACACAACCTCACTGGTGAACCACGAATCATCGATCCACCCAGCGCCGAATTGGATATCACCTGGACCAGCGAGGATAGGCAGATTATCGAGTTCCTAAAAGCAAGTCTTGGGTTCAGACGAGAACTGCAAGAGGACACGCACGGATCCATCGCTATGTCCATTATCAAGCGTGCTGGGGGACATTTTAGACTTTTACCCCATCCGAACATTCCTGAGTTGATGCCTGTTCAAAAGGCATCCGAGGTTTTACTTGCGGAGGAGGGATGTGGGTTGGGGAAAAAGGTGTTCGAGTTAATCGGAACAGATTTGCACGCGGGAGCGGATCTCCAGCATGGGCTTACTATGCGATTCTTAACGGAGATCGGAGCTTTGCCTCCTTGGCAGAACCCGATTCAGCTTGATGCATCATTCAGGAGTGTCACTGCGGATAATCCCCAGCCGGAGTCTTCTGAGAGGGAGGGTGTTGCGAAGAAGTATACCTTAAGCTTGGATGAAGAGGTCGAGGGGATTAGGCATGATTTTGGGAAAGACCATTCGGTATACGTAATCGATGATGAATTGGCGTTTGAACTCGACGATGGCCTCTCTGTTACCCCTGTGGAGGGTGGAGATAAGGCTTGGGTTCATGTGCATATTGCAGATCCCACAGCGCTTCTAAAGCCGAAAGATGAGTTGGGTAGGAGAGCGGAGAGAAGGTTTCAAACGTTATACTTTCCCGAGGCTAGATGGGCTATGTTGCCCGACTCTTTCGTCTCCGCTGGGGTTGGTCTAAGGGAGGGTAAGGGAGACGGGGAGGGGCAGAGAGTAATGACGTTTTCAGCATTGGTTGATTTGCATTCGGGTTTGGTGGAAGATACCAAACTTCAACCGGGGCTAGTTCATGATATTCAGACTATCTCTTATTCCCGCGTTTCCACTCTGCTCTCTGATCAGAGTGGTGGAAAAGAAGAGGGGAAGAGGGAAGTAGAATTGAGATTGCTGTTGCGAGCAGCAACTCTGCTTAGCGAGAACAGAAGCAAATTTACCGCATTCGTTGCATTCGATCGACGCCCATCTATGTTGGTTTCCCCCCTTCCGCTACCCGCAATCCCATCTTCGGCTTCGGAATTGCAAAAGCCGTACTTCTTCGCTGGATTTCCGAGCATCACCACCTCGCTCGATCCAAGCTCTTCCCCTACTGCTGGCGCTGGAACTCCACCTATTGCGCAATTTTTAGTGTCAGAACTGATGGTGCTAGCTGGTCGAGTGGCTGCTTCTTATGGAGCGAAGCATAATATTGCGCTTGCGTATCGACACCAGCCTCTTCCCGAATCAGAGGAGGAAATGGAGCAGATTTTGGGAATGCGAACAAACCTTTCTGGCTGTGGGTTGATAGGGAGGGATGGAATCGTAGGTCACGGCTTAATCCCGTACGAAGATATTCTGCTGAAAGGATTAATAGTGAGTGGGAGTGGATATTCTTCTTCGCCTGCTGAACATTTTTCACTCGGAATCACCGGTCACACTTCCGCACCCAATGGAACCGTTCGGGGAGTAAAAGACGCTTTAACTGGAGGAGGCTACACTCGCGCAACCTCGCCTCTGCGACGCTACCCCGACATGCTAGGCCACTGGCAAATCAAACATCATCTCATCCATTCCCGCTCCCGTTTCTCCTCCGCCGACATCTCCCATATCCTCCCTCAGTTGGAGAGGCAGGAAATAACAGCAAAACAATTGATGCGTTCTGCTGATCGATTCTGGCTCCATTGCCTCCTCCAGCGATCCCTCTTAGACCCCGCCTTCACGCAGGGTGAAGAAGGGAGGGAAAGGGAGTGGTTAAAAGGACCATTTACAGCAAAAGTAACGCTATCCGAAGTCAGGATTAATGCTGCGACCTTGTTAGGGAAGGTAAGGGTTCAGGTGGATAAACTTCTCATTCCCGCTGATTTGGAGTGGGGGGCAAAGGAGGAGCCGCCTAAGGTGGGGGATGTGTTTAGGGTCAAGCCCGTGGCAGTGATTATCGCTGGGATTCGGAGTGGGTTAGTTTTGAAGCGAGTCTAACCGCCATCGCATGTTCAGAGGTGGGATCTGAGTTGAGAGACAAATAAACACCACTTTCATAACTTCTCATTGGCCAGGCGTTGGCCTTGAGAAGACTGTATTGCGTGCGATGAGCTGGCTTGTCTATGAAAAGTGAGTGCAATTGCATGAGCAAAGAGGTGAGAAGGAAAGCGAAGAACAGAGCGAGCGTGGAACGTAGACAACAAGGATCGGGTCTCTGGCTCTGTGTGTGTGTGTGTGTGTCGGTGTGGGTGGGTGGGTGTGGGTATACTGGATGGGAGGGAGCGGGAGATAATGCGGCTGTTGACGAAGCGAAGATGTTTCGGAACAAGAGGAGGACGATATCATCTAGACATCAAGCTGTTACATCAAATGCAAACCACAAAGTCAGCACAACATGCTTACTTTCTGATCCGAACCACGCTTCTGCTGACTTACATAAATCAACAACGGCTCTCCGCCGCCCTTAATCTCGGGAATGGTGCATTTCAAATCAAACGCCTTGGCCAACAACACCTTGAAAATCTTCTGCACGTTGATCGCATGACTTGTCGAGCAAAAGATTAGCGGGGCTTTCATCGCTTTACTAAACCGTGTAGCTTGTTTTGTGATCTCGTCCTGTTCTTCTCTCGGTAGAGTAGCGTAATGGTCGTATTTGGTCCCGACTAGGAAGGGGATAGCTGTTTTGTTGAATCCTCGGGCTTGCCGGTACCATTCTTTGATGGAGTTGAGAGTGGATTTGCGGGTTAGGTCGAACATGAATAGGATTGCGACCGCGTCGTTACTGCAGAAGGGAAAAAGGTTGGTAAGCAAGGAGAAGGGTAGGGGAGTGGCAAGTGGGGATGAGGTTGGGAAGGAAGGAAGGAGAGTGGGGAACGTACCAAACGAGAGGAAGCATATTGACGAATTCGCGTTGGCCTCCTAGATCCCAGATGGAGAAAGTGATTTCTGTGTTACGGATCGAGATGGTCTTCTCCATAAAGTTGACACCGAGGGTTTGGATGTAGTCTTCGTTGAAACTGCCTTCGACGTAGCGGACCATAAGAGAAGTTTTGCCGATTTGAGAGTCGCCTACCATTCCGACTTTTAGGATGACACTGCGAAGGCAAGCAGAGGGAGATGTGAGTAGAGTGAGATCGATGAATGTGAATAGGTAAAAGTGAGCGGGTTGGGAAGCTTACCTTGACTTTTCAGAACTCCCGCCGCCGCCAGAAGCATCGTGGCTGCTGGACGGTGATGCGGCGGAAGAAGCGGACATCCTGATTCGAGTATGGTGTGAGCAAGGCTGCGTACTTAGCGGGTCCAACTTTCAGCCTTGTTAGAAAGAAGGGAGCGATGAGGCTCTCGACAGGTCCAGCTTCGATCGGCGATGTTGCCTCCACCGGCAGGTACGATTCGTGGTGTAAAGTGGTGGGTGCAGCTGATCGGGTCGCGAGATGGTGTTGTGCGTACTTCAGTCCTATGGCGATGGATAGGATGGTGAGAGATGGTCAGAAAGGCGATCGTCGAGCATGTGCTGAGTTAGCTAGAAAGCGTGAATGGGATCAGCACAGGCCGTTTCCAAGCTGCAGTATGAACTGTGGAATGCGGACTGAGGGTGGGCCTTAAGTGTTACCCTGCCTCTCGAGACCAACACCGTTTTTTGTCTTTTCTGTTCGCGTCAATTGTCACGGGCAAAGTACCGAGCCCTTCACGTGCGAGAATAATCAGAGGCGCTCCCGAGCTGGTGTTGTATCGCCGATCCAGCCGGAACGCAGCAGATGGCCCGATGGGCTCTCGTCTTCTCTTCCCAGTTGAGACTGCAACTCTCTTCCATCTCAAGCTTCAGAACATAACTCAATCACACCACCAACCGCGGATTCGCATAGAAAAGAAGCTCTACACTGCTGCAACTCGAGCTTACCCCTACATCTGCAGGCCCCACCTCGATAACCTCAAAGTTCATTTCATCACACTCTGTCCGACAGTCACACGGCTGCTCTTGCCAAACATCCGCCGTTCATCTCATCTCTTCCCCTGAAATCTCACAAGATGGCACCAGACTACGACGCACTCTCCGACGGCTCTGATCTGACCGGCCAGGATTCCGCATCCTTCCATCATTCCGACCAAGAAGACGAAGAAGCTATGCCCTCTGCTCCTCACACACCTTCCAAGAAGCGTCGTCGCTTAGTCCGCGCTGTGCAGGATGAGGATGATGAAGAGGACGATGATGAGGTAGCTGATCAACTTGACGAGGATGACGAGGATGATGACGATGTGGTGGTGGACGAAGATGCTGATGAGTTGGAAGAGGATGATGACGACTATGATGCCCCATCATCTTCTCGCAAGGCTGGTGGAAGCGCGGCTGGTCGTAGAACAACAACACGGGCAGCTGCTACGCCGAAGAGATCTGCTAGAGCCTCAACTCGTACCGCCGCTGCTTCTGCTGCTGCTGCTGCTGCTGCTGCTACACCTCCGACGACGAGTGCGAAAAAGTCGTTACGAGTCAAGCTCACGCGAACGCCCAACTCTGCGGCTACTGCCGCCGCTAAAGAAGGATCCTCTTCGCCCGCCCCCGCTGCAGCTGGAAGAGGTCGACCCTCACGGGCAGCAGCGGCCGGCGCACCGACTCCACCTGGACGCAAACCCAAAGACGCAACCAAAGTCAAATGGAAGCCTCGTGCAAAAGGCAAACATTCCGACTCCGAGGACGACGAAATCGAGGCCCTTCGTACTGCTTCAGAAGACGATCATGTCGACCCATACAACCTCGACCCATCTCGTGCTGACACAGTCGATCCTGACGCTGCCTCCGACTCAGCCGGCTCTGACTCTGAACCGGACGAAGCGACGGCAGCCGAGATGCAAGCTATCATCGGCAAGACAGCCCGTCAGTTAGCTCGCGAAGGTGGAGTGGAATCTGAACATATGGAATTACCCATGTTCGATCCTAACCGCAAAAAGAAGTTGACCGAGAATGAGATCGCATTGCGAAGATCAGAGACGGCGAGAAAGAGGAAGAATCAGGTGGAGAAGAAGTTGGAAGATGACAAGGTCGAAACGATCAATCGGTTGCTAAAGAAACAGGTGGGGAGGAGTAGGAACAAGCTTCCGCGTGCAGGAAGCGCTGAGGACTCGGATGAGGAAGCTGAACAAGCCAAGAAGAGGGGAAGGGAAGAGTTGTCGAGGAAGGCGCTGAAAGAGATGCCTGCTCCGTTTTATAGGTCTATTGATAGAGCGGATGGGACTAAAGTCTTGGCTGTTCCTACTGGGCCGCCGTTGGTGGAAGAGGTTTGGGGAAGTAACTATGTGAAAGTGAACCAAGCGCTGATTCAGGAATTGGATACGCCAGTAAAGACAGAAGGTTTGAGCGAGAAGGCAAAGTTTTTGGAGGAGAGAGCGAGGAAGCGTTTGAAACAACAGGGACAAGTGTGGAAGGAGGAGCACGACTTGGAGCAGCTTTGGGGTCAAGAAGGGCTATACGAGTACAAGTTGCGAACCGCTTTGGGTCAGTCAAGAAAGGATTGGATCGGGTCAAGACGGCCACCGACCCCAGAGAAGGAGCAAGAAGCTGAAGCTGAAGAGCAGGAAGAAGACGCGGAAGAAGAAAAGGATGCCAATGATGCAGCAGATGATGCTGAGGAGAACAAGCAAGAGGAAGGCGGCGATGATGCCGAGGCAGAGTAGACTGCAGCAACTTGGCCTGTCTTTGTGTCGCACTGAATGTCACTTTCATCGCATCTGGCCTCTTCCAAGGCCACAAAGTGAAGCCCAACCTGCTGAGAATTGAGTCCGAGAACCCTGATTGGTCAATCGCTTCTAGAGGAGACGGCATCGGCCACATTGTTGAATCCAAGAGATGCCTCGATGATCAAGCCGACGACCGACCGGTGCCACAGACAAAGTCGCTCTTTTGCAAGATTGTAGGAATACGATCATCAGATTCATTATTTTGTGCTTATGCCTGTTGCGACGATACTACTACAAGAGCCGTTGACGAATGGACCTTCTTCACCCTATGTGAGAATCGTGAGCGCGAAAGGGATTGAGGCCGACTGGATGAGGTGGAAAACTAGAGAGATGCGAGATGCAGAACAATGTGTGGTAAGACAGAGGCTGAGATGGTGTTACATTAAATAGATAAAGGGGCTACATTGGATGCAGACGATGATCGCAATGACCATGTTTGGGTTGGATTGAACTTGATGGCCTAGTGCTTGGAAGGCCGAGCGGGTAGTGTGACTAGAACAGCCGCAGAGCCAGAGCCTGTCCCCCGCTAGGGAACACACGATCAAGTGGGAAGAGGGTCAACGGCTGAGGAAGCAGACATCGGAGAGGTCAAGAGAAAACGGAGCCGGTCTCGACAGGAGCCAGTAGATATGGGGTTTTCTTGCGTAGCCAATTGCGATACCAGAAACGGAGAAGGACCGAGCTAAAATAGAAATCGCCGAGAATCACGGAACACCAGGCGGAATGCAGGCAAGTGCATAAGGAGCCGCTGCGTGCAGCAACAACAACGACAATGGATTGCTTGTTAGAATCCGTTGCCACACGTAGCCGCTCCTTATGCACTTGCCGCAACCGCCTTTGGCACCTTGGGCGCCTTGGACTTCTTTCCCTTCTTCTCTGGCTCCTTGCGGGGAGGGAGAGCTTCTTCCCAGACCTTCTCGTTGAGGCCCTTGACGTCGCGGATGTGCGAGCGATTGGCATCCTGGCAAGCGCGCATGGTGGCCTCGTAAGCGTCGGCACCCATGATCTTGCGAAGCTCGATCTCGTTCTTTTTCATCCAGAACACGGGAGGGAGGGTGCGAACCATCTTCTCGCTTGCGGCGAACACAGCGCGGTGTCGCATAGCGGGAGCTTCTGGATCGTCACGAAGATCCGACTGCTTGGTGTTGGGCTGCATAACATCCTTGCGGTTGTACTGGAGCTTAGCCATACCTGGCGACAAGCACTGAACAAGGTAGAAGATGTTCTCGAGGGGTTCTAGGGTGTCAAGGATGACGTTGGGGTCTCGGTCACTGTTGTCACCGTCACCATCCACGCGCACCTTCCAGATGTACTCGTTGTCAAGCTTGTATGAGGGCGCGTTCTCCTTTCGACGACGAAGGGTCTTGCGCTGCTTGCCATCCTCGTTCTCCTTGTTCTCCTTGTTCTCCTTGTTCTCCTTGTTCTCCTTGTTCTCCTCCTCTTCGGCCGAACGGCTGGAACGGTGGAAGTCGATGAACTTTTTGGGCATCCTGATGTACATGAAGCCGTCCTCGGCGAAGGCACCGTGAGGAGCATTGCGGCGGAGAACATACATCTCCGTGCGGGCCGAATCGGTGCTGGCCCAGCCGCTGGTCTCGAGCTTCTGACGCTGCTCGAGGATGAAGGGCCTTGCCTTCTCCCAGGACTCTCGAGTCCAGGGCTTGGAGACGTGGTCAAGACGGACCATCTTCTTGGCCTCGTCCAAGACCTCATCAGAACTGTCGAAGATGACACCGCAGTCCTTGGGTCCCTGTTGAGATATAAAGGAGAGAAGAGGGCGAGCAAAAAGAAGAAAGAAAAGTCAGTAATTGCTAGGACAGAAGTTGTGCGATCACGACAGGAGGTAATAATGAGGAATACGTACTGCAGCGGACATGTCGACGGCCTGCTCCTGGTTCTTGTTGTTCTTCTTGCCCATTTTGGATGTGGGAGATATTGGGTTGAAGGGGGTAGGGAAGGGGTTAGCCTGGGCTAAGACGCTTGAGTTGGTGGTTGAACGTAGCCGAGAGTGGCTACAAAGAGGCTTGCTTTGGATTGAGGAGCAGCAACCAACGACTAGATGCTAGTTCGTTCGAATCTGGTCCGGAGCAGATAAGGATCAGGCGGCCGTGATAATGCTATACAACGGCAGCAGGAGAGAAAAGATTGCGCTGGTGAGGATGTCTTGAATTGACAATGGCAATGAGCAAACGCTGCGTCAGTGATTAGTGTTAAGAGCTGGCTAGTAGAGAGTTGTTGTTGACTCGAGAGTGTGTTGTAACCTGTGATGTTCTGTTGAGAGGAGAGGAGAGAAGAGAAGAGAAAAAGAGGAATGATAAAGGGAGCTGGACTTTATAGGCCATGCTCGGACGATGAGACCTTCCTCACTTCGACTCAACTCATTGCAAGACTGGCAGGGTGCCTCGCATTGTTGCGTCGCGCCTCGCCTCGTCTTGCTTCTTTGTGCTGTTCTGCGCTCGATTGTATTGCTTGGCTTGACAAGGGCGGGATGACAGCGGGGGAATAGTGTCGGAACAGCCGAAGAACAGGCATAGAAAGGCGATTGCTTCAAGGTAGTATAGAGAGACAGGTCAAGTGCCTGAAAGGGCACAAGTCAAGGCGGCGGGGCAGTCTCACATGGTCTTTCATTCAAATGAAGAGCACTTTCGCACAGGTTCTGGAGAAGCGACGCCGGTGAGACGGGCAGAGCCTGTTTGGCTGTGCATTGACGTTGCAGCAGAAGCAGAGTCAAGATGTGGGGTAGCCAGACGCTGTAAACCCACAGCGTCAGAACAGACCCCGAAAATGGCTCAGGATAGCGCAGAGAGGTTGCAAGGCGAAAAGACAGTGTGTTCTCAGCAAGCCATGGTCTGGACCGCAGAATGAGGCGCGAGAACAGAAGACAGCAGACGAGAAAGACAGTAGCGGGCAGAGTAGCAGCCATGTCTGTTTGTTCAGATGGCCCAGCACTTGAGCAGTCGAGGCGAGGAGGCGCAGGGAACGCAGCTGTGGGACCATCAACGCTACTCAGCAGGGCAAAGTGACCTGTGCTCAACCAGCAGATAGCGCAGCTTGTCTTAAGCTTCGACGGCTCCTTGCCCCGGCGGAGAGCGCGACTCTGGTCTACACACCTCTACCTTTCTGGATCCTGGGTGTTCTGTGAGGCAGTGATGTTGCCGTTGTTCTGCAGCTTCTATGAAGGGGCCAGCATCATGCTTCTCTTTCGCTTCTTGTGTGAGGACCATGCCGGCTGTTTCCGTTCAACTTGGTTGGTTGGCAAAAGCCCGTGCCGCCTCGTTAACAACAAGCAAAGTCTCTCTGCACAGCTGTTAGGCCAGCACCCAAGCGCTCTGCACGGTGCGTCTTAAACTCAACTATTGTTCATTCGCAGCAACAATATGCTTTAAAGCAGGAACTGGAAGCGAGGCTTTACACCGTGCCAAGGGCTTATCTGGCGTGAGTGAAAGCAAGGTCCGTAGGTGATTACGCCTTTTTATGTCGAAAAGCAAAAGAGGCAAGGTCAGGTGGACTTGATGAGAGAGAAAATGCCGACCAAGGAGCCGAAGTAGGCAAGCAAAATCAGCGCGGCATAGAGTGGACTCTGCAGAAGGCCGACGGGAGAGGCTTGAGATGCAAAACCAAAGAAAGCACGGGCCAATGGCCAGATTCACTTTGGTTGACGTTGCCCAGTTGCGCGCTCCCCACACGACCTTGGCCCATGACACTTTACGCTATGCACCTTTCTCTCAGCTCGCATCCGAGCTCGAGCTCGATCGAGTATAAGAGTCGCTTTCGGCCGCATACACTTTGCTCCCTTCCTCTGTTCCGACGTTATCTAGTTGCAACATGCTTGCAATGAGGTCTTGAAATTCATGTGCAGTCTAATCTTACACCTGAGCACAGCAGAAGAAGTGCTGGAGCACGCGCGATGAGCCTTTCCGACGGCAGTCGGTCAGAGTCGCTGGAGCGACCGGATTGAGGTGAGTTGCAACGGCGGAGATGGTTGCCCGCTCCGGCTCAGTTCGACTCATTGTTGTGTGCCATCTCTCGAAAGCTTGGAGGTGGGGAGAGAGGGAGAGTGTCACTCACCAACCTCACGCACATCTAGCCGAGCTAACTGCACTGCACGTACCCTAGATAAGGCGGGCTGACGCTGTAAGACGTGACTGGCATGGCCTCTCAAAGCTGCTGCCAAGGCACTTGGCCTGCTGGACTTGCCGCCTCCACACGCAAAAACAAAAACAAAAAACAAAAAACAAAAAACAAAAAAAAAAAAAAAAAAAAAAAAAAAAAAAAAACAACCCACAAAAGTGTGGGGTAAGTATGCAGGGTTCCGCACAGAAGCAGCAGCAACGCGGCATTTTCTTGTGTTTTTATTTTATTTATATTTTCAATTCCTTTTTCTGGTGTCAACGGCTGTGTGACGTGTTCACAGCGCAGGCGGCCTTGTGACCAATCGATCCCATGACCTCCCTTCCCTCTCCAAGAGTCGGCACTCGACTCAAGGCAGCAGCAGAGGTCAGGGTGTCACTTTTTGATTTTCCATGCGAGATTACACTTGTGCTTTTCGAGCTCCGCCTGTCTCTCTCTCTCTCTCTTTCTCTCTCTCTCTTTTCGTTATCTTTGTCTGCGCTTGGGTCTCTAGCCGAAGCTCTCTCCCCACAATCGTCACAGCATCGCAATCTCAGAGCCAGGTTGCAACTCACGCCTTCGGGTGGCTAATTTGCCCCATTTGGCCAAGATAGCGCGAGCAACTCAGACTGCAACATGACTTTTTCGGCTGCTTCGCCATGACTTTTCTGGCTCGAACAGGTCTTGTGACCTTTTCTTTGCTTTTCATCGTCAGCTCATGCACCTCAACGCTGAAATGATGGCCCCTGCACCGGCACCTGCATACGATGCCGTTTCCCTCGACACCATCTGGCTTTCATTCGGCTGCTCGGATCCGCAGGATGTTGAACCCCTTCCTCTTGGCTGCCGGAGGAATGGAAATAGTTGACCATAGTAGCATCGTACTTGCACAAGAAAGCGAAGACGGGCGCAGAGGAGGATGGAGCGGGTCGTTGGGCATTCAGAATGAGCTTAGCTGTGTGAGTGGGTGCATGGGCCACTTTGGTACCGTTGCAATGAGTCGGTCTCGACCTGGGGACACGGGCCATCCAACAAGCCTAAGGTTTCAATGGCGGAGCGCTGAGCTTAGGCGACTCTCACGACTGTGTCCATTCTCAGCCAAACAGGCAGCCAGCCAGTCTCCAACTCGGGCAAGTGATGCTGCTCTCCGCCTGCTAAACTAGCTTCCGTCAATCCTGCGCAATACACCGAGCTGCAGAGATCTTTCCTTCCCTTTCCTCTCCCTTCTCTCTCGCTTTCGCATTCGCGCTAAATCTAGTACTGCAAGATGGAGGAAAGCGAGATGTGAGCTGCGCAAACAAGAGACCAAGCCTTCGGCTGCTGTGCCCGGCATCGAACACACGATCCGCTTGGCTTGTTACGACAGAGCAACAACAATGGGCGTTGATGCTTCAAGGGTTCACCCAGCACCACTTTGAGCTATCGAAAAAGCTGGGTGAGCTATCGACACCTCCTTCTCGCCTTGCAACGAGCAAAGCTAGGAGCCATGGATGCCCCGCATTTACAAGTGATTCTGTGTGTGTCTGTCTGTGTGTGTGTGTGTTTGTTGTTGTGTGCCTTTAGCCTCAGCTGACCTCCACAGTCGCTGCTCCAGCTGAACCACTTTGTTTTGGGGGAAGGGCCTGTTGAATGCGCGCCGCACACCTTTTAGACGCTTGATTAGTTGCTACCGTCGAATGAGGAGGTATCAAGTCAGCAGCCTGCCCAGCCTTCCCTTGTTCCAGGTGCGATACTGGAGCTTCGCTATCTGGTAACGATCGACCTCCCGTCCTGCCCCTCGTCTCTCATTCAGGACATGACACAAGGCACACAGTACGAGACAGTGAGAAAGAAGAAACCTCGATTAGAAAGAATACAATTGTGAGTGTGCGTGGAGCCAGGCAGGGAAGCTTAGCTTCATTTGAATCTGAGCCTCCATCTCGTGTCATGAAAACAGTCCGTCTGTTGCCTGTGGAATAATATAGCACCCACTTGAACGGAATGGCTATCGTCAAATCGACTCTCTCCTGGCGTCCTGTCCATCTGGACCATCCCTGGTGCCAATCTACGTTCGTAATACAACCGCAGTCTACGTCCAGTCTCCCGGTCACACGGGCATTCATAGGAGAAGCCTGAGACCGTGGGCATGCGTCATTGACCTGCATCCAGTCTGTCCTTCTTGCAAGCGTCAGCGTTTGCTAGCCTGTCCTGCTGCCTTTTGGCCTATTGATCCAAGCCGCTACTGCGCACAGGTGCATGTAGCACAACATCGCGACTCACCCAACTTCACCTGGCTACACTCCAGACCATGGCGCTCCACCCAACTTGCTGATACCCAGATCCTCCGCATGTATCCTCGATCAAGTCCCTGAAGGTATGGTATGCTGTCTCGGCTGCGCAACATAAACAGATGCTAGATTTCTCGAAAACAGTCCGTGGCAATCTATGCACAGAACTGCAAGACCCCTTCCTCGTGCTCGACGCCAGACCTGCTCGTCTTCCAATTGTGGCTTGGCATTCGGATCCCTGATCGACACCAAGCTCCTCCTTCTCGGATCAGGTCGGAATGACACTGCTTGCCCGAGAATCGCCGAAGAGCTCCTCACCTCTTGCTTCCTGTCTGTCCTTCTTCTTCTTGATCTGTGCGTACTCGCGCGAGATGTTGGTCGATGTTGTCCAGCCTTCTTCGGGGAAAAGCTCGGCCATCTGCTTGTAGCAAGCCTTTCGAGCATTGATCTCGCTGTATTGCTCTGCCGAGTTCTCGAGCTTGTACTTTTCGTTGCGGATTTCGCTCATGGCGTTCTCGATGGTAATGAGCACGAAGACTTCCTCGCGCATCTCTTCCGACCATCTCCAGCGTTTTGTCGGTTCAATGTTCTCGTCTTCACCTTCTTCCTGGCCCTCAGCATCCGTTGGCTCGTCACCGTTGGAGTCATTGGCAGCGGGCCGACTGGGTTCAGCAGCTTGCCCCTCCTTCGGTGCCTCGCCGCGCTCCATCCACTTCTTGTGCGCAGCTTCAAAGTCGGCGAGCTGTTGTGGGTAGCTGTCGCGGATCATCTTGCCCAGTTTGTCGAGATGCTCTTGCTTGAGATCCTCAAAATACTTGATGTGGTGAGGGAAGAACTCGCGCTTGACCAGCTTCATCATCGTGAAGCGATTGTACGGAAAGATCGTAGGCAGGTGGTTGAAGAAGTTCTCGTCGTACTCGCCAAGCGCCACCGCGATTCGGGCTGTCTCAACCAGAGGCGGCTTGAGGTTGGGTGGGAACTTGGTCTTGACAGCGAAGCTTTCTGCTTCGACCTTCTTCTTGAGATCGTCAAAAGCAGCTTGCAAGCGTGGGTCGACAGGTAAGGTCGGATACCGGGCTTTCTTGGCAAGTTTGGAAGGATTGCTGTCAACATCTTCGACCGGGATGGGCGCATCGCGCGACCCGTCGTACTTCTGCGTGTTGGTCAGCGCCGATCCTGCACCGACAGAGGGGCTGCCAGGATCGCCATTGTTGAGCAACGAACCGAGCTGCATCGAAGAAGGTGAAGCCGTGGCTGGCAGTGGCGGCAACTCGGTGTTCTGCTGTGCCTTCTTGGCCACAAGCTTGTTGAGAGAGCCGGCGAAACCAACTTTGGAGTCACGAATGCTGAGCGGCTTAGGTCTATCTTTCGCCGGCATGGGCTGACCCTTGCCCAAAGCTTTTGCCTTTTCGAGCTCGACGTCACCCTGAGTAACGTAGAAGCCATCTGCCTTCGGTTTGGCAAAGTGGGTAGGCTCGTCAATGTTGAGCTCGGAATCGTCGACAAAGGGGTCGCGCACATCGTACTGGCCAATATCGTACTTGTCATCGGCAGCAGGACGCCTGCGCTTCTTAGTCGCAACTCCTGCGCCCAAAGGTGCACCTGAGCCTTCGCCGGAAGGGTACTTGGCCAGCAACTTGGCGAGACTTCCGAAGCCTTCAAGATCCGGAGGAATCTCGGGGCCACCTGGCGGTGCAGCAGGCTCTGGCTCGGCAGCTTCCAGCATCTGTTCCTCATACCATGTAGCCCAAGGATGCTTCTCATCCTTAAGCTTGTTGAGAACGAGTTCGGGGACATTGATCAAGTAGCCATCCTTCCTGGCTGCGAGGATGGAAAGTCGCACGGTGGGTCGTTTGGGAGGTGGAGGAGCTGTGACAGCTTCCGGCGGTGTCGGACTGCGACGACGCGAACGCTTCTTGGGAGCTGCAGCCTTATCGCCTGACTTGGCTCCATCCTTGGACGAAGAGCCTTCTCCCTTGTCCTCGCCTTCAGAGGCACTTCCTGCGTCGGTGGTGGCCTTATCTTCGTCATCGTCATCTTCTTCGTCATCGTCGTCATCAGCTTCTTCATCGTCATCTACAGCATCCACCGCCACATCCTCAGCCACATCGGCCATGGCAACATCTTGTTGCACCTGCTCTTCGGCATCGTGGAATGTCTGCTCAGGTTCTGTTGCTACGGGACGTTGCGGAGAGGAAAGATGGGAGCGTCGACGATCGCCAAGATCGCTGGTACTGCCGTTGACATTATCTTGTGCTGGCGGTGGTTGCAGATTGGAGCCAGAGATATCAGCGCTGGGACGTTTGCGAGGCGATGTTCGTGGAGAGTTGGCGTACGGCGAAAAGCCGGGTCCGGAGGGACCTAAGAGATTGGCAAGGGAGACACGTGAAGCAGCGGAAGAACGAGGGATGTCTTGGACTTCGGCTCCATCGTGTTGCGAGGATCTGCTATTCATCTTTTGTGTTGTGGGTAGTATGAGTTCGGGAAGAGGGGATGATCTATTGTCGCTACCACTGTCGAGAAGATCGATAACATCCGGTTGAATCGATGGCATACGAGCGAATGCAGATTCGTCGGAAGTAGACAAGCAAAGGCAAAGAGGCTGAGTAGACTTTACTTTTCGGAGTTGTCACGCCAAGTGCTTGAGAGAGACAAGGAGATGAGGTTCGCTTCAAGCGGTCTTATCGATAGTTGCTGTCGTTGATGAGTTGAGAGCCACAGAGAGAGCGTAAACAGGGGTACCAGAGGATTGATATATATATAAAACGTCAAAGTGATCGTGGAAAGGCTGGTGCAGTCAGGTCGAAGGTGATGGTTGCAAAGGAAGGTGGGTCGTAAGGAGCTTAGGTGGTCGAAGGAAAGTAACTGAGATAAGTCTTGACTGAGCCTCAAGGTCTTGTTGACTGTGTTGAGTCTGTTGTCAGCTCTGACTGAGCCTAGTCGGAAACGCCGTCAATCGAACTGAAAGCTGCTCGACTTGGAGCGTATAAGGTTATGGTTGGTGGGAAGGTTCAGAAACTTCCATCCAATAACGGAAGCAAGGCGTAAGGCTGAGACGCGTATCTTGTCACTTTGGAAACAGCCAAATATTCGCATGGATTCGGGTGAGAGCTCATAGACGAGGGAATGAGGGCGCGACGTGCTTCTGCGCAACTGCCTTCAGCTCACAGTCTTGTTGCACTCCCAGCATGTGCCTTGCATCCGAGCCGTTTGCAATCACACGCACACACGCCTTCAGCCAGCAGGTAACGCGCATCCTTCTTCCCACTGAAATTCGGATTCTTTTTCTTCCTTTTTGGTGCCACCATTTTGCCGACTTTTTCACAATCGGGCTTGCCGAACAGAAACGTGCTCAGCTTCCCACGCTTTGTGAGGTGAGCACTTTACTCTGACTGTTCCTGGCAAACGCTATGGCAAACTCCGTTTGGGAAGCTAAGCATGCTCTGCTCTGCTCTGCTCTGACGGCGGTACTGCGAGTGTATCACAGACAAGGACGTTTCAGACCGCCTAACAGCTGCGAGCCAGCAAGGACCAGTGCATCTGTCGCTTGTCCAGTCTTGTTTGACAAGTGGCATGCCCTTGGAGCTCGACTGAGTCGCAAGAGAGGGCTCGGACGGACGGACGTTCAGGTAGGCTGCATTGCAAATGACAATCCGCGAAGAAAAGATTGGTTGCAAGCTACAGTGCGCAGTAGTGACATGTATTCGTGTGTTTGAATTACAGATAGAATTGAGATGCTGCATCGTGACTTTGGATGGACCGATTCGGCTCATTCATGCCAACTATGCCTGAGGGATCCGCTGGCAGTTGATGTGCGTCTTTGCTGGATCGTGGGGCAGAGTGCAGAAGAAATCGAGGCTTTGCATTGTCGAGAACAGCGATTTGGCTGCGAAGAGCAAGGGCGAGAAATAGAGAGACGCTGCTAAGCTGGAAGCTTCACTTCAACGATTTTTTTTTTTTGATTTTTTTTCGAGCTGAGACATACCTTCGAGAGCAATCTCTGTGCAGTTCATTCTGCCATCAGGGAGCTTAGCGCAGAGCTGAGATCGACCCGATCCTCGCTCGCTGCAGTGGTCAATCAAAGGCGATGACCGAGGAAGGTTCCAGTATCAGGAAGGCAGTATCAGGGAGGCAGTGTCAGTGAGGCTGTGTCTCGGCATGGAAATCCTGGCCCGACGATGATCGGAAGGGCCGACACTGCGAATACATACCCGTCCAATGTGAAGATAGCAGCGCCAGTCTGCTGAACGAATTGCCTTGTTTGCTCGTGTGCCGGCGAGTTCATTCGATCTGTGAGATTTGAAGATGCTCCAGACCTGTAGAAGTGCGGCAAGTGTACAGATGGTGTCATTTGGTGTCATTTGGTGTCATTTAGTGTCAGTTGATGTCAGTTGAGGCTTGCTCTCGGTGCTACAGGATGTAGATCGGAAGGCGCTCGCCTCGGCCTGAACAATTGAGCTTCACCTACATTATGACTTGATCTGCGTGCGATGCGTGCTCGAAGATGTCTTAGTCCCGTAGTCGTTGATCGTCCTAAATCGGCTGGATGGATGTGAGTCGTGGTGGTGTGACGATGAGACGGTGCAGGCTCATAGGGTCCTTGACGTTATGCTTTCAGCCGAAGACGCCATTTCTCCTCCACACAAACGTAGAAGCGTTGCGTCAAGGAAAGCAGACGAAAATCTCGGCACTCGGTCAATTTATTAATATTATTATTATTCTGAGGGTGTCTTCTTGAAAGGTCTAACAACTGCTAGGCTTATTTCGGGTCCGAGCTGGAGACTCTTCTAATGCCCGGCAAAGTGCACCCCTTCGTGGAGGAAAGAAAGGCAGGAAATTTTTGAAATTCAGCAAGCGGTCTTGATTTCTTCTCAGCAGCTGAGCCACGGAAGCACGCTCACTCGACATCCAAAGTTTCTCCACCACCAAAAAAAAAAAAAAAAAAAAAAAAAAAAAAAAAAAAAAAAAAAAAAAAAAAGTACTTGCTGCGCCTTACCCACATTCGCCACAGTGAACAGCAACTTCAGCTACCTTGCCCCCATCTTCTCTGGACACCACCATCTATCAACCCATAACCCCCGTACACATCACCACCATGGAGTATCATCCACCAGCAGCGCAGCACATGGTGCTCTGCGCCGATTGCGGTACCCCTATCGCACCCAACAATGCTAATCTTTGTCTCTCGTGTTTGAGAAACTCGGTCGACATCACCGAGTCCGTCCCCAAACAAGCCACTGTCAACTTCTGCCGAAACTGCGAACGATACCTCAACCCTCCTAACTCATGGGTTCCTGCTCGTCTCGAGTCAAGAGAGCTCCTTGCTATCTGTTTGAAGAAGCTGAAAGGTCTCAACAAAGTGCGTCTCATTGACGCAGGTTTCATCTGGACAGAACCACACAGCAAGCGTCTCCGAGTCAAGCTTACGGTGCAGAAGGAGGTCTTCACCTCGACAATCTTGCAGCAGATCTTCGAAGTCGAGTTCGTCGTTCAATACGGTCAGTGCCCTGACTGCACACGTCTTGCAGCCAAGAACACATGGCGTGCCATGGTCCAAGTCCGACAGAAGGTGCAACACAAGCGAACTTTTCTCTACCTCGAACAGCTCATCCTTAAGCACAATGCGCATCAGAATACCGTATCCATCAACGAGAAGAAGGATGGTCTCGACTTTTTCTATTCGCAACGATCACATGCTATCAAGATGGTCGAGTTCTTGAACTCGGTCGTTCCTATCAGGACGACAAAGTCAGAGCAGGTCATTTCGATGGACGTCCACACCTCGACAACCAACTACAAGTTCACATACAGTGTTGAGATTGCTCCTATCTGCAAAGATGATTTGGTCTGCTTGCCACCCAAGATGGCCAAGCAGCTCGGAAACATTGGTCAGCTCGTCCTCTGTCACAAGGTCTCCAACTCGTTGAAATTCCTCGATCCTATCAGCCTCCAGATTGCCGATGTACCCGCAGAAAAGTACTGGAGAGACCCACAACCAGCGTTGGCGACCATTCCGGAGATGGTCGAATTCCTCATCCTCGACATTGAACCCACCGGTCGATACGCCACCAATAGTCACGGTGTTGAGAACAGGCGACTCGAAGAAGCCGACGCCCAGGTATCGCCTTTGAACGCCACCTCATTCGGTGAAGCCGATGCAGTCTACCACACACGCACCCATCTCGGCGCTATTCTCCAACCAGGCGACACAGTCATGGGCTACCACCTCCGAGTAGCCAACTTCAACTCGGCCACCTGGGAAACCATCCCTGCTGACCGCATGCCAGACGTTGTCCTCGTCAAAAAGTCATACCCCGAACGCAAGAAGCGTTCCAAGAACCGCACGTGGAAGCTCAAGTCCATCGCCAAGGAAGCCGAAGATCCGTCCGCAGAAGGTGCTGTGGGTCGTGGTGCAGTCGGTCGTCGTGGTGGCCTGGATTCGCAACGTGTCGAGCGAGACTACGAGCTGTTCTTGCGCGAGCTTGAAGAGGATGAAGAGATGCGAGCCAATGTCAACTTGTACAGGGACACCAAGAAGGAAGAGGAGAAGAGACTGCGCAAAGAACGTGCCGCACAGATCAAGGCTGAGCGCGAAGCAGCCTTGGCTAACGGCGATATGGATGAAGAGGGACAGGATTTCGATGATGGTATGACCACCGATGGTGAGAGTGAGTGGGGCGATGATGATGCACCTCGTGTCCGTTTGGATGAGTTGCTGGATGATTTGGAGGATATGACTATCGAGGATTAAGCATACTCTCCGACAGCCGCTTCTGGACTCCCTCATCTGCATCTCTTCAGTATTCTTCTCTCATTGTCACTTGCATATACCGTAGTCTCGACTCTATTCAGCATTGCAATCCGAGTTTTTCACTCTCCACGCTCCCTTACGACATTGTGTGCAGCTTGTGTTTGATTGAAATGCATTATCAAGTGTGGCATGATGAACCGTTACAAATGAGTGCAGCCATAGACACAGTCAACGTTGATGTGTTGGTGTCGAGAAAGGGCGCTCGAGGCCCATAAAAGGCGACATTTTGACAGGAGATGCTTGATTCGGACACTAGAACAAGAATCTAACCAAGGCTCATTAGACAGCCTAGTCTGACTTGGTAGGATCTTTAGATGAAGCAAGAGGTGCACGCCGATTTGATTTTGGGGTATACTGCATGCCTTTCTCCTCCCGCTCTCGACTGTTTAACCGAGGCAAACTTGGGCCTCGAGACTTTAGATTTTTCGCTCCATCTGCTGCTTAGCCAGTAGCATCCCACTTAGTACTAGGATCAGCCAAAAACGCTTCGTATGCTTCCTTATTGAAGAAGCTCAACTCTGTTTCGTTCTCCACACCGATCTCTGCCAATGTTGTGTTCTCTTTCGTCTTTTGCTCTGCCTTTGCCAAAGCTCCCAGGTTCTTATCTTGCAACACCCAATCGCTGTGATCCAAGTTGATGATTAGATTCGTTGTCTTGCTTCCGTGTGCTCTTGTATACAGTTTGAGCGTATCGAGTTTGTCGGCGTAGCTTTTGAACGCTCTATAAGCCGAATTCGACTTGACCTCCTGTCTGCATTTCTCTTCCAACTGTGCGACAGTGGTGGTTGTAAGATCGATATTCTTAATAACGTAGGCTTTCATGGAGCGAAATTCGAACGATTTGATAATGCGGATAGTGACCACTGCGTCTGTTAGGGGTCGAGCAACGTTGGTTTCTTTGTTGTCGGAGAAGTCGGCTTGTGGGTTGAATGCGTGAAACCCGCCTGGGAGTAGCCTTGCTTCCGTCGTTGTCGTGTCTGTCATCGTGATAGCTTCTCGTGAAAGAGATTCAGGAGGATCAGGGTGATGACGATGATGGTTGAGAAAAGAGAGAGAAAGAGAGGAGAGGATGAGGGGGGGAGGGAGAAGTGCTGGTTCGTCTCGGGAGCTGAGCAGAAAATCCTTCCAGAAGACTCTAGAGAAGGCACAGCGCTAGACGCTGGTCGAAAGGGTTCTGGACCGCGTCACGCCGCAACCCTGTTGGGTTTGATATTGCTCGCGTGGCTTTGACCGCCTAACGCTCCCCTCAATTACGCTCATAGCCAGACCATGCTCAGCAAAGGTCTCACACAATCACTGCACACAAATAGTCTGACAGCTGTCTAGGAACCTAACCAAGAATGGTATTGGCCATTGCTGCGAGTAGAGACTGTTCTCATGCTTGGAAGCTGTCATGTAGATAATGCTCTACTATCCAGAAAGGTCTGGGAAAACACACGAGGAGCTGGTCACCTCTTCACGACTGCTCGGTCCGCCTCCTCCTACATTGGGAGTCTTGGCAACACGAGCCGAGATATGCTGCAGAAGCGATTTCTGTTGCTGCGGAAACTTGCCCAGCATATCCTCGAACGCAAGCAGTTCCGCCGACTTGGCCGGTCCTGGTGTACCCATGCTCCTGCCTGTGTCCATGCTAGGTCGGGCGTGCGGAGTTGTTGCACCTGTCGGGTCAGTTCGGTAGGGAAGCTGGGATGTGTATCTGTGTGATAGAGAACCGTTCTCGGGAGTCTGAATGCCTTGAGAAGTGAAAGTTCCGTCTGAGGTCGAAGCATCAATGCTATCACCCGCACCCATCGGCATGCCATCAGACCACTGCACTAAGCCGATACCCAATCCCGCCATCTCTCCTCCGTTTGGGCTCGCGTCCCCATCGATCGCGGCGCCGCGATTCAAGGATGCCGAGCTGCCTCCCATCTCCTTGGGCAACTGCTGTCCGAAGGATGGTGTAACAGGGCTCGGCACCAACTCGCTTGCCTCAACCTCCAACAGCTTGGTCACCATCTCTGCTGCCACAAGACTGTTGCGGCCCGTAGCTTCGATGCTCGGCCTTGGTCCACCGCCAAAAGAGGGTCGCGCAAAACTGCTGAAAGAAGGCCTTGCACCGCCACCAAATGAAGGCCGAGCTTCCACTGACATCGATGGTCGCGAACCCATCTCGTTGCTGGCGTCGTCACCACAGCCTTGCTCATCGTCAAAGTCGAGCACAATGACATCGGCGGGTCCAATACCCTTGCTGGCCTTGTCACCCTTGCTCTTGATACCCAAGCGCTTGATCGCCTGTCCAACACTCGAGCTCGTAGGCATTGGAGGACTGATCGGACTTGCTACCGGAGCACGATCGCGATCTTGCGAGAAAGATGTTCGACCAGCACTGCGTGCAGTGCTGAAGCTAGTCGAGCGCCAAGGTGTCAGTTGCTCGCCAAAGCTTGGTGTAGCTGGGGTCTTGGGTGTCGTTGAGAGCTTGTTCGTGGTCGGTGAGCTGATGAACCCAGAACGAAGTGAAGCAGGCGATTCGAGGGAAGAAGCTTCTCGAACAGTCGATTCCGACTTCCTGCTCGGACGCAGAATGTCGAGGCTGATCTTGCGGGGCCTGGCATTTTGAGGCGCTGCAAGCTGCAGGGTTGGCGGTAACGGCTGTGCTCGTACATTGCCGCTGACGCTTCTTCGCACTGATCTGTGTTCGCCGAATGAGCGCGGGTTGGGCGAGGTGGGCAACGACCTGGGCGTAGGGGAAACGCCACCAACTGCATCCAACTCTGCAGCAGGCTCAGCGAGGTACGATAGGCGCTCGCTGAGCTCTTCTACACGTGAGAGACGATCCACTGAAAGGTTACCACGGATGAAACGACCACGTGGCGACTTGAACCGCTGTTCATTACCAAATGTCTCGCCAAGCTCTTCTGCGGCATCTTCACCTGTGGGCTGGTTGTCAGCTTCGAAATCCGTTCTGGCTCTGGCTCTGGCTCTGGCTCTGGATCTGCCATTGTCGCCAAATCCGAGGGTGCTTAAATCTGCATCATCCAACGTGGCTTCCAACCCTGGCTGAGGCGTTTCGCTGAGCAGTGCTGGGCTCAACGTCTTGCGAATAGTGGTGCGCGTCTGTCCCACAGGCACAGATGGATCTACCGGCTCAACAACGTCAAAACCTCGAGTAGACGACATCGATGACCTAGGTGCAGTCTGCTCGGCAAGGTCGGGGTGAGAGATCTTGGGTGGCAATGGTACAAAGCTATCGGTCAGAGCAGCAAAGTCTTCTTGAGTCTTCATTCGTCGCAGCAGCCTTCCAAGAGATCTAGAGGCCTTCTCAGCTGACGCGAAGCTAGACGAGGTTGGCATCATTGGTGATTCTTCCCAAACAGAGCGAGTCAGTTCTTGTTCTGGGCTAGCGAAGCTGGCTGACATCGAAGCGAGGATCCGGTTTGAGGGGCGGCTGTAGCTTTGCATGTGTTCTTGATTGCCGATATTGTCCTTCTGTAGGCCGGCAAGATGTTGTGGGATAGCCGGCACTGCCGGTACAGCCGCCATGTCATTATTGCTGCGTGACGAGGACAGACGGCGAGGAGATGTCAAAGACTTGACGCGGTTGCGGAAGGGTCGATCGGCCTTGTTGGCATTCGCTGGGCTGTATCCTGGTGGACCTCCGGCAGGGGAGCCGAATGACGCTTGATACGGGCTTGATGCTGCTGACGAGGAGAACTTGGTCGGGAACTGGCGCGCAGGTGTACTCTGCGTTGCCTTTGGTGTCATGGAACTTTTGACTTTGCTGAAGAAGCCGCCGATTTTACCACGTCTAGGCTGCTGCTGCGATATGGTCAGGGAAGCATTGCGGGCAAACGTGTCGTATGGCGAGTCGACACTCTCGTGCAGGTTGCTGGTAGAGCGACTGAAAGTGCTGGCGATGCTGCGTGAGCTGGACATGGTGGGTAAAGATGCATCTTGGCCGCCGACATTGTCATAGGATGCTTCACAGCCAATGCCACTAAACTCTGTACCTGCCTGTGGCAACGCCTTTCTGCGCAGACCTACGCTCCTAGACTTGCGACTGGATGGAGACTCAGCTGCATTTGCGGCACCAGCATTGAGAGTCGAAGCCTCATTACGGTCCTGTGGCGCTTGGGCTGCAGGGTTGGAGACTTTATTGCCCCTTGTCGATGGCACAGTAACACGTTGCTGAATGTCTGAGCATCGCAGGGCATCTACGATCTCATTTTCGGGTCGGTCAAGTACTTTGCTAAGCGGTCGCGTGTGTCTAGCAAGCGTCGCGTTGCGTGGTCGAGGCAGGAAAGGCCTCACGAAGCGCGAGTCGGAGAAGCTTCGACGACCCCTAAGGATGGGCTCAACTTGCGGTACAGCAAGGATCGACTTGACACGGTTGCCAGTAGCAGCTGGCCTAGCTGTTGTAGCAGGCCCGTTGAGCAAGCCTGCACGAAAAGGCGAGATGATGGAATCTAGACTGCGACGCACTACACCAGGACCTCTGGACGGCTTGTAAGCGGAAGGTTGTTGGGTGTAATGAAAAGCAGAGGTCGAAAGATGTGGAAGGGCTCCTGAGCCTTCTGCATTGTTGTCCTCGGGCTCTTGGTCATCCGAGTTCTCGAATTCATTGTCGTTGGCGCGGAACTGATCGTCATGACGCAATGGAAAGATGTTAAGATCGACCTTTTGCGAGACATCTAGGCTTTGACATATCTCTTGGGCTTCTTCGCTAGTGAGAGCCGGTACAGGTAAGCGTGGCACTGATCCGGTCTTCTGATGCACAGGTAGCGCGCTGTGCTTGGGAGGAACGGCTGGCGGCGGCCCAGTTGGAGATCGCGGCATTGGGTCGGTGGCTTGTTGGATTGATGCACCGAGCTTTTCGGGGAACAGCGGCCCGCCAAGTGTAGGCATTTCGGGGCCGAGAAGATGACGAATCTTGCTCAGCGACCTGCGAGAGGGTGCAATCTGATGAGCTGCTTTTGCGATCTGTGTCGGCCTGGAAGGTGTGGATGGCTGAGAAGGTGGCGAGGCAAGCTTTGTACCTGCCAGTAGTGGCCGACGAGGAAGATGCAAGAAGCTCTTGTCGTCCAGGATGGTGTCGCCGGGCAATGTGGTGATAGAGGCTTGTGCCAGTGAGGCGACATGGCTTGGGTGAGCAGAGGTGCATGTCGAGCTTTGCTGACGAGCATGACTACGGTCCAGTCGTGGCCCCGGCTGGCAGAGCTGAATGCTAGGTTGTAGGATGCTGGGCATTGATGAGAGCTGCGGTGATTGGTGCACCTTGTCGAATGAGATAGCAGAAGCATAGGGATGTGCGATACGAAGCGAAGCGGGCGCGGATGGCGATGGGAGAAGTGGCTGGGGTTGAACTGGGTGAAGGTCATGGTCGTGGTTGTCGCTTGTGGTGCTCGAAGATGAAGGCTGGTTGGCAGTGCGAGGTGTGGAGTTTGCAAGCTCTGGAAGCGAAGGTGAGCCAAAAGTGGATTGCCAGTTTGTGGAACTTGTCACTCTCGGCGGTGGAATGGGAGGTAGGAGTGGTTTGGGACGGTTTGCATCGCGCAGTCTGCGATTGCGTCTTCGATGACTTGAGCTGGTTACTGATGAAGAGCGATATGAACGCACAGAGCCCTCGAATGAAGCGCGCACGGGGGTCGAGCGGTCGTCACCGGAATGAAATGCAGGGGCGAGGGGGTCGTCGGCGTCAGAGGCGCCTGCCTGCTGAGATTGAGGTTTGGGCAAGTGCCATGTGCCAGCTCTGCGAGAGGTCTGCTTTCTGCGGGTTGGAAGATCTGAGTGGTCGAGTGACTTACGAGAGGATGGCGTGCCTACTCGTGGTGAAGCAAGCTTGTCGCGCTTCGAGGCGCTGGAGAAGGAAGCTCGCGATGATTGGGTGGAGAGAGAACCGTAGCGCTCCTGCCATGCGGCATGGTCGGGGTGTCTTGGATCGGCAGCCTGAACAATAGCATCAAAGAGCTCTGAACCCAAATGAGAGGGCTTGGGCTGTGGCTGTAGCGGGCTTGGCCCTGCCAGGGGGAAAGTCATGTTGCTGGAGGAAGCGGTGGAGGAGGAAGCGGTGGAGGAGGGGGTATCGATTGGAGGCTGAAGGCGAGCTGATGACCTGTTGTTCCTCAAAGCGTGGATTGTTACCGCACTCGTACCAGCATGCACCGCACTGGAGGGTGAGGCATGAGTATTGCTCGTGTCATAGGCAGCCGTGTTGGACTGCGGGTGGTATCGACCAGTACTGGTGTCGGCCTGAAGGGATGATGAATGTGTCGGTAGCTTGTAGGGATGGTTCTGTAGCGAAGTTGCCATGTTGGGCTGCAGTGCAAGTCCCAGGGGTATCAAGGTGGCAATTTACACTCGCAACAGGTCAAGGGCGGGGCGAGAAGATCATCGGAATCCTTGCTTGTTTCGTCGAAGTTGGCTGGCTGACTTGTCTGTCAAGCAGGAAGCGTAGGCAGTGAGGGGAAAGAAGGGGAAGAAGGGGAAGAAGAAAAAGAAGAAAAAGAAGAAGAAGAAGAAGCGATCTGAAAGTTGACAGGCGCGGGCGAAGGCGGGGAGCGTCAAAGCGTGGCTCCGTCCAACGTGGCTTTCCGGCTCACAAAGAGAGCGGTTTCTGTGCGACGATAGATGAGCGACTTGACATCAGCCGAAGGAGGCAAGAGGCAAGAGGCGAGAGGCGAGAGGCGAGAGGCGAGAGGCGAGAGGCGAGAGGCGAGAGGGTGCGCAGATCAGCATATACACACACACTCTCTCTCACACACAAATCATACAAATCCATGCTAAAGCAACGCGAAACAGCCGAGAGATAGGATTTTACTGCACTTTTGCAGTGTCTCTCTCTGCTGCACTGTTCAGAGTTGAAGATGTGGTAGATACATTATCAAAGCATCAAGCAGCAGCATGGCTGCAGTTTCAGTGTTGCATTCTCAAAGAACACCACTTTGTGAGAGAGTAAGCAAGCAGATTTCGAGAATCTCGCCTAGACTCACAAACTGGAATATCATTATTATTATCATTATTATCATTATTATCATTATTATCATTATTATCATTATTATCATTATTATCATTATTATCATTATTATCATTATTATCATTATTATCATTATTATCATTATTATCATTATTATTATTATTTCGTTTGGTCTCGCCTTCTAGGCCTGCTTGTGCGCCAGCCAACTTGGGGCTTGCTGTCTCTATCCTCATTTCGAAAGCTCGGTTCTTGCTCGGTTGTCTACTTCTGCTGTGAAATGTGTTCATCATCGGATCTGCAGCTCTGCGCTTTCCACGGTGGGCTTCTACCTGTCCAACACTCTCCATTGTTCCTCCAGGCAATGAGAAGAAATAAGAAGAAGAAGAAGAAGAAGAAGAAGAAGAAGAAGAAGAAGAAAAAGCAAGGTCGCAACGGTGGAGCGTGTGAGGCAAACTGCAAGCCTGAATTGAGCCTCTCGACTTCGGAAGCTTGCCCCCTTGACCCCTTGTCCCCTTGTCCCTTGCCCCCTTGCATCGAATGAATGGCTTTGTCTAGAAGCTGTCATTCCGTTCGGCAATCGAGTTCATTGATGCAGATCAGCAGTGTCGCTTCCTCCATTCTTCATAGGCCAAGGGACACTGTAGACGTCTTTCGCATTCTAGGATTAGGGTGCGACAGTCGAGATGAAAGCTTGATCCTGAGAGCCAGCGAATCATTTCAGTTTAACAATTCGCAATTGACCGACGGATGGACCGACGGATGGACCGACGGCACTTTTATGTTTTTATTTCTCATTTCTCATTTCTCATTTTGTTTTTGTTTTTGTTTTTGTTTTTGGTTTGAGAAAGGTTTTCTGCCTCTATCTTCAAGGTATGAGCCAGGAAGAAGGGTGAGCCAGGAAGAAGGGTGAGCCAGGAAGAAGGGTGAATGTATGCACAGGAGTGCAAGTTGACACGACCACGCTTGCGTCGCAACAGCCGCAATCCTTCACCGCACCAGAAAGATTTCGGATGGACCAGAGCATATTGTAGGCCGTTCTACCCGCCAATCAACAGAATATGACGAGATAAAGTCTCCCAAGGTACTGCGATAGTCAGTCACAGCAACAGCAACAACACAACACAACACAGGCTGGACTCATCCCTTCCCGGCTCGGCCTGCCAGAATGTCATAAGATCGATCCGTCTGGAACTTTGTCATCATTCCATACATACATCTTCTAGCTTAACCCTGCGAGACATGATGTCGGCTAACTATGAAGCAAACGCTGCTATACGAAAAGCTCTTCCGGTAAAAGTGACTCTGGTGGAGAAGACGACCAAAGATTCTTTTGCGAATCGTTTGGTCTGTAAGCCGAAGAAGATCGCTTATGGCAGCAAATGCATGCCTCTATAACATCTAATGCCTGCCGACGCTGCTGGCAAAACTCGGTCCTCTGTTGGCAAGAGCTGCTTTGGCAGGACTATTCGAAGCCGACGCTGTCGAAGCACGATCCCCATCCGATTCCATTCGAACACGCTTGTGCGGGCTCCTGTTCGTCGCACCTGTCGCTCCACTATTCGCTCCACTATCTGTCCCACTATCTGCTCCACTATCCGCCCCTCTAGAGCCAACAGCTTGGTCTGCGGACACCTCATCGACACTTCTCTTTTTGCTAGGACTGTCCGATCTCAATGTCGTGTTGGTCGCAGCAGCGGTTGACGTCGCTGCAGAGCTTCCGACACGGCTCCAAAAGTCTGCATAGCTTGTTGCTCCTCCTGAAGTAGCAGAAGCCGATCCAGCCAATCGACGTGAGCTGCTGTTGTTGTTGTTGCTCGAGTTGTTGCCGCTGTTCGGAGATCGCTTTGTCCCTGGCCTTGCTGCATCGGCTCCCTTTGACGCGCAAGAAGCGGCGCTGGCGTTGGGTGGCGAGATGGGTGTCGATGAAGTCGAGCGACCACGCTTGCTCGTCAGGTACGAAGTCGCACCTGAAAAGCTGCCGACGGAAGCAGGTGGCGTCGCAAGTCCATAACCGCCAAATACATCACCGCCTTCAATGTCAATCTTCTTGATCGCCGCATCCTTGAACAGCCGGGATCCGACGCCCACCTGGCCTTGTCTTGCAGCAACGCTCGGCGTCACTGGTGCCTTTGAAGCATTGTTGTTCGGCGACGTTGATGCGCTCTTACCTGCCGTAGCTGCAGCAGAAGCAGTTGCGTTGCTATTAGAGCTGCCAGTGCTCGTGCTGGATTGATGTTGACGGTAGTACAAGTTCTCAACTTCCGATAATGATTGCTTCGACTGTTGTTGTTGAGACGTTGCGAGCAGACGCATCAGTAGAAGCCATGGTCCAGACGGTCAGCATTCAAGCAGATCGAGTTCAACATGCATCACAGGTGAGATCGATCAACTTACCCAGCCATGCTTAACCTTGAAGTTTGCATACTGTAGCCGCGTCATGAGATGTTTTGACAGCTGCAGAAACAAAAAGTATAGTCCAAATGCAATACATCAGGTCAGTATGTGGTCGCCCTGCAAAACGACTAACGACGCCGCCGCCGTAGAGTTGAATTCTTACCGCAACAAGCCGTGTGCGTTGCGCCTGTGCCTGTTTGCGTGCCTTGCCTGGCGTTATGGGTACATTGGAGCATGTTGACGATTGAAGTGGTGCTAGCAGGAACGACTGGGATGAGGTGGTGGCAGTACTGCTCGATGTCGGTGGCTGAGATGTCATGATGCTGTTGTTGTTGTTGTTGTTGTTGTTGTTGTTGTTGTTGTTGTTGTTGTTGTTGTTGTTGACTGATGGTGCCGAGGTGCTGGGGATGGTTTGCACCAGACTCATTGGCGGTGACAACCAAGACTGGATATGGGCGGCCGTGTGAGGAAAGCCAAATGGGACAAGGCAAGAGAATTGGCGGTCAGCTCCTGCAACACATGAATCGGATCAACATAACAACACCCTCGGTGCTGTGACAGAAGCTGCAGCGGCAACGGCTGACCATGCTCCCAAGGTGGCGACAAAGCTCGACTTACCCTTCTTGCAGATGTATAGTCGATGCTGGAACCGTGATGTTCTGTCTCGGCTTCGTCAAGGAACGGTTTGAGAACCGTTTGCTTCCCTCCAACTGTAGAATGGCAAAGAAGCTATTGCTGTCCTGCAACGGTTTGGTGTCAACCTTCCGTGTTGTGACTGCCGACTTGCTCCTGATGATGCTCTCCCTCCTAGACTGCACAAAGATGCGGTGCTAACCAGAAGGCCCAAGCGTCCAAACTTTGACGAGTCGCAGTGGTGATAACCAATGTAGGCTGAGGTGTTGTGTAGGGATGGCCGTTGTAGAGTAACAGAAAGCAAGCTGAACCAAAGGGTCTGTCGTTTAGCTAGCTACAACACAAGGTCCTCGTCTCGCTTTCCGACCTTCTTCAAGATCTGGGACAGATGCCGGATCAGCAACGCAGTTCACCTTGCAGCAAGCAACACACACACACACACACATACACACACACACATACACACACACACACATACAACACACCGCTTCGCCTGCCTCCTCAATATACACAAGATCTCTCCCTCTGCAAGCGCTTGGTTGCTCTTTGCTTTGCTTGCCTACCGTTGAGCATTGCAAGTCTCCTGCTTTCTGGCTGATCTGGTCTGGAAATTTTTGCAATTTGGCTGTGCTTTGCTTCAAGTGTTCGTCTGTTGCAGCTCCAGACGGTGAACAGTGAACAGGAAGGACCAGAGAAAGCAGCACAAAAACAGCGCGTGTTGGCTCAGCCCACGCCCCTCACGTGATAATCACAGAGTGGAGGCGAAGAACAGCGTTGTTAGATTTTCGAAAAGTTCAAGCTCGAACCCTTTTTTTACTTCTTTTCTTTTTTTTTTTTTTTTTTTTTTTTTTTTTTTTCTCTCTTGAGATCAACTGCACGGACCAAGTCGAAGGTGACGCTCCTTACCCTTCCTTCTTGACACCAATCCTGGACGACACCATATCAAGCAGCGATACCATTGCCACCATGTCGAAACCAGCAACAGCAGCAACCGGTTCCTCCTCAACACCTGGCATCGAGCGTCTCTCTCTCGGTTCGGCATCCAGCCCCTCTAGCTCACGTCCATCTCATGCGCTGCCCAATCTCTCGATACCAGCCAATGCAGGTGCTTCAGGGAGTGGAGATGGCACACCTTCCGGCTCTTCAGCATCTCTCATCACACCTGATCTCCTTGATCTAGCCACTCCGGCGCCACACTACATAGATAGCCAAGCGCTCCACTCGCTTGCAACAGAGATGGTGCACACCCTCATCCAAAGCTCACGCTTCGTCTCTCGCAAACAATCGCTTGCCCGCGAAAATCTCCGTCTAGCAGGTATCAATATCCCACCGCCCACCCGACCAGTGTCCATAGCCACCACTACCGGCCCCAACACGACCGCTTCCACTTCGTCTTCTGCACACAACCAAGTAGTCCGCTCAGTCTCCTGCATAGACGACTCTGAAACGCTCACCGAAGTCGAGACTCTCCTTACAACCAGACTCGAGTCCATCGGCTATCACGTCGGTTACCACCTCACGCAGACCCTCGCACGTGATAGAGCTAGATTTACCGACACACTCGATGTGCTCAAGTTCATCTGTAAAGAAGTTTGGACGGCAGTTTGGGGGAAACAAGTCGACAATCTCCGAACCAATCACCGAGGAGTTTATGTCTTGCATGATAACCAGTTTCAGCCTTTGAGGTATGCTTCAACTGCACAGGGACCAGCGGTGACGGCGAAGGAAGCAAGAGTATTCTTGAGCTACAGCGTGGGGATTGTGAAAGGTGCATTGTCACAGTTGGATGTAACGAGTGTGGTAGTGGCAGAGACGAATCAGGCTCCTGGCTGTACTTTTCACGTCAAGACTCAGCAGAAGCCGGCGACGACAGCGGCAGGGCAGGCTATCGCGGGGACGAACCAGGCGGCAGCGGGGTCAGCACCCGCGTCCTCAGCGGCTGCGAACTAGTTGCTGTCGCTGATTGCAATCCAGATATACCCATCTCACTCACTCACTCTCCTAAGGTTGCAGCCTGGCCTGACCCTGAGTTGCAGTTAGTTCAGAGTGTGATCCGAGAAGAGTGTCTGCGTTGAAATTAAAGTCTGGTGTGCTACAGATCGAAAATGCTATCATCGTCTTCCTGAACCGTCTTCTTCCTTGTGAACTGTTCGAAGCTCACGTGAGCACATCAAAAGCAAGTTTGTCAGCACAGCGTCAAGCTATTCGCACCATATAGAGTCTGTTGGTGCTTGCGACTTACAGTAATCTTCCCAGCAGATTCGCCTGCCGACGCCTGATCGACTTGATCCAGCAGACCGATGAGCTGATCTTCGGTAATCCTACCACGAATCTGACCAGACTGAGCCATGCGAATGAGCAAATCGGTGATCTCTCTTGCTTTTTGTGGTTTCACTAGGCCGATTCTCGATACTGTCCGAGCCCAACAGATAAGAAATGGAGTCAGTGTCTGCAATAGGACGAGGGAATGAGGACGAGAGAGTCCGGAGACTTACGCCTTTCGCGAGCCTCAGCATCCAGAATACGGCTCAACATTTGACGCTTCATTTCCTCTTGTTGTGCTGCTTGCTCTTCTTGATTCTTTCCGCCACCTGCTGACGAGGCACGACCTGATCCACCGTCAAAGCCTTTGATGTTCGTGAGAGTACATGAGTCAGTTCTGGTTCAGAATGATGGAGATGGGTGGATGGAACAACTTACCCGCAGGACCAGGTGGACCACCTGCAGAGGGGCCTGCTCCGCCACCAGAGCCACGAAGCTCAGCCATACGGGCTGCTCGGATTGCTTGCAATTCCTCGTTCTCCATCTTTGTAATATGTGACGAGAGAGAAGGATGCTCTTTGAATACATACACACAGAAGGATGAAGTAGTCTTCTCTTGCAAAGAAAGCGCAAATCGATGCGCGCTCAACTCCGAAATCCGAGAATTTTGCTCTCCTCCTTCCCCGCACAATCACGCTCACTCACACCAGGCATGCACACATGCATACCAAAATGCTGCTGGACACTTTCTATTCTGTCAGAGGAGTTGTTGCAAAGACAGACAGATAGCTTAGAAGATGAAAGGAATGATAGCTTTCCTGTTTTTAGGGAACTTATCACCAAAAGTCTTCTTGTACCAAGCATGTCCATTTGTCGCCCTCGGTGCCATCAGGCAAACCAGCACGAAAGGGAACAAGAAGGGCGGTGTCGAGAGAGCAGTTGCGATCGCATCCTTTGTGCTCAAATGAGCAAAGATGGGAAGCGAGTAAAGCGCAGCAAAAGCGAAAGAGAACCATTCGAACCACTCGCAAAGGTAGTTGGGGAAGCTGATGTACTCGAACAAGCCTCCTCGAGGGATGGAGTACTTGCGTGCTGCAGAGCCTTTGCCGACGTTGGCCTCGTCGTCTGCCTTGTTGTTCTTGTTGGATTGCTGTTGCGACTTGGGTCGGCGAATGTCCATGAGGATTCCATCGTGGTAGACGTTGCCTGCGAAACCAATAGCCCAGCCTGCAAGACCAAGGTACCAGAGAGGACTCTTCCAGACTGAAGACGAGATGAGACCGGGAGCACCGATTCCGAATGCATCCACAGCACCGGTCGATAGCAGCTTGCGTGCCAACTCGGAAGCTGTGCTGCCCGCCTTGAGCGATACTGCAGTCAAAGCAGCCGATGCAACAGCTGGCTGGGGAAGAGCCGACCAAGGAGTTCTACCACCGAGCCAGCTTCCCATCACAAAGCCATTGATCAAGTTGAATGCCACCGCAGAGAGCGCAACCGAGATGTGCAGAGGCGAGCGCTTGGGTGATCTGAGTGGCTGCAGAACAGCACGATGCGTGTAATGAATCAGGAACATGATGACCAACACCTGGTTTGCGGATGGAAGCGCCAAGAACTGCTTAGTCCAAGGCGAGAATAGCGCAGACATCGGAGGCAGCAAGCCCGTCGTCCCCTTGACTACTGAAGTCGAAAGTGGCTTAGAGAGTGCACCAAGCAACACAAAGATGGGCGAAGGGATTTCCATGATGAACCAGCCAAAGTTGCCGTTGATGTTGAGCAAGCTTTCGAATGCAAATCGACCGTGAGGAGCATTGATGAGCGAGAGAACGGGGACGAGGAAAGGCCATGATTTGAAGCTAGCCAATACGACCGAGTAGAGCTGCGCAGGAGACCATGGTGGGCTTGGAATGGTGCCGACGCCAATCACGTCCTTGATCCATGTCAAGAGCGCCATTGTATTTGAATATATCCAATGTGGCGCCGGGACGAATAGGCAAGATAGAGAGATGCTTAATGTTTGCTGCCCTTTCGAGCTTGTGGTCTTGGTGGAAAGAGGGGAGAATGGAGGGATCGCTGTGAGAAAGATGCTCATATGAACCCCATCCATATCGCTTTTGCTCGCTACACACCTCCACTTCCTTGGGTACTGCTTGTGTGTGTCACTTTTTGATGCCCAGCTGACCAACCGCCAAAAAGAAGACTTCAGCAAAGGATGCACAGACAGGAGCAGCATTATTTTCGGCATGATATTGCTGAAAATAACAATCCAGCAGAGAGCAAATGCGGCGAAGAATCGGGCCAGATCGATCTCTCGCATGATTGGGAAAGGAGATCTGACCATGAATGAGATGGAGCTGATATGACGAGAGTTTGGAGACAACACAGTCCCACTTGTTGTAAAGCTAGGTCATGAAAGAGCATACTCCCACAATAGGTATCAACCTCATGAATGTATATATATCACACAGAGAGCACTAGGCTCTCGCCACATTCCTCCAGTCAATTTAGTATATGTTTCTGCCTTAAAAGAGTAGTGACATTGTACTTAGACTATCCCCAATCACCAGTATTGAGACCCAAACAATGTCAAACTTTCAACAGGTTATGAGCCCAAACTGCCAATATGCCATTACATCAGTATGTCAAATGTCAACTATTCCATCTACAGTGCATTCACTGCTCCTGTACAAAACCTCCTACCATGACTGCCCCAGGTACTCCAAGACCAATTCAATTGAGTCATGGAAGAAGAAAGTTATGGCACTCCTAATGCACCAAAAGATGGCCAGCTATTGAAGTTCACATTCAATAATGATCAGGAACAGATAATCTCATATCTGTCTATCATGATTGAATGCATTAGCATACTGTACCAAGGAATGCATGATCTCAGTCCATTTGCCAACTGTTCTGAACTTGGAAAACAAAAGTGTGCCAGAGTAAACCTCTTCATCACCAATGAAGACTGGAATGCTGCTCACATCCTTGATCCAGAAGGACTGACATGCAACCCGCTGGTGAAGAGCAGGATCACAATGTGAGGCAACTACTGCCTCCTTGAGTGTTCAAGGAGACAGCAGACCATGACTTGATCCTAGTGGCCCCTATGATCTCAATGGAGTCCATAGCATCAAAAGGTCTCAGAGACCTGGTCAAGATCTTCCAGCCCTTAGACCAAGAGCTACAGGAGATACATGCAAAGAAGCCCTTTGAGGTCAAGGATGACCTATGGTACAGTGGAGGAAGGTTGGTTATCCCCAAAGTGATCATGCCAGGGAGGACCAACAACTGACACTCAAGGAGTGCCAAAGAGGTAGATGGACAGTCTCTCTCTGTAGAGCATCTGTGATTCATGGTGATGACCCAATGCCATGATGGTATTACTGCTGGACACATAGGAAGAGATGCTACCATCAAGGCAGCCCAACAACACTACTGGTGGCCAAACATGACAGCTTGGATTGCAGACTATGTAGCAAGTTGTCCTGTATGTGCTAGGTACAAAGCTCCTCATCACCATCCATATGGTTTGCTACAGCCACTAGCAACACCAGACAGGCCCTGGGGCTCCATATCCCTTGACTTAATTGAAGGACTACCACCATCGAAGAAGTATGACTCAAAGACCTATGACTCTATCTTAGTCATTGTTGACAGGTTAACCAAGTTTGCCATACTAGCTCCAACCCATAAGACAGTCATGGCCAAACATACTGCAGTGTTGCTATATGGACACATGGTTAGACTCTTCAGATACCCAGATCACATGGTCTCGGACCAAGGCAGGCAGTTCATATCAGGAGCATGGAAGGCATTTGCAGAACAAATGGGTGTGAAGCACTCACTTAGCATGGCCTACCATCCTCAAACTGATGGTCAGACAGAGAGGGTCAATCAGGTCATAGAGCAGTACCTAAGGATGTACTGCAACTATGAGCAGAATGACTGGGCCGACCTGCTGGACACTGCAGCCTTTGTATACAACAACATGGTCCACAACAGCATTGGTGTCTCACCATTCTTTGCATGCTATGGATGGAACCCCAAAGCTCATCCTGACATCCCTCAATGACTAGGAGTCAATGATCCAGGTCACTTCGAGTACCTCATGGATGGAAAGGAGCATTGCAAGTACCTCCAGGAGCAGATCAGAGAGGCACAACATAGATCAGTAGACCAGTATAACAGGAAGCACAAGGACATCAAGTTCAAGGTGGGTGATATGGTCTATATCAACCATTGAAACTGGAAGACAAGGAGACCCACACCCAAGTTAGATACCCAGTTTGCAGGACCCTACCCAGTTCAGGAATGGGTAGGATGCCGAGCTTATCAAATCACATTGCCAGCAAACCTTAGGGTGCATGATGTGTTCCATGTCTCCATGCTCGAACCAGCAAGAACAAGTTCTCTTCCTCAATGAGCTGAACAGCCCATCATACCATCACTTTCAGATGAGGACCTCGATTTTGAAGTTGAAGCACTCATCAACAAGCATTCACACAATGGGATGACAGAGTACAAAGTGTTATGGAGAGGGTACTCAGAAGAAGCTGCTTCATGGGAACCAGTAGAGAACCTCAACTGTCCCAACCTCATCCAGGAGTATGAGGTGTCGGAGGGGGGACGAGCGAGTAGACAAAGTAGAGAGAGGAGGAGAGAACAGGAGGAGTAGAGAGAGGAGGAGGAAGGAGAATGAAGTTGAGAGAAGGAGGAAGGGTGATGTTGACAATGTTGTCGAGGAGGAGGAGGAGGAGGAGTCAGCATGAACCAGACCAGAGCATGCCTCGATGGAGCTCGGCTCTTAAGAGGGGGGTAGTGTCATGGGCCTGGATGCTCAAGAAGCAGGAGGGTCACTGGTTCATATGGAAGGAGCACAAGTATCGAAGATCCAGTCGATACCATTAGAGAGCATGGTTGTAGTGCAGTCTCCATGGAGACCATGGACTCCTACAGACTCACATGCAAAGGAGGACCAAGCCATATGCAAGGAGGGCCAGGCACAGCCATGAGGAGGACCAAGCTCAAGGAGCAGGCACAGCCATGAAGAGGACCAAGCTCAAGGAGCATGCAGATGGTTACCACTCAGGGGCTCGAGAGACAAGAGTAAAAGGAACTGTCACCAGTCAAAGGAGAAGGAGCAGTGTATAGGACACTGGCAAGCAGGTCCTGAGGAGGAGGAGCAGTGTCAAAGGAGTCAACACCAGGTCATGAGGAGGAGGAGCAGTGTCGAATGAGTCGACACCACTCAAGAGGCACAGGGGTGCCAAGCAGGAGAGGCCCCTGAACAGTACTCGATGAAGAAGGTACTCTCTGGAGAGAGAGCAGGAGCAGCATCGCTGGCGATGCTGTGAAGAGGTATATAACCATGCTTTCTCATCATCAAAGGTCGAGTGGATCCTCATCCACTCTACACTCACCATACAACTAGTCAACACTTTAGAAACATAAGTACTCATTAGTTTTCAGTCAGCATAGCAGCAATCTATCAAGGTTGCTCCTCATCATAGTGTGTGTGTTGTATCACCACTACCTGATGTCTGAAGGCGCCCCATAGCAGGTTAGCGGTCCAGATATAGATAGAACTGAAGGCAGTAGTCCACTGCAGTCTGGGGATCACCTCAAGCATCAGTCAACACACTGGACACTTGTGTTGACACCACCAACCTTATCACCAAACACCATCAACCTCATTATCATCAACACCCACCAACCTTATCACCAACGTCATCAACCTCATCATCATCAACACTCACACCAGACCTTGGTATCATCCTAATCTACACATTGATATTGATCGTGCTGAGCTACCCCTGAATGGAGTGTCCACAGAGGTCAGCCGAAACCTACGATAGTATATACCCGAACGCCACCCATCGTGCAACTTGATAGTCACTGAGCAACTAGCTCATCGAGACTGATACTGAGACAATAGCTGTCACACAGTTTGATAGTCACCGAGTATCTCGACAGACCGACCTGGGTTTCTGGCGCGAGACCCCTGACAGCATCCTACTGGAGCCCCTTTCACTCAGTGAAGCTCAGGCATGCAATGACTGGAACAAATGGTAGGAAGCCATGGTCAGTGACATGGACAGCATGCACAAGATGAATGTCTTTGAGCTAGCTGACATCCCAACAAATGGGAAACTCATAGGTGTATGCTGGGTCTACAAACTGAAACTTGATGCACAATGACATGTGACAAGATATAAAGTGCACCTCGTCACATAAGGGTATGCTTAACAACAGGGCTTGGACTATGATCAAACATTTAGTCCTGTCATTCACCTGCAAACAATCAGGATACTGCTTGCCATCACACATCAATACAGATTACACACAATACAACTCAATGTCAGCACTGCATTTCTCAACAGAAAGATCAACAAAGACATGCATGTCCAGATACCCCCAACATTTGAGAGGAAAGAGACCAAGGGTAAGTGTTATAAACTAAAGAAAGCCCTCTATGGCCTCAAGCAAGCCAGATGACTCTGGCACACAGCACTAGACAAACAGCTGCAAGTGTTTGGGTTCAGACAATGCAGAGCAGAACCATGCATATATACACACAGTTCAAAAGATGTGATGATACTCCTTGCAGTGTATGTTGATGACCTGCTCATCATTGGAGCAACTGCTTCATGGGTCCAGTCCATACAGCAGCAACTCTCCAGCATGTTCAGCATCACCAATCAAGGAAATGTGTCCCACATTATCAGGCTGAATGTGCACTACAATCAAGAGGCATGGATGCTCTTGATCAACCAAAGTGGATACATTGAGGGTGTGATAGCAAAGTTCAGAATGGACCAGGCTTGGGTGGTCATGACACCAGCAACAGAGAGCATCAACTCTCTCAAACCACAAGAAGGAGATTCTGCAAGCACCAAGGAAATACAACAATACACTTCACTTGTAGGGTCATTACTATGGATCACTCAAGGAACAAGGCCCAACATCACATTTGCAGTCAGCAGATGTGCACAGTTTGTAGCAAACCCATCCAGAGAACACCTTGTGGCCACCAAGCATGTGTTGAGATACCTAAAAGGGATGATGGAGGTCAGCCTCTCAATGGGGACATTGGGTGGCAAACAGTTGCTCTCAGGATGGGTGGATAGTGACTGGGCTGGGTCACACAACTGCAGGAGATCAACTACTGGGTATGTCTTTGTCATTGATGGACTCACATGCAGCTGGTCTTTGCAACTTCAACAGATGGTGGTGAACAGCTCTGTAGAAGCTGAATATGTAGTGCTAGCAACAGCAGCCAGGGAATTGCTGTGGACCTCAATGTTCCTATGAGAACTGGAACAGCTGGTGTCAAAGACAACCAGAATACATGTGAGTGCCAGAACATCAAACATCTACTCTCATGATGGAGAACTCACTTTCAATTGAGACATACCAGTTCTACACAGCAACTCATCAGGCACTCAGACCATAGCAAATGACCCTCAACACTTCAAAAGGATGAAGCATATCGACATCACTCATTTCTTCCTGTGCGACAAGATTGTGAATTGATGACTCACAATTGCCCCAGTCCAGAGTTGTGAAAACTTGGCAGACATACTAACAAAGCCACTCACCACACCGATGCTCCTACACATGCAACGATTACTCGGCTTGACCACTGTAGGAGAATATGCTGGATCGAGAGGGGGTGCTGAAAATAACAATCCAGCAGAGAGCAAAAGCAGTGAAGAATCGGGCCAGATCGATCTCTCGCATGATTGGGAAAGGAGATCTGACCATGAATGAGATGGAGCTGATATGACGAGAGTTTGGAGACAACACAGTCCCACTTGTTGTAAAGCTAGGTCATGAAAGAGCATACTCCCACAATAGGTATCAACCTCATGAATGTATATATATCACACAGAGAGCACTAGGCTCTTGCCACATTCCTCCAGTCAATTTAGTATATGTTTCTGCCTTAAAAGAGTAGTGACATCATACTTAGACTTTCCCCGATCACCAGTATCGGGACCCAAATGATGTCAAACTTTCAACAGATATTATATATAAATATATATATATATATATATATATTTCCATTTCCATTTCTTTTTCTTTTTCTTTTTGCGACTTGGAATGAGAATGTAGCCTCTTGTTTGAATTGGCGCAAAGTCACACAAAACGGTGATGTTAAAGTCCAAGTCAACACTGAGCTATGTCACGCCATCCGTACGAGATGACATCTGTTTTCGAAGATGTCCTCTGCTTCAGTCCGGGGCGGCAAGCAAATCTGGCTGAGGAGAGGCGCTGTTTGACCTTAATTTCGGAGAGCTCCCACATTTTGGACCCTGAAATGCAGTTGGTTTCACATTGCAACACACGCTCGACTCAATGCGCAGCAACGTCTTGGTCATCCTCTTGCTCTTCCACTCGATCTAACCTTCCATCTTCCGCACCACCCGCACCTCGTATCTACTTAAGAAGCACCACACTCGTTCAGTCGCCCTGTCCGCCATCCATATTCCCTGTCTTTAGCTCCTTCCAAAGTAACAGGATCACCCTCAGCAGTAACATGTTCTAATCAAGTTTCAACAGACCGCGCTTCCTTTGCTCTCGTCAGCCCGCAGAGTTCAATCGCTTTCAGGTGCGGCACCGCTACTGTATCTGCGCCTTAGTATCAGCTTGCGATAGTGTAGGATTGACTGCTTGGTCTCGTCCTCTGCCGCTGCAAAATAAAAATAAAAATCAAGGCCGCTATGCTACAATCGTGGGTTCCGCAGCGTAGCGCTGCTAAGGCTGCCGAAGACAAAGTCAAGCAACAGATCAGCACAACAAGGGCCTCGACCTCCTTGTCTCCCTCTCTCGCCAGATCTCAAGCTACACGCTCTTGTTCCGCTTCCAAGACCACTCCCAACTCCTCGGCTTCTTCTTCCTCCGATCATCCGCCACCCGCTCAAAAGGCTGCATCTATCGCCACAGTATCACCTCAGCCCACAGCAGCATCAATAGATCAAGGAGAATCATCGTTGTCCGAAGAAAGTGATACTGAAGAAGATGAAATTATCCAGCTGGACAGAAAGTCCCCCTTGGCCAAAAGCAGCTCGTCCAGTCACAAGGAGGCAGCCAAGCCCGCCACACCTCGCAAGAAGATTCTCAAGGAACCCATCACAAAGGCAGACGATCCTATCGTCCAGCAGTCAGAGTCCCAAGCAGGGCCCAGCGCTACCGCTACACCCTCTCGTACCTCTTCGAAACGAAGCGCAGCACGCGCCGCCCAAAACAACATTCAGCGCTCATATTCCGACTTCTACATGGAAGACCAAGTTGATGTTCAAGAAGCAACGACACCAGCACCAAAGAAGCCGCGTACATCGACAGGAGGCCGCCTCAAGGCAGGGCACAAGCAGCAGAAGCAGGTCGATCCCGAGCTCCGTCCTCCGTCATCATCATCAGGATCCGGTTCGGCTTCTAAGCCACGCTCCAAAAGCTCCAACAGTCGAACCAGTGGTGCCGCTTCACAAGCACCAAATCTCGCCCGACGCTTCCAGGACGACAACGGCGTGATTTGGGAACTCCAGTACACCAATTGCCAACGGCAACGCTACACTGCCTACCGCAAATGCGTCTATTGTGTCGCCAGGCAGGCAGGAGATACTTGTCGCTTCCTAGGCTTCCGTGCCTTTGCCATCAACCCAGCCACCGACGACATCTACCCTAGCGATGCACCAAATAATCCAAAGCCAATCTTCCTTTCATCTCCAGACGCAGACGATGTCATGGAACTACCTTCCAAGCGCCCGCTCTCTTGGGACGGTCTCTTCGAAGCGCAGACTATCGTCGGCAAGTCCCTGTTGCCCGTGCTCGAGGCCGAGCTTGCTCACGCACATCAACCCGAGGTGCTGCGGAGACCAAGAGAGAAAATCTGTCGACAGATGTGCGAGTTCTGCGCCACGAGCATCTTCTCCGCAAGTTGGTTTTGTCGCAGGTGCGGAAGAGAATACTGCCCCGACTGTAAAGATGCTATCGAGCATCCAAATAACATTGCTGACCCGGTGTTGGCGAAGCGATTGGCTATGTGCGACAGATTTCGAGTCCATCCTGCCAGCGATCTCGTTCCGCTCACGAGGTTCGATGTTGCCCTGCTCGAGCAAGAGCTCGATGCCATGCGCGCTTTGCTCGACCGCAATAAGCCCAGCGAGGAGAGCGGCATCACTGAGCCAACGCAAGCATCCATCGATGCCACCGAATCATCGCAGTCGGGGTCCAGCAGCGATAGCGACCAGGAAGCAGCCAGCATCAACTGGGAAGACGTCCCAGAAGATCGAGCAGGCCTCACCGCGGACGACATCATCGGCAGTCTCAACTTGCGCACTTTTGATAGCAACTCCTTCGACACCAACGTCTTTCGCCGCGAATGGGCTCACGGTGAGCCACTCCTCGTACGCAACGTCATCAAACCAATGCAGCACACTTGGCATCCCAAGGAACTCATCGATCGCTACGGCAAAGAGTCATGCCATGTTGTTCGCTCCGATACGGATCCACCTATAGTCAACGAAGTGTCTGTGGGAGAGTTCTTTTCCACTTTCGGCAAGGATCGCGAGACCAAGCAGCAAGTCCTCGGCTCCGGCTCCTGGAAGCTCAAGGACTGGCCGCCATCGGCTGAGTTCAAGGCCGAGTTCCCAGAGCTCTACGAGGACTTTAACAGGGCTGTTCCTGCTCCAGAGTATACGACCAGAGAAGGAGTCCTCAATCTAGGCAGCTGCTACCCGACCGGCGTCATCCAGCCCGATTTGGGTCCGAAGATGTACAATGCCTGGCCAGCCAGCGAAGGCCAGGGCGGCAACGGCACCACTCGTCTCCACATGGACATTGCCGACGCGGTCAACATCATGCTGTACGCCTCCCTGCCGAACGGAGAGGACGTACCAGAGCAACACCAACCCGGAGTTGCAGCATGGGACATCTTCCGCGCTGAAGACGCCGACACACTCCGCACCTTCCTCCGAGAGGAATATGCCAAACTCAACTTCAAAGATGACCCAATCCACATTCAACGCTTCTTCATCTCGGCACCCCAACGAGTCAAGCTTTGGAAGAAGTACGGCGTCAGATCATGGCGAATTTACCAGAAAGCAGGCGAAGCAGTCTTTATCCCCGCTGGCTGCGCCCACCAGGTATGCAACCTAACGGACTGCATCAAGGTGGCGGTTGACTTTGTATCGCCTCAAAACGTCGAGCGGTGCTTTAAGTTGACAGCTGAGTTTAGAGGTTTGGTGAATGATTACAAGAAGGCTTGGAAGGAGGATGTCTTGTCGTTGAGGACGACGTTGTGGTACGCTTGGTGTACGTATAGAGAGATGGACAATAAGGGGCCGAATAGGTGGGCTGCTGAGCAGACGAAGCAGGGGGAGAAGGAGAAGAAAGAGATGCCGAGCGTGTCCAGGATGGTCACACAGGGTGATTAACGACGTTTCTCACTTGGCAGGTCTGACAAATACTGGACGCTCACTTGATTCACTTCCTAGCTCAACAACGACCACCACTTTTGCTGCTCACCCGCTTTGTATCGATATCACCGCTCCGCGCATTCGCAATTGCATGGTTCATTTCTCTCCCTGTCAGACACAGTTGAAGTTGCACCGGAATGACAAACATGCAAGAGAGCCGAGCCACCGACAGGCCGAGGATCGTGCATACATAGTAAATTTGGTGGCAACCAATCAGGACACACTTAGAGAAAGGAACACTGAGAGTAAGGAGGAAAATGCTGAGGCTCCTCATGACACACCTAGTTCACAGGGTGTGGATGGCAATTCTCATGAACAAAGCAAAAGGTATATATATCCTCACATTACTGTAGTCCTAGTCTATCGAAATCCAAGCATTGCATTTACTATACACTAGTGTGAAAGGAGCTAGAACATAGCCTGGATGGAGAGGTGTATCACATAACTTCAACTGATTAAGAGTCTGAAGTCACATGCTGGATGACTACCCATCATGGTGGAAGAAAACAAACCCCAAGCTAGTGCAGGCAAAGCTGCCAAGAGATCCAAAAGGACTAAGAAGGTCACCATCATCTGACAGCCTCAGGCTGAGAACACCACCAACAATGACAACAAGATCAATGATGATCCCAAATATGAGTCAGATGACAATGATATTGGCAAATGATACAGCTTTTGCACTTTAAGCAAACTCCTTGAACTGGTACCCAAGCTTACCACCCAGAACTATTACAGCTGGAGTGCTCATGTAAAGTCCTTCCTCTGATTGGTACCCTATGCAATGGAACACCTAGAAGGAACATATGATGCAAATCACCCAAAATGGAGTCATTCATTCGATGATGCATTGATGAATGCCTTATGAGGGACCATCAACACCATAGGTGAATGCAATGTAAACTACCTTCTCCTGGAGATAGTGAGAGAGTACCTTACATTCCATCAGGTCTGGAACAAGATAGAAGCAAGATTGGGCAACAAGGCCACCAGGACCTCCCACCAGCTCACCCTAATCACCCAGCTGGGTGACATCAAGATATTCCACTCTGATGCTTGGAAGCTGATACAAGATATCAGAACTATCCAAGCCAAAGGAAGCATCCTGGGAAGACCTTTCACTGATGAAACCTTGTTCTCAGCCCTCCAGAAGTGCATGATTCACCACCCATTGTTCAGGGAGACTGTTGCCACAGTCCATCAAATTAGCTTCAAGGTGCTGGCCACCACACTCAGCACACACCAATTGGCACTGGAGAGTACCCCCACCCAGAAGTTCAATCCCTGACAAGCTCACACTAGAACTGCTGGTGGTGGTGACCAAAACGGATTGGCCCAAGAAACCAATGGCAATGACAGTGGCGAAAAGGCAAAGACTGCATACAGACAGCAGAAGATCCAGTGTTTCATATGCAGGTGAGTCAGACATGGGGCAAGGGAATGCAATGCATCTGTTAGCATCCTGAAAGACTCCCCACTCACCAACTCCAACTAAGAAGCCTGGTGTTCCCTCACTCCAAGTTGGAAGAAGGCACTGAATCCAAAGGAAACAACTTGTTGGATCCTGGATTCAGGAGCCAGTTTTCATATGATCAATAACTATGGCACACTCATTAATCCAAGAACCTGCCAAAAGTATATCTATACTGCCAGAAGAGAGGTTTTGGAAGCAAGTGCTATAGGAGATACTAGCATATCAACTGAGTATGGAGATGTACTACTCCAGAACGTTTTGTATGTTAAGAATCTCAATGTGAATCTATTGTCAACCAATGCATTAATGGATGAGGGGGCATGAGTGATTCTAGACCATGCTGGCAGACAGATACACCTGGCAAATGGAACATTACTCAAGATATCAAAGAACAGCAAGCATGGCTTACTAGAGTTGCAAAGTGACATATGGCAGGAAAGCACAATGACAACATCAGCACAGCCATTCAAGGGTGTTGATGAAGAATTTGAGTTGATTGCAAGGAAGCACACCATTTCCACACAGCAACTCTGGCATGAGCATCTTGGACATCCAGGTTGAGACAAAGCCAAGGCCATCATCAAGAAGATAGGAGATAACATTAAAATAGATATGGACCCAGATACAGCTCTGACATGTGAGCAGTGTATACAGTCCAAGAGCACAGCAGCAAGAATGGGATGAGGTAGTGGAGAAAGAGCCACTGCACCTCTTGACCTCATACATATAGACTTGATCATCAATATGTTGCATGCAACTGAACACACCTGCACACTAGTGCTTGTTGATGATCACAGCAAGTATGTCTGTGCACAACTGTTGCTGTGGAAGAGCCAAGCTTTCCTGCAACTCAAAAGAATCATTTCATTCCTTGAGACCCAGACTGGAAGAAATCTAAAGGTGATCTGATCTGATCAAGGAACAGAGTGGGGAAGCAATGAAGCTCTCAAATGGTCACAAGACAAAGGAATAGAATGGCAAACAACAGTGGGGTACAATAGCAAACAAAATGGAAGGGTGGAATGGATGAACAGAAGCTTGAGCAAAAAGATGCAAACACTACTGGTACAATGAGGACTACCAAAGAGCTTCTGGCCATATGCAATCAGGGCAGCAGCATTCAAGATAAACCTCACTTCAAACACCAATAGTGAGTTCCCATATGAAGTGATGTTCAAGAGATCACCTGAAAAGCTCATATGACTCCTCTGCATCTTCAGATGCCTTGCTTGGGTGAACATCCCAAAAGTTAAACAAAACAATAAGAACTTAGATCAACAAGCAGTGGCGGCTCTCTTCATAGGATACAGCCTAGAATGGAGGGGATGGTTATTCTATAGCCTGGACTATTGACCAAACATTTTCTGGAGTAACTCAGCAAAGTTTTTAGAGTCCAAATGCTGGACCAACCAGACTGAATGGAAGCCAATAAACATTCAATTGCCTCAGACAATGACAAGCAAAGAAGATGCCAAGAACTTGGGTTACTCGGAAGTAAATCTACTCAATGAGACAGACCAGGGATTGCTAAGTGAATACATAGACATGGAGCCAATTGTGGGCATGGACAAGAACCAAGAGCTCAAACTATCGATGAACAGTGACTCCTTTGGACTCACAGCCACAGACAACAAAAGGGAAAGAAATCTTGACCCAACAGTCCAAGAAGCTCTAGTGGGGCCAGATAAGAGGCTGTGGGAGGAAGCAATGCAAAAGGAGTTAGAGGGACTGGAAGCAATGGGCACATGGAAGGTAATGGACCTCCCCCCCAGTATGAACACCATTGACACTAAATGGGTGCTCAAGGTAAAGACAGATGCAAACCTGGTGCCTACAAAGTTCAAAGTGAGACTTGTAGCAAGAGGATTCACTCAAAGAGAAGGTGTTGACTACACCAAAATCTTTGCACCCATAGTGCCAATTCAATCAATTAGAGGAGTATTGGCTGTGGTGGCTGTGCAAGATTGGGAGATAGACTCAGTCAACATTAAGCAAGCATACCTAAACTCCAATTTGCACCATGACATATATCTAAAGCTGCTGATCAGAACAAAGGCACCCCCAGGGAAGGTCCTTAAGTTGATAAAGGGGTTATATGGCTTAAAACAATCAGGCTGAGAATGGAACATTGAAATGGATTCACACCTTCAGAGGATAGGGTTCCATTGTATGGCCAGCACACCCTGCCTATACACAAGAGGAAAGGAAAATGAGATCACAGTTATCACAGCATACATTGATGACATGCTGATAGCTTCACCAAGTCATAAGGAGGTGGATCGCACCAAGAAGGAGATCATGAACAAGTGGGGAATGGAAGACAATGGGAAAATCAAGGAGTTCCTCAGCATCAAGATCACATGGGACAGAGCCCAAAGAAGCATATCACTGGATTTAATGGCATACATTAAGGCAATGGTAAGCAAATGGTTACAGAGAATGACTGAGAAGTCCTGGGTCCCCATGTAGGACATTGCTGCAAGTGCCAGAGGAGACAGATGTCCACCATCGTGAAGCAAGGAATACCAGGAAATGGTCAAAGGAGCACATCAGGATCGATCATGTATTTATATGGGTGTCCAGTGAGCTGGCAATCTCACATGCAAAAATGTGTGGCCCTCTCAGCAGTAGAAGCAGAGTTTGTTGCTGCATTGGAAGCAGCACAGGAAGCCCTATTCTTCTCATATCTACTACAAGACTTAGGGTTTGATAATGTCAAACCAATGCTTCACACTGACAGTCTAGGATGCATACAAGTAAGTAAAGACCCAGCCAAACACTGGAAGCTCAAACATATTGACATGCAATATTACTGTCATGGGCCTGAATGCGCAGGAAGCAGGAAGACCTGTCAGTTCATATGAAGGGAGTGCAGGAATCGAGGGATCAGGCAGATCATGAGATTTGCAGCAGAATTCATTGAGATCTGTAGTAGGAACAGTGCTATGACAGATCTCATCAAGATCTGCACAAGCAATGTTGATATCACAAATCCCACCAGAATCTGCAGTAAGCACAATCATATGGCAGATTCTGCAGAGATCAGTGACAAGGATGTTTGTATGATGAATTCACATGCAAGGAGGACCAAGCTCACATGTGAGGAGGACCAAGCTCTGCCAAGACAGGGACCAAGCTCAGAAGCATGCAGACAGTTACCACTCAGGGGTTCACAAGCTAGGAGTCAAGAGAACTGTCACTGGTCGAAGGAAGAAGACCTGTGTCAAGGACACTGGCGAGCAGGTCATGAGGAGGAGCAGTGTCGAAGGAGTCGACACACAAGGACAGGAGCGGTGCTACAGGGACCCCTGTATAGTACTTGACAAAGAGGGTACTCTCTGGAGAGAGAGAGCCAGAGCAGTGTCACAGGTGACACTACAAAGATGTATATAAGCATACCTTCTCATCATAGGTGGATGAGTGGATCCTCATCCACTCTACACACCATATAACTAGTATTACTTCAGAAGCATAAGTATTCATTAGTTTCAGTCAGCATAGTTGCAATCAAGTCAATTGCCTCTCATTGTAGTGTGTGTGTTGTATCACCACTCACTGATGTCTGAAGGTGGTTCATAGCAAACCAGCAGTCCAGATTAAGATAAAACTGAAGGCAGTAGTCCACTGCAGTCCAGGGATCACCTCAAGCAACAGTTGACACACTGGACACTCATGTCGGCACCACCAAACAAGATACTCACATCAGACCTTGGTGTCATCACAAGCTCACATTGTTATTGATTGTGCCAAGCTACCTCTGGATGGAGTGTCCACAGCAGTCAGTCGAAATCTGCAATAGCATTACTACAACCACAGATTTGAGCAAGAAAGTGATAGAGACAGCTCTATTGCATATTTCACCGAGAATCGCAATACCACTAGTGTTGTCGCATAACTCGACAGGATTGGTAATAGAATTGACTCTATTACAGATTTCAGGTTTCAGGTGCATGACCGCTGACATTTACTTTGTTAGAGATCACATGCAAGAAGGCAACATCATGATCGAATACATTGGAACAACAGGTAACATGGCAGACATCCTCACAAAGCCATTGAAAGGAGGAGAGACAACTCGATTAGCTCAAGCAATGGGTTTGGTCATACCAGCAAGGGGGGGAGTTGAAGTTGCACCAGAATGACAAACATGCAAGAGAGCCAAGCCACCAACAGGCCAAGGATCATGCATACATAGTAAATTTGGTGGCAACCAATCAGGACACATTTAGAGAAAGGAACACTGAGAGTAAGGAGGAAAATGCTGAGGCTCCTCATGACACACCTAGTTCACAGGGTGTGGATGGCAATTCTCATGAACAAAGCAAAAGGTATATATATCCTCACATTACTGTAGTCCTAGTCTATCGAAATCCAAGCATTGCATTTACTATACACTAGTGCGAAAGGAGCTAGAACATAGCCTGGACAGAGAGGTGTATTGCATAACTTCAACTGAGACACTACCAGCATAGGCTGCATGCTCTGTCACCCTAAATGAGAGTTGGGTGGAAGAGATGAAGACCGTCTGGCCAAGAGCAGCTTTCCAGCCCTAGTCACGAGCGAGCAGTCCAATCACAGATGGTGTCAAACAGAACTGAGAATAGAATTAAGCTTTGCAGCGAACAAAAGGTATTGCTTCGTCAGGAGAAGGCATTGCGCGTTCCTCTTCAGAGAGATTTAAGCTGCATCACCAAAACGAGAAGATTGGTACTGTCAGCAACCATGGCATAACCCACCCTTCTTTGCTTCCCTTCCGGAGGTCGTGCTACTTACCACGCTTGCCATTAATAGCGAGCAATTCAACATCGAAGACCAAGTCGGCGTTGGGAGGGATAATACCTGCAGCACCATCGCTTCCATAACCCTCGTTAGCAGGGATGATCAACTTAGCCCTCTCTCCAAGGCTAAGTTGGGGAACACCTTGGTCCCAACCTTGAATCACATGGCCGACACCGATTTGGGTTTCAAAGGGGCTACCTCGGTCACGGGAAGAATCGAATTTCTTTCCGTTAGCCGCGAGGGTTCCGGTGTAGTGCATAGTGACAGTGTCACCTGCTTTGGGGAAATCTTTACCGTTTCCGGGAGAAATTTTCTCGATTTGGACCATGATGGACGATGAAGTTGTGAATGTACGACGGTTGATGAGGTTGGTAGTTCGGAGTAAGGATGCGAGGTTGCGAGTGAACATTGTTGAATAAGTAGGAGAGGCAAGAGTGGCGAACGGACCAGGAAAAAGTCTAGGCAATTGTCGTTGGCTCGAGCGTGAGGAAAAAAAAAAAGGAAAAAATAAAATAAAAATGTGTCACAAGATTTGTATTCAGTCTTTGGCGCAGTGCATTACAAAATTACAAAGACGGTGTTTACAAAAAAAAGGCATGTGAAGCCAAAGGACAACTAGGTACAGCACGTGAGTCACTCCAACAACATTAAGTTGGAGTCCAAAGAGAGAAGAGACCGCTCGAAGGGGAGGAGCAGAAGTACATGGAGAAGAGTCACAAAAGAGCCGAAAGAAATCTCCACCGCTCGTCGAGAGGAAAAGGTGTCGTGGGTGGTCGCTTGAGCGAAAGTCGGAAAGTCGGGAGCCGTGGAGGAAACTGTCGAGGACAGAGAGAGAGGCAAAAGTAGCTAGTGCATCGTTTGCCAAAGTGCTGTGCGGAGCTAGGGGTGCAGGTATCGTCTCTCATCCCGACGAAAAGAAGGGATGTGAGATGGGTTTTGAGGCGCTCTCCTTCAAGCACACAGCACAACGCGAATCCTCTGGAAGAAGAAAGGCGATTACCACGGCAAGTAAGAAGCCAACTGACCTCCAATCTGGCTACCGAACTGCTGAATGTTCTCCAACCCAATACTCTGCAGACTGTTCTGCAACGTCTGCAGTGCCAGATCCGGGTTACCGCCCGAAATCCAAGCCAAGGCACCGGCACCGACAGCACCAGCAGCAGCAACTACACCAGCCGTTGTTGCAATAGGACGCTTCCTGGCTATCCTGGTTCCCCTCTTGAATGCACGAACGACTGTACCGGATTGAGCATAGTCCTCGTCATCTGCAAGTGGATCAAGTTCAGCTGTGGGACGGTCGTTGACTGCCCTTCTCTTCTGACCTCTACCGCTAGCAGTGGTCTTGCCGGATGCAGTGACGGATCCGGTGATACCAGCAGCAAGGGCTTTGGCTTCGGCGATCTGAGCTTCGATTTCGGCTTGCGAGAGAGCGGTGGGGATGCCGTTAGAAGTGGATGAACCAGTTTCGAGGGTGCTTTCGACGGTGACTTTCGAAATGGTGCCAGCGACATTCTCCACACGGGTGACTTTCTGGACCATCCTGGGAGAGTGGGCATCGGAGGCATCGGAGGCAGAAGAGGCGGCAGCGGAGACGCGTTGACGCTTGCGAGGAGTCTTGACTTCAGCAGCGACGGGGGCAGAGGTGAGGATGGGAGCACCGCCGTCCACAGCGTGTTCCGCAGTAGCGTGGATGAGGGGAAGGGCGAACTTGGCGATGCCATAGTCCTCAGCTACTTCCACGGCGTCCTCGGCGGGGATCCAGGTACCTTGGAGGCGGACACCGGTGCTGCCTTCGGGAAGGACGCGGATCTGCTTCTCATCACTGATGGGCTCGGTGTCGGTGGAACCAGCATCCTTCTTGGGAGTCTCGGCGGTCTTGCGAGGGCGACCGCGCTTCTTGGGCGTCTCGGGAGCCTTGACTTCCTCCAGAATGTAACCTCCGTTGGCGCGGTTGGTGTCGTACTGGGCATCAAGGAACTGCATCTCGGCAGCCTCGGCTTTACCATTCGCAAACGGGAATGCGAGGCGGAACATGGAGGAAGCAGCCATAGCATTGGTGTCGAAACGCTTGAGCAAGAAAGCATGGTCCTGACCGTTGACAGTGGGAAGCTTGACACGACCAATGATGATGTCGTGACCCTCGCGCTTGATGATCTGTAGTTTGACGACGGCTTGATCGACTTCTCTGAGACGAGGGTTCTTCGAGGTGGGAAGTTTGGGACGGTTGAGGTTGGGCTTGATCTCTTTGGCGGCTGTCTCTTTGGCGGCTGTCTCTACGGCGGCAGCGGCTTCTTTCTCCTTCTTGCTCTTGCGGGGAGAAGCGGTGGGGGAAGCGGGACCGGCTGTGGAGGCGTTGGAAGCTACCGAGGAAGAACGAGCGCGTCGAGGAGTCGACTTGCGCGTCGGCGTGGACTTGCACGTGGTAGAAGAAACAGCGGGCATGGTGGACTATGGTTTGCTATCGAGCGAGCGGATATAAGAGTGCGGAACAAGAGACTAAGGTCGGGGATGCGAATAGGTTTCGGTGATTGTCAAACACGAGACGCGTCAAAAGTACCGAACGATGGATTGGTCGAGCAAGGAGGCTCGTCGATAGCGAAAGGGGGGGGGGGGGGGTTGTTGAGACAGGAACGGAGGAGCCGTGAGAGGCGGAAAGAAGATGATGGTAGTAAAGAGGATCGGGACAGGCTGTGTGTCGAGCGAGATGAAGTGCGCAAAGGGGGCCGAGGAATGGTGGGTCCGAAAAAAGCAAGAGACGCTTGCTGTGCAAAGTTAGCCTGTTTGGCGGCCTCTATTCGCGTGTCACACACTCTCTCACACAGCCTTATGCGAGCAGTGAGAGAGCACAGGTCGCGCTGAGCTGTGACCCTTTTCCCCCGACTTGCACCCACACCATCTGCGACCTCAAATTGACAGTCCGATTCTGCCGCAAAGTTGAGTGCTGTTCTAACGCGCTTCGACGAGGCAAACGTTTTCAGATCCACAAAATATTCGCACGAAAGAACTTTTCGGCACACCGATCGAAAGATAGCAAGGGGACGCAACGATCGGGCCCATCACATCGACTCATCATCCGCGTTCAAGAGGCTCAGTTCAGGCAGGGTCTGGCTCTTTCCTATAATCACCCCCCGCAATAGATCACCTCCGCAATAGATCACCTCCGCAATAGATCACTGACAGCAGTTCATCATTGCCGGTGACAGTTGCAAGCACTGTCCGCATTGACGGCTCATCCGGCTGCTGACTGTTTCAGCGTAAGGGGTGGAAGATAAGGGTCAGCTTTGACTGTCGTCTGTGCAGCTCGAAAAGCCAATTCGCTGCCTCTCGAAAGGGGCCGTGCGTGTTTGCTGCGTGTTGTAACAGAAAGACATCACATGACCTCAAACCTGCCGGACTAGGTCGACAAAGAACGTGTGCTGCCGATACTGCCATGCTTGGATATCGTTGACTTGCAGTGCCATTGATGCGTGTTTTCGCTTTCACCCGCCCCAGTTGCCTCAATAATGAGCTCCGAACGTGCACTCTCCCACCTGCCTCGAGCCTGAAAATCGCCCCGCCTTAAGCTTATCCGCTGCCGCCGTTTTAGCGCGTGTTGCGGAAAGCGAGCTCAAGTCGACATCATCTATCCTAACCTCTCCTCCTTCACGACCATCGTCTGCTATCATTCAAGATTGACACGAGTCAACGAGATCCTCGCGATTAACGCGAACCCACCCATCTCACCATCTCGGGCACCCAATCCAGGCGTGTTCGGCGATCCAGCTCCTCCTTCTATCCCTTCTATCTCTTTGGCGCTGACTGGCGCAATCCACGCGTTGGGTCAACCGTCCTGAACAACAGCTATCTCAACTTGCTCGGTGCAATCACGCCGATCGATCGCAAGCTTTCTCAACTCCCTCTCGCCTCGCCGGCAAGCTTTCTCAACTCCCTCTCGCCTCGCCGGCAAGCTTTCTCCGGACCGCTCGATTGATCATTCAATCACTCTTTTCTTATCAGAGCTCATCTGACAGTGACTTGCCAACCCCCATCCCTGACCATGAAGTTTCTCGAATACCCTCAACTCGAGCTCCTCTCGAGAGCGCTCACCTTTGAGTCAGCAGAGTGCAAGGTCTTTACTCGCATGGAGGCCTACTCCTGCAAGACTGTATCCAAGGAGAAGCGTCTCTTCAAGAGCCTCGAGTCTTCCTACCTCCGCTCCGCTTCCACCTCTCCGCCTGACTATCTCGAAGCAGCACTCGCTTCTCCCTTCGGCCCTCTCGACCAAGCTTCGGCTCGAAAGACCCTCTTCTTGCTCATCGCAACTCTCAATGTCGCCTTCCCCGACCATGATTTCAGCCAAGTCAACCCGGCCGACTTCCGCAAAGAGACCAGCTCCGCAATGGTTCTCAACTCGCTCAGTACTACTTTGCTCAGCTTGAAAACCTCGTCCAATGCGCCGCGCTCTTACAGTTCTTTCCCAGGCTCGTTCGAGGAGCCTAGCTTTGCAATTGGATCGACTGGCGAGTCTCCTGGCTCAGCTGGCCCAACAGCCTCACTCCCTCCTCTGATCACCCATCCAGCACTTTCGCATATCCTCGACGACATCATGGACGTCTCCGACTGCCAAGTCTATACCTTCCATCCCGACATGGACTCGGACCCGCATGCGAGCGCCGAGCCCGAAGAGGAAGGCGATCTCGCTGACGATGACCCTTACCATGACGAAGAGTACTGGGACGATGACCGCGCCGGAATGCGAGGCCGTGAAGACACACCCCGTGCTCGGGCACACACTGCCGATGATCAAGACGAGGAGATGGTGGATGCACCCATGTTTGACGAAGATGTCTATGGTCAAGGTCTCAGCGGAGGCCACGCACCAACTCACAGCATCGCAACTATCGGTCCAGATGGCCAAATGGTTCTGTCTCGTCCTGATTTCGACGCCAGGAGGACGCCATCCATGGAGAGCTCAAGCCTCACTTCCTATTCGTCATACCACGACTCGAACTTCAACGACGAGGAGGATGACCTTGATGGCACCGGTGCTGGTCTGCTTTGGTCCACATTCGCCTTCTTCTACAACCGCAAGATGAAGCGTATCCTCTTTGTCTCGGTTTGGAGCCGAAAGAATGCTCGCTTCGGCATGCCAACCTCTTCATGGGCGTATGCGCAACCACCACCCGTCCTCAGCGCTTCCCTCGGCTCACCACAAGCCAACTACCGCCGCGTCACTTCTCGACCTTCTACAGGACGACAACGTTCGACGTCCAATGCTAAGAAACAGGCGTCCTTAGCTCCGACAGCCGCTGCTGCGACCACGCTCGCCAAACGCGCTATTACCAGAACCGACTCTACTGGCTCTCTCAAACGAGCTGGTCGACCAGGCCACATCCGCGCACAATCTGGCAGTCCCGCTCCTTCGGCCATGTCTCCTTTCCCACATGCATCGCCTCGTGCAATCCGAACAGCAGACCCGATGGAGAACATCCTTGTCCTGGACGGTAGAAGGAACATCAATTCTCTCGACGCGGCCTTGTTAAGCGCCAGTGCTCCTGCTGCAGCCGCAAGTGCGTCTATCAAAGCCGCTAAGCGCGGGACACCAACTTCGATGCGCAGCAAGAGGTCTTCTGACACCGCGAGTGGTCTCGATGGCAAGCGGGTCAAGAAGCAGTCTGCCTAGGCAGCGTTCTCATCTATCTGGTTCTGTTTCTTGAGGGCTCTGTCTTTACGTCTTGTCAAAGTTATCCGGGATCGGGTCTTCTCGGTCACCGGCTCTCAGTCTCCCGATCTCTCTGCGTTCTGTTCTTGTACTTCTATCATCGGTCTCTATCGCGTCGTAAAATCGCTGTTTTGCTTCGATTGACAAGCTCTTGTGAATGTGCACTTGAATGGTTTTGGACTGTGTCAATGAGGTCAACATGATGAGCAGCACAATGGATGAGATGAGCCAAGCAAGCGCAATACGCAGCATAGTCAACACGCGTCGAGCCTTGATGTCAAATGATTGTATCCAAGGCGAGAGTTGTCGTACTCTTGCATGATCCGGCTTCCGGCTCAAGCCTGTGCCGAAGAGCCCTTGAACCTCTGATCACCGCTCTGCTTCGTCAATTGTCGATGCTTATGACTCGAAGTATCTTCCTTCAGCGCCTCCCTCATCAGCATCGTAGCGTACGAGCTCGAAGGAAGCTGAAACTTCAACGTCAGTGCTGTGAACTTTTTCCCTTCCTTCTCTTTCCCGTTCTCTGCTCCTGGAAGAGAGTTCGACAGCTCGGGGTTGAGGCACAGCTCTTCATCCGTGTAGGTGAGCGGGACGTCAGGGTCGGTGTAAGATGTAATGCGGTAATCAAAGTTTCGTGGTTTGACCAGCATTCGACGGTAGGATCCTTTGAGTTGGTATTCGGGGGTCTTGGAGGAGGTGAGTTGGTCGTGGGTGAGGTTGTCGGCTGCAAGAATAGATGTGTAGAGATCTGACATCCAGCCGGGTGGTAGGTCGATGGATGAGCCGGGTAGAGGCAGGATTACGTCGTAGATGCTCCACTTGCCTTCTTCCAGGTCGGCCTTGATAAGGACTTTGATGGGTCGCTGCCAAGTAGGGACCTTCATCTCGTCATTGCGAAGATCATCCTCATCCATCTCATCCCCATCCTTCTCCGCAGCAGGTTCATCGTCGTCTGCACCCCAAATATCATCTTCGTTCGCATCGGCAAACACCACATCACCCTCCACCGCCTCTCCGCTACCAAATCTCTCGATCCTCTCCGAAACCAATCTGTTCCACACGTACGACTGATACGCATGAACGTACATCAATCTCAACGTCCTTGGGATGTTTCCAAATGCTCCTTGCCAGTCACCGCTGTTCCACTTGTGACTCCTCATTTTGTCGAGGATATGCTTTTCAGCGATACAATTCTTCGGAATTGCATAATAGGCTTTTTCTAGCTCTCCGTCGCGGTAGAGTTGTTTAGCTTTGAGAAGGTCGATTGAATCACCATCGTCCGAGGTAGGGGTGGAGGGGCCACGAGGGAGAAATAAAAGATTGATGGCGGATTTCAAATCGTTTTGAAGGATGAGGATGCCAATGTGATGAGTTGGGATAGCGCCGGTGCCGAACCGCTGCATGCCAAAGTAGTTGATGAAGCCACGGTTGCGAAGTACTTCCATGGAGGCGCGGACGGTGGAGAGGAACGCTTCATCTACATCACCGCTAGAGGAGGAAAAAGGAGAGGGACGGACGTTGCGAAGGGTGATGGTGAATTCATTCCCTTTCAGTTGGCCAAGTTTGAGCGGTTGCTGAGCGTAGGACAGGTGACCGATACGAATGCCTCTATCTCCTCTAGCTGTGGTTGCATCGAGTACTGTCCTTCCTTTACCCTTTCCCTTGCCTTTCGAAGCACCCACATCAGCAGTGATCCCATTAACCAAGCGATACACATCATCCAACGTCTTCCTATTGCGTTTCAGCGAAACTCTTTGCACCGTCACCGCTCTCTTATCCTTCGTTCCCGCCACACCCAAATCCTTCGTTGGCAGTCTACCCCCACCTCTACCCGCAAATCCTCCTCTCCCCCTTCCTCTCCCTCTCCCTCCCCTCCCACCACCACCTCCACCACCACCCAACCTCATCAGATCGGCGAGCATGCCCATCGCCTCCTGATGATCTCTATTCGTCTTATGCAACAAGAAATGGATGTACGGTGGAGAATTTCTTGCTTCTTCCGGCAGCTCCTCACTTATTCTTCTATCCGACCTATTCGCCCATCTAACTGCAATCCTCGTGCTTGCAGCAGAAACACTCTGCTCTCTATTCGCAAGCGCATCTTCGTCCTCTTGAAGTTGCTCCGCTGTTTTCCTACCACCACCCATCGGGCGAACTTTGCAAGAATCAGTCCCAAGTTTGCCGTGGAATAGTTCTCGAATAAGTTTGTGCACCTGTGTTCTCTGGTCTTTGTCTTCGAGCGGACGAGTGGTGATGCTAGCAGCAGAGACAATAGTGGCGTTCGCTCCTGTGGCCATGTTCTCTCCGTCTTTACCTCTGGACCACATGGCCTTTATACCGGCGATCGATTCGGGTGTGAAGAAAGGAGAGAGTTTGAAATCGGCATCTGTGGGCCAGGCTCCTTCGTCGACCTTGGCTTTTTCGAGCCCTTGCGCTGCTTGGGTTGCGTGCTCCTTGGTGGTGCTGGTGCTTGAAGAGGCTTCGGAGGGGTGTAGCTGAGAGAGGTATTTGCCGGGCGGAGGGTGGAGCGCTGTAACTCGGCAGACAGTACCGGAGGTATCAATTTCGTTGACCATAAAGTCGGTGAATCGCTGTTTGATGATTCCTTGGAAACCGGGGAGAGAGGGGTCGATATAGGCTGTGATGCCTGCTCGCGATTCAGTCATTCTAGTTTCCAGGGGTGCTGCAGTGGAGGCATCGTTATCGATTTTGATCCGTTTGGCTTCTGGATTAGAGCCAGAAACATCCTGTGACGGAGTGTCGTGATCCGCCATGATATCTGAGTATCGTTCTCTAGATCAAGGCAGGTGGTATGTAGTGGCCAGAAACGGCGTTGAGAAGAAATCAAAAATGTCACGCTGCGGAAAATTTGGTGTGGGTCAAAGGTCATTTCCGAATTCCGCGTTTCCATCGCGTCAATGGTGTCCTCCTCCTAAGGGGCCATGACAGATTGTTTAATAACCTCATGGTGGCCAAAGATCATGGTCGCTGGAGGACTAGATTCATGTCTTTGGGCGCTCGCAGACTGACAGCGTGATTGCTTGATAGGAGTACATGACATTTTCGCAGAGATTCCGATCAGACATGCCAAACATGTTTGCCCCGCGCTTAACCCCCAGAGGGGAGCAGGAACCCATGCCCAGGGCCCCATGATAATGATATACAATGCTACATCAAATATAGAGGAGTCCTACGGATAGCCTTGATAAGCATATCGAAAGTGCCGTTGTGGTCATGATCTGCTGAGTAGAGGCAGGTAGTTGAGGGAGTTGAAGTAGACAAAGCTACACAAAGTGTAGAGACAGCGAAGGTAGTGCTTACGGCCGAGTAAAAGGCCTGAACATCTTAGCACGGACCACATGTGTCACAACCTACTCATAACAAATGCTTTGTTATGTTCCGCAGTCAATGCGGCTCTCCGCCGCTCTTCTTTTGTATATGTATAGACTCCTCGCTCTCTCGCTCTCTGTCTCTTATCATCATCAATCCACGCAGAAAATCAGATACCTCAACTGATTAAGAGTCTGAAGCTCAGCAGCTTCTAGCGCCTCGCCACCAGGATGCCACCAAGAGTAGATAGCGTAGCACTACTTGAATGCACCATGCAGATGATCAGGGAAACTCACACCAACTGGGACAAAGACCAAGTCTTGGAGCGTGCCTTCTCGCTAATGAACCTCCAACCCAACACCAACCAAGCAGAGAAGATCCCCAAGTCGGTGCTCAGCATCATCTCGCAAATCGTCAAGCTCAACGAGAACAACTGGGCCATCTGGGAGCCGATGTTCATGGACTGCATCCGCCCAATCAAGAACGCCAAGCAGATCCTCACTGAGGAGATTCCCAGTGGCCATACTGACTATGATGAGGAACTGGACAGCCACTTGCTGGGTCTCATCTTGTCCTCCTGTGACCACGGACCCACCAGCCGTATCAACACCTACACCGTGCGGGAGCAAGGTGAGGAGGAGCAGCTCGGCTCTACACTCTACAAGAAGCTCAAAGCTGCTCTCACAATAAATGACGAAGTTAAGCTCTCCGCCATTCACGACTGGGTACATGAAGTCAAGCTAGCCCAGCGCAACATTGCCAACCTTGGTAAGGTGCTCGATCAAATCTGGAATGACGCAGCCAGGCTCGGTAGCCGCATGGACGAAAAGCTCAAGAAGTCTACCCTGTACCGCTGCGTCAAAGACGACTGGCTCTACACCCAGACAGTAGACTCCCTCAAAGCTGCTCAACCTGGTTGCAGCTATGAGTATGCCTATCATGCACTAGCTAAGAAGCACCAAGAAGCCGAGCTCTCAGGTCGTATCCGAGCCACAGCCAGAGCCACGAGCAATAGAAGTTCAACAGGCCAAGCTGGCGAGCATAGGCAGGTTCTTAACCAAGAGGATTACAATAGGGGCAGGCGCGACCCCGCAAACCCTAATGAACCAGCCAAGTGCTATAGGTGTAGGCAACCCGGGCACATTGCCATCAACTGCACCAACAGTCAGGAGCGAACTCCTACTCAGCAAGGATAGGGACTCGGGTGCACCTTCTTCATAAGCAACACTGGCAACCGTAAACAAGACTGCATGTGGATTCTCGATTCTGGAGCTACACATCACATGGTTCGTGATGAGGGTATGCTCATTGCTCCGATGCCGAAGCAAGGATCCGTAGACACTGCTGGACATGAACGGTTGCGAGTACAGGCAATAGGCGATGCAACTTTGCGAGTAAGAGACGTTAAGATACCACTCACTGATGTACTTCACGTTCCCAACCTTAGCAAAAACCTATTGTCCATCCCAGCGCTGACTGAAAATGGTGCACGCATGATATTTGAAGAGTCTGGAGCTACTATCCTCCAGCATGATGGGAGCATGGTCAAGAGCAAGACCAACCGACGCAAGAAGAGATGGGAGGTTTACAGTGACTCCCTAGCAGCACAGCTCAATGATCCCCTAGAGGGCATTGATGCCACCACAACACCAGCAAAACCTGCAAGCCACACAACGAGCAAACTATGGCACGAACGATCTGGTCATCCTGGCAGGAACAAGACCAAGCAAATCCAGGACCACTACTTAGGAAAAGAGACACAGCTTGGACATGACGCAAGGGATTGCAACTGTTGCAGCCAAGCAAAGCAAACACATGCAAGAATGACAAGTAGCAAAACAGAGCGAGCCCAGGCACCCCTGGAGCTGGTACACATTGACTTGATGACGGACCTGAAAGGCCATCCCAACTACCACCATGCACTGGTAATTGTAGATGACTCGTCATCATATGTTTATGTGAAACCACTCCTCAGCAAGGCCGAAGCATTCCCCGCTCTAAAGGCATGGATCAAAGCAGCAGAGATAGCAACGGACCACACGCTAAAGTGCATCTGCAGTGACAACGGAACAGAGTGGTCCAGCTTTGGAGCAGAAGAATGGAAACAAGAAGCAGGGTTCAAGTGGCAGAAAACCACACCTTACATCAGTGCCCAGAATGGGAGAGCAGAGCGCATGATCAGATCCCTTCAAGAAAAGATGCGTGCAATGCTTGTCCAGAGATCAGTACCAAAGGAGCTGTGGCCCTATGCCATCATGGCTGCAGGGCACACACTGAACTTGACACCCTCTACTGAAGCAAATAGGATTCCATATGAGGACTTCCACTGCAAGTCTGCGCATGGCTTGGCCAAGCAGCTGCATGTCTTTGGTTGCCTTGCTTGGGTCCACCTCCCCAAGAAGGATCATACAGGAAAGCACGGCATAAGAGCAATCCCAGGAATCATGGTCGGCTACGATGACGAGCACAAGGGCTGGAAATTCTTCACCCCTGGCCACACCCCATCTATACGGTGGAGCAACTCAGCCACATTCCATGAAGCCAAAGGTTGGCATGATCGCCCCAGTGTGCAGAGCCCACTGCAGTTCGGCTTCGAGAGCCTCGAAGCAGAGGGTAATAGACCCAAGACAGATAGCGACAAGCCCGAATTGGAGGTGGAAGTACTCGACACGGAGGACCCACTTCCCAAAATACACACTGCACTGCCTGCCAACCCTATAGATGACAACAGGTCGGAGCTCGATGTTGAAGAGATAATTGGAGAAGCACACACAGCCATCCTGAACCTCATGCCGACCTTAAAGGAAGCACTCGCCAGTGATGATGCACAACAATGGCAGGAAGCCATACGCAAGGAGTTGGACAGACTTGAGGCAATGGGAACATGGGAGATTGTGGACGTTCCACCAAACACTAGACTTGTCAACTCCAAAATAGTCCTTCGGCTCAAATTGGATGCCGATGGCATACCTGTCCGGCACAAAGCGAGACTTGTCGCACAGGGCTTCACACAGCAGGAGGGTATCGACTTCGAAGAGACCTTTGCACCTGTGGCACCGCTCAGTGCAATAAGAGCCCTGTTATCCTTGGCAGTGGAGCGCAACTGGGAAGTCCATCAGCTTGACATCACAATGGCTTACCTCAACTCCATGCTCAACCATGTGATCTACATGAAACCACCAGAAGGTGCCAAGGTGCCGAAAGGGAAAGCCTACCGAGTCATCAAGGGACTGTATGGCCTTAAACAGTTGGGACAGGAATGGAACATGGAGTTTGATAAGTTCCTACAACGCTCAAACTTTCACAGGCTCGACTGCACACCGTGCATCTACACTAGAGGAGAAGGGGATAACTTCGCAATAGTGGTCATCTATGTTGACGACACACTAATTATAGCTCCAACCCTAGAAACAGTAAGGTGTATCAAGGAGGAAATAGGCCAAAGATGGTGGATGGAGGATGGTGGCAATGTCTCCCACTTCCTCGGGATCAAAATCACCAGGGATCGAGAAGCGAAAACCATGGACCTCGAGCAAACTAGTTACATTAAGCAGCTTCTGGATGAACATTTGGACAAGCGCAGAAGGAAGTCCAGCGTACCACTCCAAGACATCCCAGTCCCAGAAACGGCAGCAAGCATAGCAGAACAAAAGGAGTACCCACAGATCGTTGGCAAACTCCTGTGGTTGTCTAATGGAACACGTCCAGACATCAGCCAAGCTGTCGGCATCCTTGCACGCTATATGACACAACTGTCAAGGGAGCACTACAATGCTGCACAGAAAGTACTCCAATATTTGGACCACACACGAGATATCCACTTGCAATACAGCAGCAACAAGCAACAAGACTTTCTGATGGCGCACAGCGATGCAAACTGGGCAAGCGATGCTACAGCACAACGCAAAAGCTCATCTGGTTCAGCAGTGTTTGTGTGTGGCAACCTGGTAGCATGGAAATCAGCACTACAGCGCTGCACCGCCTTATCGGCGGTGGAAGCAGAATTTGTAGCTGCGACAGAAGCTGCACGAGAGGTCCTGTTCTTCAAGCACCTCTTCAAGGCCGTCGGAATTGATGTTGGTATCCCTACAATCTTTTCAGACAACACTGGTACCATCCAGGTTAGCAAGGACCCCACGCAACACTGGAAGTTAAAGCACATTGACACCAAATACCACTTCATCAGAGACAACGTGCAAGATGGAAAGGTCAAGATCAAGTACATTAACACTGCAGATAACTTGGCAGACCTCTTTACCAAACCAGTGGGAAAGACTATACTACAGCGTGCACGACAGGGACTGGGACTAAAAGCCCAGCATGATGCAGTGGCTCAGCAGTCTCCTGCCTTGCCACTGAGGGAGGCAGTTGAGGGAGTTGAAGTAGACAAAGCTACACAAAGCGTAGAGACAGCGAAGGTAGTGCTTACAGCCGAGTAAAAGGCCTGAACATCTTAGCATGGACCACATGTGTCACAACCTACTCATAACAAATGCTTTGTTATGTTCCGCAGTCAATGCGGCTCTCCGCCGCTCTTCTTTTGTATATGTATAGACTCCTCGCTCTCTCGCTCTCTGTCTCTTATCATCATCAATCCACGCAGAAAATCAGATACCTCAACTCAGGTTGGGCATTGGAATTGTCAGCAGTCGCGTGCCTGAAACCCGAAATCTGTGGTAAAAGGCAACTACTACTAATCTCAGCAAGATCTGCTGTAAGAGGCCTTCTATTATTGTTCTTGCTGGAATCTGTCGTAGAAGCCTTCTATGACTGTTCTTGCTCAAATATATCATAACTTAAAGGTTATCACAGGTTTTAACTGCCTGCTGAGGACACTCTGTCCAAAGGTAGCTTGGCACAATCAAAGTCCAATAGTTACTTTGTCTGAGGTGGCACCAAGGTCTGATGCTAATGTGATTGCTTTGACACGAGTGTCCAGTGTGTCGACTGACTGATTGAGTGATCCCCAGACCACAGTGGATGACTGCCATTGGTTCTAATGATCAAGAGAGCCAGACCGCAGTATGAAACTGCCTTCAGTGTCAATTGATATCCAGACCACAGATAGTACTGCCTTCAGATGGTGTCAAGAAGCAGTGATACAACACACACACTATGATAGAAGCAATGCTCTGCAATTGCTACTGTTGACAAAACTACTAAGTATACTTGTGTGAAAGTTATAGCTAGTAAGGTAAAGTGTAGAGTGGATGGAGATCCACTTGACTATTATGACAGGAAGGCATGGTTATATAATATCTTTGCAGTGTCACCTGCGACTCTGCATCTGGCTCTCTCTCCAGAGAGTACCTTCCTTGTCGAGCACTGCTGCTCCCGTTCCTTCAGGATCGAGGAGGGCTAGTGTCACGTCATCATTGATAGGGGTTGCCCCACTTCATCCTAGTGGCAGTGCCCCCCCCCCTTTCATCTACCTCCTGATGTCGGCACCCATCTTCTACACCAATTTCATCGTCATGTAGGGCCCCTATTTCATCCGGTGGCAACCCATTCTTTGTCCATTGTCCTCCTCTTGTGGGATTGGCAATAGAGATGTCTTCGAACCAGTTCCTGTGAGGTCTGTTGTATGAGCATGGTACTACTGATCTCACTGAACTCTGTAGTAAGACCTTGTTCCTACCGATCCTGACAAATTCTGCCATAGAGCTGTTGATCCTACCAATCTCACTAAACTCTGTTGGAACTCTCCTTTTGCCTGATCCACGATTGTTGCACATGGTCTCTTCATATGAATCCAGTTCTTCCTGCGCATCCATCCGGTCCCATGACAGCTTGCACCAAGCAGCTATGACAAGAGACTCGAAGCCCAAGCATCATCTCAGCTAGGAAAGGTACTTTATGATCGTTATCTCTGCAAGAAGAACACTCCATGGACGATCTCCAAGCTCAAAGACTCGACTCAGATCCACAGATCGGACCTGGCATTAACAAACCGTCAAGCAAGAGCTGTGTATAGGCTTAGCTTTCCTTTCTGATTTCTCTAATTACAATACATCTTCTTTAACCTTGGTAGACCCAAGTAGCCTTAGAATGAATCTTCCTGCTGCTAGCGCCAACGCTGAACGTCAACTCGCCACCCTGTGGGATCTTCCAACCTTGTCCAAGGGTCGACCAAACAGCAACGTCCTTTGCCCTCAACTCGAAAGAAACCTTCCTGGTCTCACCAGGTTGCAGATCCTTGACCTTCTCGAATCCTCGCAAAGTCTTGATCGGCTGAGGGTTGTCTTTTGAGTCTGCCGAAGCGGGGAATCCAACATAGAGCTGTACGACCTCTGATCCACTTCTGTTGCCCGAGTTTGTGATCTCGGTTTCGAGAGTGAGGATGGTGTCGTACAGTCCGGCGTCGCTGTTGAGAAGCTTTTCGTTAGTGGGCTGTATGGAAGTCTCGTCCTTCTTTCGGGTCTCACTGACAGTGAAACTTTTTGAGTATGTGAAGTTGGTGTAGGAAAGACCGTGACCGAAGGGGAAGCGCGGGGTGATGTTGTGGTAGTCGAACCACTTGTAGTCGATGAGAAGCTTCTCAGTGAAGTCGGCAACAGGGTTTTTGACAGAAGTATCGACGATGGTGTTGGGTGGATAGTCGCTGTCCTTCTTGCCAATAGTGAAGGGGAGCTTGCCGCTGGGGTTGGTCTCACCCCAAAGCATGGGGGGAAGCGAAGCACCGCCCTCCTGACCAGGCAAGTATGCAAGGACGACAGCAGTAACGTTAGGGTGGTTGATCCACTCCTCGACATCCACTTGACCAGGAGTATGGAGGATGACGATGGTGTTGTCGTTATTGCTAGCAACTGTCTTGATCAAGCTGTCTGCATTACCCCACAAAGTGAGGTTCTGACGGTCGTTGCCCTCGGCAGCAAAAGCATTGGCAAAGACGAGAGCTACCTCGCTGGAGTTAGCCCTAGCTTTGGCTCCTTGCAGATCCCAGTTGTCGAGGTGGAGGTTGACATCAGGCCCTGCCGCACGTGTGTACTCCTGAATAGCAGCAGCAGGAGTGATGACGTAAGGAGGGAAAGCCCAGCCTGATCCACCTCCGATAGTAATGGTACCGTTGAAAGCATTGATGTTGCACTTGCCGTCCTGACCACAGCTGGTGGCTCCTTGCAGGTTGTCTCCTGCATCCTGGCCGATGACACCGATCGTTTGCAACTCCTCGAGTGACTTGAGAGGGAGACCACGGCCATCCTTGTTGTTGTTCTTGACAAGAGTGATAGATTCAGCACCGATCTGGTGTATGATCTTGTGGTGATCACCTCTGACGTTGTTGGTTGGCTTGTTCATGTCCCGGACGTCGAAAGAAGGCTTGGGATAACTGTCATCCTGCAGCTCGAACGCGGGAGCCAAGATCCTCAACACCATATCATCCAATCTCTGCTCAGGCACAGATCCGTTCTGAACGAGCTTCAGCAAGGAATCGCCGAAGAAGTTACCGAATCTGCCGTTGTAGGCGCTGCCGGGCATGCTCGAATCCATTCCACTTAGAGCAGACTCCTCGTTTGTCCATGTTCCTCCCCAGTCTGAGATCACTGCTCCCTGGAAGTTGAGCTCCTCCTTCAGCAAGGAGTTAAGAGAGAAGTCATCCTGGCAAGCATGCGTTCCATTGACTTCATTGTAAGAACACATGATCGTACCAGTTCCGGCACGAACAGCCTCAGCGAAGCTCCAGAGATAAAGCTCGTGGCTAGTACGGTCATCGATGATCGAGTCGATGGGGTCCTGTTGCAAGGGAGGGTAAATGGCGTACGGCTCGGTAAGGTTGTACGGATTACGGAAGGTCTCCTGCTCGTAAGCAATGTAGTGTTTCGCGCAGGTAACTACTCCCTTCTCTTGAGCATGCTTGACGGTGAGGTAGGAGGCGACACCAGTCAAATACTCGTCAGGGGAGTATCCTTCCCAGTTGCGACCTCCTCGAGGAGCACGACCAAGAGGTCCACCAGTAACAGGGCCAAGCCAGATGTTGACACCCTTATCACGGAATTCCTCAGCAATGGCCTCAGCACGCTGCGCAATTAGGTCTCGATCCCAGGTAGCAGCGGTGGTGACACCAGCCGGGAACTGGGACACTCTTCGCGCAGGTCGAACACCGGCAGGACCGTCCTGTAGACACAGCGCCTCGAGACCGACTCGAGGAGCAGTACCGGTGAAGCCGACACATTCTCCAGTGTAGCCCGTAGTGATATTGACCTTTTCCTCGACCGTCATCTGGTCAAGAAGGCTCTTGGCCTTTGCAAAGCCGTTGGCCCAAGCTTGACCACCGGTGGTGTAAGGACCAGTGTAGGAGTGAGCACCATGCCCGCGTGCGAAAATGTCCTTGTAGTAAGCGCTGTCTGGGGTAGCGGGAGCAGCAGTGCTACCACCGAACGCGGCGGCGATGACTAGCACGGCAGCGACGACTGTTGAGTTACGGCTGAGCATCGTGTCGAGAGGGTAGGTCTTGATGGGTTGGAAGGTGACTTGGGTCAGGGAAGGCCAAAAACAGTCGGTTGATATACCCCTTTTTCGTCCAATCCCTGTCTGAGGAAGGAGGAAGGCTCACATCATTCGTTGCAGTAGCCGAGCAAGGGCCGATGTCAGAATCCAAGGAAACAGAAGCATGGGCGGGTTTGGACCATAGAACACCCCTAACCTCACTACACCGGTGTCTTTACTTTTCGGGTCTTCACAGTCCACACAAATGTGGGCGACTGTTCGGGCCAGGCGAGGAGGGACAGATAACACAGCGGTTCTGGTCGGAGAGGCATAGAAGTTTTTTTGCGGGGCCCCAAATGCGGACAGGAACGGCCAAATCATGGGACCGTTTGCCGTTTGGCGGCCGGTCAATACTCGGTTGCCCTTTTTAGCGTGGCGCCGGTCAATTTTCTCCTTATTCCTCTTCCTCAGCTTTCCCCCACTCTCGGCTATCTACACATTGGATGACGATGCCGTGTTCGCCCAATCCAGCCAGCCGTTGGTTTTCAGTGATGTCGCTGCGACCTGAAGTTTGGTCGGATATCCTTCCGCCCACTTCCTGTTAATGTAGAAGCTTCGGCAGTACTCTTATGGTTTTAGAATGACGAGTCCCTACAGCCTCCAGTGCTCAATGCGACTTGATCCGACGTCAAGTGCGACATTCATCCTGCTGCAACCAGCAAAGGCCATGTCTAATGTGGCAGTCACATTCGTCAGGTTATGCAATGCATCGAGCGTGTCGAACATCCTCAAGGTCATGCAACGACTCGGACCTTTCGAACAAGCTCAATGACAGTATCAGGACCAGCAGTAAGCCTCAAGGCACAAAGGGTTCGTAACGCATTCGCGGGAGTCTCGCCGTCTTCGATTTCACTGGCTGCTTTTTCCCGTTGGTGAGCATTGCCCATTCGCTCCCACCGCTCCACCACTCCCACAAAGCATGCATTCGCTTACATGCTTGAACTATGGCCAAGCGAGCCACGTGGTCTGCGTTCCGGCTCAACGCGGACGCTGCAACAAACGTAGGAAGCGAAAGGTGTGGCGTGGGGACAGCGCGTGGAGCGGTCATTTGTGTTTGTTCCGCAAGAATGCTCGCATGACGCGGAGAGAGTACAAGGGGCCCCCCAAGTGGATTCGCAACTACAACCGCATGGCAGCTGGGCCTCGCTTTGCAAGAGTGCAAGGTCGTACAAGCGCGCGCGCTCCGGAATTGACCGATCACCATCTCGGCGAATTCGTGTGCCGAAGAATCTCACACTGGACTTTGGACAACACGTTGATCTTTTTGTGACAAAACGTTCCATCAATGACGGTACTGCACTGAACATATTGTACACCATATAGAGATGACTGAAATCACATTCAGCTTTGCAGCTCCGAGATCGCCGTCGCCAAGCTTTCTAGTCGGCGAGTCAACTGCACGAGCCCAGCAGCCTCGGAAGCCTGCAAAGTCGAGGGCGGTATCCGAAGAGTCTGGTCCAGAGCCTGCATCAAATCAGCTTGTGCACCGCGCAAGGACTTCGACGGCAACCCACCAAACTGCAGCAATGCATCTGGCAAAGCAGCCTTCTTGCCTCCCTTGGCATCATCGTTTTTCTTCGAATTCGCCGCTGCAGAACCCGCTGACCCCCCCGATGTCGGCGGTGAATTTCGCCCACCGGCCTCGTTAAACGAGGTTCTCGGCAAATTAGCATGCCTCTGTACGTGATCCACTGCCAATCCTTTCTCGCTTGGCTCGTTCGGTCCGGTTCTTCTTCTCAAACTTAACCCTTCACTTGCCGTGATATCCTTTTCGTGCTCGTTCTCGATCAAGACAGCTTTGTCTTCGACGAGGTGGGAGTAGTCTGGTTTGGCCCTCTGAACGGCGATGTCGGCCAATTCCGATTCCGAGGAGCCGTCACGAATGATGGCGCGAATTTCCGGAAGTAGTCGCAAGTCATACGAGTTGCTGCTGAGACGAGATGGACCGTACTCCATCTTTGCACGACTGAGGTTGAGGTATCCGCGACGAAAGAGGTCAGATGTGGCGCTACGGAGCTGCTGATATTGGTCGAGAGTATCGAGGTATACGGCAATCAGAGTGTCCAGATTATCCTGCTTGGAGGTAGGGGTTCTTGTAGCCGTTTGAGTTGCATCTTCTGTAGAATTGGGCTTGGAGAGAGCTGTGGAATCGGCGTTGGTGCCAGCGGCTACGGGCGCAGGTAACGCGAGATGGTGTATCGGCAACTGAGAAGAGCCGGACCCAGACCGCAACTCGTAGGCCTCGTTCGCTCGAGCGGGCTTTCCATTGCCCTCACTTTCTCCGTCGTATTCATCGAGCATACCCAGCCTCTCATCCGAGTTTTTGCTGTCGTGACCGCCATGGGTGGGTCGACTGCCACCGCTGCGCCTGGATCTCCAGTGACAGAACGCCAGCAATACACAAAGGACATTGAAGGCGTCGTATGTCCGATAGGTGTACCTGATACCCCACACGAGCGCGTACCATCCCACTAAGCCAAAACCAAACGCGATCGCCTTTGCTTCCACACCGCTTCGTGGCGGCTCGAGCATCCTTCCTCCTGCCATCAGCCACACCAGCACCACAATAGGTGCAACATCCAATACGTTATGATCCATCCAAGCAGCGATGGTCTCAGGTGTTGTAATACCTACCGACGTCAAGTTGCGAACCCATGTGACCAAGAAGCTCGCTTTCTGAGGCAGTAGGAAGACAAGGAGAATGAAGATGCTCAGATGCTGGCTGAGGCGCGTTTCGCGAGACAATCCTGCGACAGGGGTGACAGTCCGTAGTTCTAACTGCGCGCGAAGTGTGTTGAGCATCTGCAACAAGAAGATGCAGAGGAAGATGAACTGGTGTGGCACGAAGAGCACCACTGATAGGAGCAAGAGTGCGAGACCTGCAACGGACTGACGATTCCATTGAAGAGGGTCCGAGCTTGCTGTTGCTGCACCGACCCAGTTGAATTTGCGAGCGAGACCAAATTTTAATACCATCGCCGCGACCAGTTGGAACACTCCCTGGATCGATGCCACAATGACGAGCAATGCCGCGTACGAGACTACCAAGAAGCAGGGAACCAGACCAACGGAGGAAGAGTTGTCGCTCAATCCGAGCACCATGCCGAGCAAAGCTGAAGATGGACCTTGTGACTGCGCGCTTGGCAAAGACTGGTACAGCGCAAGGCGAACGCTGTCGATGATTAGCAGAGCACCCGTCAGACATCCCAGAAGGCCTAGTAGAGGGTCGACCTTCTGACCGAGGAAAGGCGTGCGAAAATCCGGCTGCATGATTGAAGTCAATGGGGACGGAAAGACCGTCTGGCCCAGGCTTGACGCCCAGGCGAGCCAAGATAGACCGATGCAGATGGACAGCAGACCAAGAGGCCAAGCAGCTAGGAAGAAGCGATAACGCAAAAGGATGGACCCGGCTGATGCCTTCCAGTCGACAGACAAGCGGATCGACTCGACAGGAGATCTAGAAATCTGCGTCTTGACCGGAGAGGGTCCAAGCAGCGCCTGATCAGACCAGAGCTGCACTCTCATCTCGTCGACACTTTCTCTAGCTGGTGGCATGAAGGGAGCGTTACCATGAAGCGAGAGAGGGAAGGTGATTGGCTCGCCCATGTAGGTTCCAGCGCGAATCTTGCGGATGAGCTGCGGGCTGGCAAGCTGCGGATACCAGCGTGAATCACCGGTTGCGCGGTTCGAAATGTGTAGGAAGGGTGAGAAGGATGGGTCTGTGGTATGTTGGGTCTCGTCGTTGCTGTTGAGGGTGTAAGAGGCAAGGTTCTCGATCAAGTATTGACTGAGGGTGATGTCGATGCGTCTGGCGAGCAAAGACGAGCCGTAGCCCTTTAAGATCCATTCTGTTGCGATTGGGTTGGCACCCGTGGTTGCGATGCCAGCGTCTTGATGATGCTGCTGGATGGCTGAGTTTTCGCCAGAGGTGAGCAGAACGGAGCTGCCGTGCTTCTCGACCCTTCCATTGGCTTGACGCATCCAGCCAGCACGAACAAAGCTTTTGAGGCCCTTTTGATGAACAAAGACGCCAGAATCTGTCCTACGCTCGATGCGTATCCAGTCAACGCGCTGCCTCTTGAGCAAGTTGGCGTCGAGCCTCAAACGCTGGAAAGCGACACCAGGAACATGGTAGATCTCTTCTGCGTTAGGGAAGGGCTTGTTTTCTGGGAAATTTGGGTCGATCTGGTCCGCGGGTCTTTCCATCATGATGTCTGTTCGTGGCAGGAGACTTGGTGGGATGAGCTCCCATTGCCAGGGCATCACCAACGTGCACGAGGTTTTCGTACCACCAACGGGGTTTGAAGAGTCGGGATTGTTGGTACATGTCTGGACGACAAGCTCGATGGGCTGCGGAATGGGCGGACCCATACCAGAGGAAGGGTTCCATCCAACACAAAGGTTGGTGAGCAGCTCGAACGCATGCGAATCTTGGTCACCTTCGCCTAGTTGGGCCGGCACACGGAAAACGTAGTTGCGATCATCGACCGTCAGAGCCGAATCGGGACCCGTCAGCTGTCTCTGAACTGTTGGCGACTCTCGCTCGACAACGAATGTATCACGATCTTGGTCACGTAGCCAATCTGCAGATGGGCCGAGCTCCAAAGGTCCTAATTCGCCATTGCCGCCATCTGTGACATCGAATAGGCTGAGAGCTCGTCTCCAAAGCTCGCGACGCCGGCGGAGAATGCTCGATTTGCCACTGACGCCACCCTCATTACGCTCGCTATAGACTCTTCCAAAGGCCATCATGTCTAGTAGGAAGCCTCGGGCGATCTTTTCGCGAAGTTGATCGCACCACATGACTGCAAGATGGTCGACTGATGACCACAGGGAGGGGAGCGAGGTTGTGAAGGTCGATATGCGTGAAGGTGCGACTGACTCGCCGATGCGGGCAAGACTAAGCGATGAAGGATCCGAAGGAAGCTGTGTGTCTAGAAGACCCCCTGCGATGGAGACGAGTAATGGCGGTACTTGACTTTGTGTGCCGTTGAATGGCTGGACGGGCTGATTGATGAGCGAATAGACATACTCGAGGCTCCTATCGAAAGGTACTGGCGGGTAAGCATGTGGTGTGCTGAGGGTAACGATAGTATCGACGCGGCCTCGAGGGTGGTTCGGCAAGTGTTGTGTGAGTCGAGCAGCAATACCACCCATGCTGTGAGCCAGAATGGGTACAGTTGTATTGCGCTCTCCTGCTGCATAGCCACGGGTAGCCGGTGAAGCGTATCGATCAGTAAGGTAGGCGATGATCTCGTTGATGAAGGTGGCCTGTTCGATCAAGGTGGAACCGCTGAAAGCCGAAAAGTCCTCGTTGAAGTCTATAGTATACCAGTCTGTGTGCGCAACTCCAGGTGGAGCATCCTTCCACTCTTGGCGCCGTGCGCCTGAGCCATTCTCTACGTAGAATTGTCTGGAGGCGCTCGAAGCGACGCTGCGCACTTGACCGTAGGATCCTGCATTTCCGGGTACGAAGAGAGCCGGACTACCAGTGGGAAGGTCCATTGGCTCGAAGTCGCGCTCGCGATATAGGTAGAGGCGATACTTGCGCCAAAGCCCTGATGGTGAGAAGGACTCAAGGTTGGCTGTGTGGTCGATGTAGGCCGGCCTCATCCGTGACATGCGACATTGTTGTGAGATGGCGAGCTGCTGCGGCAAGCGTAGAAAGGAGTCGACTGAGTATGTGACGAGCGTCGCTGATATCGCGAGTAAGAGCCAAGGAAGCCATGATAGCCGTGATGAGCGTGTTGAGGAACCCCCTGTCGCCATGACGGTAGCCTCTGCCTAGACCTCCGACACAGAGCGGAGCTCAACACAGCGACGAGTGCGGCTGAAACGGCGGGTATTGAGAGCCGAGTGACCTGGCTGGGCTCATTGATGTGCTATGATGAAAGCTGAATGATGCGATGTTGGCGACGGTGACTTCGAGCGGACGTTGATCCAAGTGTTGCTCTCTTGCTGTTTCTCCACACTCTTCAGAAGACAGAATTTAACATTCGGATCAAATCTCGGAACTCGGCGTTGAACCCTCGCTTCGATGATTTTTTTCCTTTTTTTTTTTTTCCTTTTTTTTTTTTTTTTTTTTTTTTTTTTGGGCTGTTCCTGTGCCTTTGCACGGAGAAGTATTCGAGCTGCGAATATCAACGGCCAACTAAGCGACCAAGTTATCCCGAGTTCTTCTATGCTTCTCTCTCAACTAATCCCCTACGCTCCTCATCTCCAGCTACCCGCGGTTGAGACTCTCACGATGCCGCTCAATGCAACATCATTTCTGGTCTCGCAAGGCTGGGAGGGCGTCGGCGTGCCCCTTGACGGTAAAGCCGGCAAAGGTCTAAAGAAACCCCTCGCTATCACCCAGAAAAAGACACTATCCGGTATCGGCAAGGATCGAGACCGAGCGGACGATTGGTGGAACAGCATCTTCACAGCGAGCGCAAAGTGTCTCTCGATCGGTTTATCCCCATCTTCATCCGGCGCATCCACACCAACACTCGACAAGCCGAAGGCTTCCGGTAGCGGTACATCATGGAACATGAGCGAAAGGTCTGCCGCCACTGCAACCATGTCACTATCATCTCTCGCAAAGCGGGAACACGCCAGGAAAACTCTTATGAGCAATTTCGTTCGAGGCAAGCCCATCGTTCCTGCTGTCGAGGTCGAGCCACGAAAGCCTGCTGAGGTTGTCGCAGCCTCCGACGCCGAGGCTGAATCCGTTCTCAATGTCGCATCCTCCTCATCATCTGGCACCACACCCCCGGGAGACAAGGACAACGAACGGCTGGAAAAGAAGCTCGCAAAGAGGGCGCTTCGCAAACAGCTCGCCGAGGCAGGCCAACCGAAACAGAAAAAGAGCAAGAAGGCGAGAGAGGACAAGAAAGAAAAGAAGGGAAAGAAGGATAAGAAGGATAAGAAGGCAAACAAGACTACTGAGTTACAAGGATCAAGTGTCGCCTTACCGTTGAAGGATACATCACCCTCGAAGAAACGTAAACGTAAACGTGATTCGCAGAGCGTTGAGGTCAATAGTGTGGAAGCTATGAAGGACAAGAAGGACAAGAGCGGTAAGAAGGACGAAGGAGACAAGCGAGACAAGAGGCAGAAGAAGGCCAAGAAGCCCAACACGGACAAGAAGCAGAGGCTGGACAAGGACAAGGACAATGTGGACTAGCCTCACTGAACCGATGCGACATATTGCCTGTCCAAGCATGCTCAATCAATGATACCCTTTCCAGCAATCTCATCATCACAGCACGCGATCCTGATCATCGAAGAAGACTCTGAATATTGACTGGCATCAGCCAAAGCATGGGCTAGGAACGAAGCAATACAGCCACCGGCTTTCACCCTGCGAAGCTTCAACAAACCTCGTTCGAGCACCATGAGGGAGGCCCGTGTCATGCAAGAGGTGGAGCTCGGACTCGAACGTGTTCAACAGGAACGTGTCAATCCCGACACGACGGATCTCTTCTCGGATCCGCGCTTCTCAATGACTCAAGGGCCCACGCACCACCCTCTCTTGCTCTTGAGGCGTTGCGTTTGGGTACATTCTCATTACCTAAGTGGACAAGCTGCTTGGCAAGGGCTGCATCAATTGGCGTGTCACCAAAAAGCGGCTGTCGAGTGCCTCAAGGTAATTGATTGCTGGCTGCGAAAGGTGTAGTCGCCTACGCTTGTTCAGCATGAAGCTGTTTTCACAGGCGAAATATATGTTTGATGTTGGCATTTGCATCAGCGTTTCATACGGGTAGTAGAGGCAAAGGCAATTTACCGGATCATGGTGCGGACGCTGTTAAACCCTAACCGTTCTGCTTCGTCCGTGTCGAAAAAGCGTCTAATCATGACTCTGAATTGATCACTACAGACAGAAGGTTGGATGGATGCTAATGGTAAACGAACTAACTGAGTCTGGTGCTTTTATACGTCTTACCCTGTGGACGATACAGTAACATGTTGGAGCGAAAGACGAGTCTGAAACATGACGAGGTAGTGCAAAGGGCCATACAGCGATAGAGCTCAGGCCTCTATCTCCTCCGGGCCCTTATCTCCTCCTGGCCCTTATCTCCTCCTGATATGGTCATCAGGTAGCGCGAGGTATCCGGCCTGATACGAACATCGGTCATCCTCTCAACCGGCCTGATACGAGCCGATACAAGCACAGCCTTTCCACATGTGAATCGAGATCGCACAAGCTCATCAAGGAAGGTTACCTTACTTTCCCACGGTGGAAGATGTGTACGGCGGGTTTCAAAAGACACGGTTGAGGATGCTAATCTGCATTGCGTTTGCTGGGTCACAAGCTCAGCTCGTCCAGGCTGGAAAGGATCAAAGGCTTCCGATAACAATGATCGAAGCTCTATCAGAGGCTGTGTTTCGGATGAGCGCGGACCCGCCTGGGATGCAAGTTAAAGAGACCTTGTCACGTCTCAAGATGAATCGAAGTGATCCTCATTGGGGGCCCATCCTCAGATTCCACCTTCACCTCAGCAAGTTCTTCTCACCACAACTCTGCCACACCACCGTGCCACAGACCTCGTTGCGGATTATCAGCAGTATAAGACGGAATTCGCGGGGCGGGGTCGACCGCACGGCGTTGTTGGATCGAGCAGCGTGCTCGCTTGTCACTTGCGACACAAACTTCGGTGGTAGGACGCGGTTTTATTACGTGTGGCGACGCCGGACCGTGTGCAGAGACAGTGGATGGATATGGTACTAATGGAACAACGAACCAACTAAGTCTTGGGTGTTTTGTGCGTCTACCCTGTGAACGAGACTGAAACATGCAGGGGCAATGTAAGGGGCCACTTATCGTCTTGCTTCGCAAATACACTAACAGCATATAAAGGAGGCGGCCATGCTGCCCGGATGTTGTCACTCCCATCTTCCCTCATACTCATCTCCTTCGCTGGACGCTCGCTATGCGATTTGATCTGTTTTTCATCTGCGTCTTCTGGACGCTCCAGGTATTTCTCTTTTGCAAGGCGACCCCGCCTAGGAGCTCAACGAACTTCGACCGCGTGGAAGAGGCGCTTCCCCTCCCTGAACATGTCCCCCGTGAAAGCGTTACCACATATGCATTGCCATTGCTCGGAGCGGGTGGCGTACCCATCAGAAGGGGAGGTGTTCCGCTGGAACCGTTCGGAATTGCAACTCGGCCTCGAAGGCCAACATTGACCCATGCCATACCCATTAGGCAAGTTGATCCTGGTCAGTCGGTGTCTGCTCCTCTCTATAGATCGGGCTCGACCTCTCGTGATGGAAGGGGACCACCCTTGCCCTATAGACCACTCGTGAGACCAGTCGAGCCTGGTCAGTACGGGTTCGCCCCCGTCCACTATTCCGGCCGGCCTCGAAGGCCGACATTGACCCATGCCATACCCATTAGGCAAGTTGATCCTGGTCAGTCGGTGTCCGCTCCTCTCTATAGATCGGTCTCGACCTCTCGTGATGGAAGGGGACCACCCTTGCCCTATAGACCACTCGTGAGACCAGTCAAGCCTGGCCAGTACGGGTTCGTCCCCGTCCACTATTCCGGTCGGCCTCCAAGGCCGACATTGACCTATGCCATACCCATTAGGCAAGTTGATCCTGGTCAGTCGGTGTCCGCTCCTCTCTATAGATCGGTCTCGACCTCTCGTGATGGAAAGGGACCACCCTTGCCCTATAGACCACTCGTGAGACCAGTCGAGCCTGGTCAGTACGGGTTCGCCCCCGTCCACTATTCCGGCCGGCCTCGAAGGCCGACATTGACCCATGCCATACCCATTAGGCAAGTTGATCCTGGTCAGTCGGTGTCCGCTCCTCTCTATAGATCGGTCTCGACCTCTCGTGATGGAAGGGGACCACCCTTGCCCTATAGACCACTCGTGAGACCAGTCAAGCCTGGCCAGTACGGGTTCGTCCCCGTCCACTATTCCGGTCGGCCTCCAAGGCCGACATTGACCTATGCCATACCCATTAGGCAAGTTGATCCTGGTCAGTCGGTGTCCGCTCCTCTCTATAGATCGGTCTCGACCTCTCGTGATGGAAAGGGACCACCCTTGCCCTATAGACCACTCGTGAGACCAGTCGAGCCTGGTCAGTACGGGTTCGCCCCCGTCCACTATTCCGGCCGGACCTCTCGGTTTGCGAGTGGAAGGATCGGTGGATCGAAGCCCCCCCAAGTCGAGGCCTTGTGGAAGGAATATCGCAGAAGGTACAGCGAGCAGCTGCCGGTACTATTCGGCCCAAACGCTGAGCAGAATAGGGAAGAGGAGGCAGAAACGTTCCAGAAATACAAAGCCCGACTCGCGGAGCTAGACCACCTTCGAAAGTGAATTTTCTTCGTTCGATGCAGCAGATACAGTATGATTAGAACTGACATCCACCTCGACTTTCCGTTTGATCTTCTGTTTGGTACTCCATCAATCGTAGCTGGGTGCTTAGAGACCTAGGTTCTTCGCTTAGCCAGACAGATGCACAGCGTCTTCAGCAAAAGTTCCATCCTTGGTCACCTGGGCGGAAGATCAAAGTGAACAACTTAGCAAAACATTACCACAGCTTCATCGAGAGCGAAAAATTGTTGGTGCTTGAGGTGGAGAAGATCTTGGAACGTGTGGCGACGACGCCACACTGATCTTTACATCCCCCCTGCCCGTGAAGAGATCTCAGACTTAGTGCGAAATTGTCCCAACTCTGACACATTGTTGCGCACCATCGCGTTACACTGCAATGTCCATATTAGCTCTCTCGAATCAAGGCAATTCAGTCGTTTTGTTTTGTGGTGAATCGACTTCGCCTGGGTTTTATGTTTCACCATGTGCCTACGGATCACTCCTCAGCTTCACCACTAAAATCAAAGTGGACATCTGAAGCGAAAGTCCTGCTCGGTGCCCGGGTTTGTTTGGCATTGTTACTTGGGGCAATGTATGCGCTCTGAACTCCGCGACCATGCATTTGTCTGACGACCGGCTCTCGAATATCCGCAAAATGAAGTGCATTTTCATTCTGCCGACTCTCGCGTTTTACCGACCCGCCTTGACCCTTTGTAGACTTGTAGGAGGTATGCGGCCTATCGGCTCGCATCAGGCAGATTATCGCGATAAGGCATCGGCATATAGACTGTCCGATGCCGAGGAGCTAGGGGCCTGAACCCTTGCATTGGCCCTGCACTTTCCAGTCCCGTCCACGGGGTAGAGGCACAAAACACACAAGACTTAGTCATTTCATTGTTCCATTAGTATCGCATCCATCCACTGTCTCTACATACCGATCGTCGTCGCCATACGTAATAAAACCGCGTCCTACCATCCAAGTCTGTGTCGCAAGTGACAAGCGAGCACGCTACTCATCCAACAGGACTCCGGTCATACCTTCCTGCTCGCAGTGCTGCAGTCCGCTGTGGGCGGAAATTCGTCCACCAAGCAAATTTCACATGGGTGTGGCACGGAAGAGAAGATCGAGTACTTGCATCTTGCATCTGGTTGTCGAAACTCCCAAAGTTTGACAGTGGACCTCAAGTACAGGAGTGCAACATTCGACGTCGAAGATGTTTTGTTGCTGAGAGGAAGTGCTTGGTGGGAGGGCGTTGTAATGCGCTTTTGCGCTTCCCGATATTCATCGTAATGGACAGAACGTGGGAAGGAGTCGACGTGGGCTTTGGATTACTCCAGCGCTATGCTAAGGCTCAGCGCAGATGTGATTCACAGGTTTGTCTGATACGACTAGCTGTGGCCTCAAACGCCCACGTATGGCGCTGTAGGCGCTCTACAAGCTCTTTGTTCGATCGGAAAGAAGGGAAGATGGATGGTATATAGAGAGCTCGAACTCGAAGCGAAACCAGACATCTTCGAAGCAACATTCCTCCTCAAAACACTGCCGACCTTAATGGTAACAGAACGACAGCCATGAAGCTCTACACGACCCTCAACGTTACCCTTGTCGCCATCACCGTGATCACCATGCTGTCAGCCTCAGCAGCGCCGATGCTCGCCAGATCTCTCCCTATCATCCCCGAGCAGAACGAAAACGTTGCTGTTTGGTGGAAAAATTACATGCTTCTTCACTCTAAGAAGGACCCGCCCATCCCAGATCAAATCGACGGGTTGAATGACGAAGATCTTGGATTTCACTTCAAACCATTCAGCCGACGAGTTGCTCAGCTCGATCACTTGAAGACGTAAGCCCACATTCTACCATTCAGATCTTGTTTCGAGAAAAGGGGGCTGACATTCGCTCCATCTGAAACCGTTTTTTATCGGTTAAAGCTGGGCTCTGGCAAACCCAGAAACGCATAGGGCATTGACCGGAGGCCAGCGGGAGGTGTTGAAAAGACCGTTCTTTGGATGGGACAGTCAAGCGCTTAAAAGCGATAAACTGGATTCTGTGTCCCTGCACAGTAGGCTGGGGGTGGAGAAGACCTTTGTAGCGGATGTTGAGAGCATCTTGTACGATCTGGCAAAGCATTTGCCCGATCTATCGCCACGACCCTAACAGCTCGATCTGCCTGGGGGAAGAGAATTGAGGAGACTGTATCCCGGCCAGTAAGGCGTAGACCGGTCGTTCCAACCGGCATTTGTTTCCCTGACTCCCACATAATCGTAGTCGTCAACTTGTGAAGCTCCGTTATGGGCGTCGTCTCAAACAACATAAACTTCATAAAGATTTGCTATCAAAAGGTTATTCCAAGTTCTCGGTCTTGGCCGAACGAAAAATGCTGAACATCTTTACACGTACCTCCCAGAACCCTCATGATGGTGCGAGATGAAAGCACTGATTGAAAGTTAACGTCGCCGACCTTCGATGTCCGGCCGTGAGAAGATTTAAGGTGCAGGGACCTGATATCATTGGGCCGACTCGATCTCGCAGACCGTCATTTGTAAGCTGCTTGCGAAAGAGGTGCCTGAGGTCAAAGTTCTTGCGCATCACGACCGCAGCCCGCTATGCTCAGAGCCAAGCTTAGCTAGCCTCGAACCGTTCCCAGTCAAACCTTGGTGTATTTAAAGAGCTCTCAGTTGGCAGCAGAAGTGTCCTCTGACTCGTCACATAGACAGCACGATAGTAACTATGCACACTATAAGCTTGCCGTTCGTGCTGTTGTCTTTAGCATTGCTGCTCGCAGCCTCTTCAACATCACAAGCGGCAAGCTTGGGTAGAAGAGGAAACGTCGGTAAAAATAGGTTGGACCTAACCCTCCGTCTAGGTCCATCTCCTGGCCGCTCTCAGCCAGCACAGCCCTCTACGCCATTTCACGACGCCGAACAATCCAGCGCAGAGAGCAGCAGCTTCGTACACACTCTTTCGCAATATCCACCCTCGCCAGCTATTCATCCCATCGATCAAGTATATCTCAACCCTCAACCACACCCGCCTGAAGCTGAACGAGTATTATTTGGATATCCGATCAACAGCGAACGAAGTTGGGTAGACGATCAACCTTGGCAGATGAACACCTTTGAACAGGCCTTTAAGATGCCGCCTGGATTCGTGCAGATCGAGAAGGGAAAACAGATCGGAGAGGGTTCGAGCTCGCATCCCCAAGCTGAACCCGAACAAATTCAATGGGATGCTCAAGCTTCCTTTGCTGACCAGCAAGAACCGCAGAAATTTTTTCGCCAGCTTCGACCCAAACCACCTACTCGACCAACCCTTCACCTCTACCCACCCGAATGGACCACTCCACCCGCCGACGAGGGCCAATCCTCGCGTCGGCCTCGTTCACTTTCTCAAATGAGTATGTTTGGCAAAGAAGGGAAAGCTACCACTGAGGCAGGCTACAAAGTAGGAGATGATGTAAGAACTGGCGCTTACCTGCAAATGTACAACGGACATGGTCCGTTTTTGGATGATTCAGGAGTAGCTCAGTTAACAAGCGATTCGAGTAGTAAGAAGGTGGAGCTTCGAAATCAGGGAAGTGAACAAGCCAGGAGATGGGAGCAAAGCCTGAACAGTGACATCAAGCGCGTAAAGAGTCCTCCTCCTCCCACATCTGGGGAAGAGACTGCTTTCGATCCCATCCAATTCAAAACGCTTTTCGAGCAGTACAAAGTTCAACATCTGGGCCAACCATTCCCAGCTGTAATCAGGCAAGCTACGTTCTTCGCACAGCCTGCGAGAGATCTCCAGGATCGAATTGATGCTCTAGTTCAGATCAAAGAGTGAGTATCTCTCCCTCTCCTTTCTTCTGCCCTGTACAGATGCTTTGTGACTGACACATTATAATGTGTTGTCTGAGGGTAGAGCGCTACTGAAACACCCATCGAAACCGCTGACAGAAGCAGAGAGACGTCTGTTCGAACGCGGACGCTTCCAAGATTGGCACAAGATCGCTGACAACTTATCACGCGGACATGGATTTAATGGAAGAGTGCCTATCGTAGTCCAGCAAGCGTTGGAGGAGGATTTGACTCTGGTGCGCAGATTTGAGTCCGTGATGCAGCAGCTAGCTGGCCATTTCTGGCTGTTTTGGTGAATGTGACTCTGGTCTTTTATTACCGTGACGTAGCTATGTGTGAGGATGTGTGTGAGGATGTGTGTGAAGCGTAGTGACGAGTGGGAATGTTAGCCCCAGGTGTGAGCGAGGTAGCTGCCCTTTGTGGCCTCGTGGATGGGGCCTGAGTGGAAAGGCGTGATTGGTAGCGCTGCGGCGATGAGCATCACCACGAGTACTCTAAATGCGATGAAGACGAGGCTTGATTTCGACTGGGTGCTGGTCGACATTCTTAGACACAACGATGGATGATGGGAAAGAGTTAGTCATGGTGGTGGGAAAGGGAAAGCGAGGATCAAGGAGATGTCAAGAACCTTGATCGAAGAGGTTGAGGTGGCTGTGGCGCTAAGGCTGTGGGTGTGGGAGCGATATGAAGTTGTTGCATCATCCTCACTTCGCACGGTTCGTCCCTCTCAGTCACATCTCCGACGAAAGAAGAACAATGGGCTAGATTCGATGCTTTAGGATTCGAAGCATAAGCTCTGCACAAGGATGAAGATCTTGACGCTTTTATCAAGAACAGGCTCTGTGCACGACGGCCGAATCAAAAATGGAGACCTCTAGCAACCGCCTCATTAATCCCCTCCAGCATCTTCTCCTCGCCTTTTTCTGCCTTCTCCATCAACTTTCTGACTGCATCATGTCTAGTTCCTTCCCCAAAGTGCACGTCCGACCCTCTCCTCGACGTGCTACCCTGTAAGTCATCTTTTCCGATCTGTATCTCTTTCCATCGCTTCGGCGTGCTACTCTGCAGAGAACCTCTCTCTAACGGAATCTCGTTCCACCTATGATCGCCTTCTCCTGTCCCTTCCATTACCAGTTTTCCCTTTCCCTGCTCTCTCACAAGCTGCTGCTCGAACTCCTCCTCCTTCCTCGACTCCTCATTTCTTTTCTTCTCAAGCTGCTTTATCCATTCCAAATGTCTCTGCCACCTCTCGTTCTCCCCATCCGCCTTCATGCCCTTACCAACCTCCAAGAAACCCGCCCAATGCCTAAGCATATCTTCCTCCCACTTTCTCCACTCGTCATTCACATTCGCATACCTTATGGCCGTTGCGATCTGCGTCATCCTCAACAGGATATTTAGCTCCGCGAATTGCATTTCATGTTCGAGCAGATCTTCGAGTGTAACATAGGGTCGGTGGAGATCGAGATCGATAGCATGGGATAGAGTGTTGATTGCGCGGATAAGCTGCTGTTCCTTGAACCAGACTTCGAAGGGGGGCGGCTTAGGGTATAGGCGAGGGTGGTAGCGGAGGTGTAAGGTGTTAGCGTAGTGGGATTCGAGTGAGGATTTGGTCCAGAATCCGTCTGGACCGAGGATTGGTTGCTGAGAGGGGGGTAAGGGGGATGGGGGGAAATCGTAGGGTTCGAGATCAGCGCCGCGAGAGAGGAGGACTCGACCGGCAGGAGGGGGAATGGAAGGGCCTAGAGGAGGGTTCGTTCCTTGCGTGCGAGCTAAGGCGAGAGCTAAAGATAGGAGGAGGAGGAGGGCGGGTAAGTTGCGCATATTGAGAAGGTCGAAGTTGACCTGCGATGGCGAGCGGAAGGAAAAGCTTGATCGCGAAGAGGCTTGAAAGGATAAGCTACCTAGTCAAGGTGGCGAAGCACGATTGGAAAGACGTCGTGTTCGTAAGATCGTGTGCAGAAGAGCAGGCGTGACGCAGTCGAAGGCGATGAATTAGCCCAACGACGACATACATCAAGAGTGGTCGAGATATGATCTTCAATAGTAGCTCAGCGGTTTGCGTTGAGCGAAAAATTCCGTTATGAACGGCAAGAGACGAAGTGGTGGTGGTGTGACAGTCGAGTGTATCTTGCGATGATAAGCGTAAGAAAGCGAAGGCCCCAGATAGTCGAGTATGGACAAAGAAAGGTGAGAGAGGACACAAGGTGCCAAGTTACTGCATCTGATCTGCAAAGACTGGCTTTGACCCTTTTGGGAAGAAGCACAGGCTTTCCTTCATTTGTGGTAGCATGGGAAAAGAGTGGGCTTTCGGTTGCCTCGAACAGGTCGGGCTGCTTTCCGTGGTCACCTCTCAGATGAAGTCTTTATCCTCTCCGAACCCATCAGAGTGGGCTGCTAAGCTCCTCATCAATTGCCATCTGACCCCGATAAAACTCGATCGAGGTACATTAAGAAGCTCCCCGTTGCGCCTCTCCAAGCCGATCTTCGATCCTGTACTTGTGCATTCAGTCTTGCTTCCACACCTCCCTCATTACGCCCCCCTACCAGAGCAAGCGGCTCCAAGGTATCAGGTTGCCGCGCAACACCTGCTCAAAGCGAGTCGTGCAGGACTGATCCGATGTCGAAGCATACAACAGTCGCGGCTATGAGATTGGATGGTGTTGAATCTCGATCTACTGAAAGCGTCCGTTAGCCGAGAAAAAGGCGCATTTGGACAGCCGAACACCGGCAGCTGCAAGTCTTATCGTGCGAATGAACACATGCGCATTTTTCAATGGTGAGCGAAGGGGCACGTGACCAACGCGCAAAACTTCATTTTTCATCGCAACGCTTTAACTTCCCCTCCGATCGCTCTACTCTCTTCCTTCTCCTCCATCATCTTCTCTTCGCTCACCTCTCCCTTCTGCTCTCTCTCTCTTCATCATCACCTTCTCCTTGCGCTGCCTCCGGGCTGCGCGTCATCAAGCTTCATCCACCGTCCCACCCTCCTACAGTCCTTTCCAATTCTTGCACAAATTGATACCTTCCCTCGTTTTCTTGTAATTTGTTCTCGCGCGCATTCCGCCTTGCTTACACGCGACGCTCGACCGACCGTGCCCTCCCTTCCGGCCTCGGCTGGGAGCTCGCAAGCGACTCACTCGAGTTAGGCAATTTGACATTTTCCCTTAAAAAACACAATAAAGCCTGTTCTCTCCTACGCGTGGTCAAGAACGATAACTCACCGTTGATTTGTCAGATGGCGTTGAGTTGGGTTACTCATTCTTTGAGTCTTGGCCGAGATGCCCAACGATCCTCTTGCCCTCACTGCCTCTCACCTTCTTGACCGTTCTTGCTTTCGACCACCATCAGCATTCGGGATCCTACGGCCAACATCCACGCTCCTACTCCCCTCGACCGCTGTGACTTCCTGACTCTCGTCATCCATCCGATTTCTTTCTCGATCAGCTGTTAGCCAGGGGAATGGGTAGCATTCGATCCGCATACAACCTCCATACCGAAAAGTGTAACGGCAAAGATGAAAACCAAATCCGGCCATAACGACTACCTCTCGCACCCATCCTACAGCTTCTACCACCCCGATCCATTCCCTTCCCTTCTTCACCGTCTATTCCCGCCACGGGACCCCGAAACGCTAGAACACACCTCTTCCACACGCATTATCTCCATCCTTCGCCTGTTTTACGTTCTCCTCGTCGTATTGCTTATTCATACTACTGCAGCGCTCATCTCCCACTTTCTGTATTCCAAGTCGCAATGGCAAGCGATGGGGTGGGGAAGGGGAGTATTCCCAACAAGACTTCCTGGGTGGAGTTGGGGTCAAACACTCGGTGTACCGCTGGTGGGGAGTTTCTTCTGGGCATTAGTGTACGGGACGCCGAAGGGGATGGGGTGGAGAGAAGAGAGGACGGTACCGTGGGCGAGTAAGTGGTTATTTGGGAGGGGTCATGAGGGGTGGTCTATCGATGCTGAGAGTGTAATCTTACCGCCGCTCCCCACCGTTGAGACATCTACTGCCTTGAAAACTTCCGTCAAGGGTGAAGAGAATGGACTACGAAAGTGTCACCACTGCAACAGTAATGCGAAAAGTGCAGTGGAGCGTGCAGCTGATGCAACATCACCCCCAACAACCAACACCGCACCACCTGCCAGCCCTTACGACGCGCGCAAGGAAGGAATACCACTGGATATACTTCGAGGCGCGATTCGCGGTATCGACTTGGACGTAACTCCTCAACCTGTGGCGGCATTTTGGCAATGGAAATCGCTCCCGTCCTCCGTATCCCACGGACTCGTCACCTCAGTAAAACCAGGCAATGACGTTGCAGGTATTGGATCCGGTCCTGCTCTCTCCTCCTCTGAACGAATGGTTCTATTCTTCGTCGGTGGAGGATATCACTCTGGCCACGCCCCTCAAGGTCCACTATCCTGGACGGTGTGCAGACAAACCTCGCTGCGAGTGTTAGGGGTGAACTTTCGTAAAGCTACGGCAGACAAGCGTGCTTTCCCTGCCGCACTACAGGATGCGCTTGCAGCTTGGGTGTATGTGACGAAAAGACTGGGGTTTAAAGCTGAGAATGTGATTCTAATGGGCGATAGCGCTGGTGGTGGACTCGCGCTTACTTTACAGCTGTATTTGAGTTCGCTCATGTGGAGCGGAGAGGGGGGGTTGGGAAGAGCCAAGAAACTAGTACTGCACAGTCCCATGACAGATCTAACGCTGGGAACGGATAGTTTTGTGGGGAATGAAGGAGTAGATATCATTTCTCCTTATGTGTGCTCTTTGGCTAGAGATAACTATTTGCGCCATGTAATGCCGGTAGCAGGGCGCAAAAACTCTCATCTTCAGGAAGAAGAGTATACTGGAGAATCTCGCATCGACGCAATCGCCTCACGATACTTGATCGATCCATACGCATCCCTACAACCCCTCGCCAGAGCCGAACTGAAACGATTAGCCAGCGAACTACCAGACACAATACTCGACCTGGGCCCATTCCATCCTCTATTCTCCCTAGGCTTAGACGCACGTAAACACAGATACCTCGCTCAAACTCTACACCTTCTCCTCCCCCCACTTGGGGTAGAAGAGGAAGAGGGGGAAATGGAAATGCTAGTTACTGCAGGAGGAGGGGAGATATTTGTTGATCAAATCCGAACCTTTGTGCGAAACATTCTGGATCTCAGCGGGCAAGAAAGAGGGGAGGGGGAAGTGAAGGTGTGTTTGGTCGAGTGTAAAGATTGGCATCATGTATTTGCGTACATGAACCTGCCTGGTAGTGTTAAGGGGGAGGTTGATGATGTTGGTAAAGCCTTCATGCTAGCCTAACGCGGATGGAATGATACACATTCGCATCATTTCAAGGTGCGTGATTGTTTTGCAGCTTAATGTGTGTGTTGGTTTCGTCACAATGAGCGAAGTTGCCGTCGTACCTGCGATGGAGAAGGCACAAACGTGTTTCGATCGGAGCCATAACTTACGGGCGAATGGGCAACGCAGTCTTTGGAGTGTTCAAACCCATATCTTCTTCCTCTGTCGATGGGTTGATCACGCATTGCTGTAGATCGCACTCAGAAGCTTCGGCAGGGTGCGCCGTCCTCACTTTCTTGGTGCCCATTTGATAGTTCCGTATTACACACGTCGCATCTGCTACTGTATCTAGGGTAACAACCTAAGAGTCAGCGGCAACAAAGTTTCAAGACGAAGCTGAACCTTTCTCCCTAACAACAACGCTAAGAACCACGAAGAATCGAAACAACGCGCAGAAAAAGTCAGCTCTCTCTTCCCCCCTCCCCCTTCCCCACCCCTCTTTCTTTCCCTTTGTGGTAGATGGAACTTACTGAAAATGACTTAAACCAGGAACAGTCCGCAGTAGGGGAGGGTTGCAAAACCAAGCGGTTTCAAACTTCTCCTCTGGCCAAACTTTCTTTATATACTCTGTGACATGTTTTGATGCCCAATTGTGGGCTTTGCTTATTTCCTCCCTCGTTAGTCTTCCCGCTAGACCTTCGGTTTGATATTGTTCTGCTAGTTTTGCTTGTGAGTAAGTGCCAAGGATTTCGGGGATTTGTCTTCCTCGCCAGTTACAGGTGGGATTTGTTGGTGAGGTGGGGATGAATCCGGTAAACCCCCTTATACCGTCGCCTGTAACGCAGTTGTACAACTCTTCTCGGAGAGGTTCAGGAAAAGGTGTATCAGGAGTAGAGAATAGGGAAGGGTGAAGAATGGGTAATTTGCTCCAAACAACCCAATGAGTACTACCTGTTGGGATTCCATACGGCCAATCATTGGGGATTGTTTTTACTAAACTCTCTCCTGCTTCTCCGTCAATATCCGCATCCGAAACAAAATGTCGTAGAACTATACCAGGCTGAGTTGGGTGGGGGACAACTTTCTCTGGCCAGGTTTCTTTTACCGCGCCTACCGGTAACCTTGTTCCGTTGGGGGTCGAAACTCCTGATCCGGACAGAGAGGAAAGCTGGGATAGGATTGAGAGAGGATCTTTTTGCGGTCTGTCTAACATATTCGGTCCTGTAACTCCACCCTTTTCAACAGGCCAGCCCAGACGAACGTGTCGAATATAGTTTTCAATTCCATCAAACTGTGCTCGCACACCGTGGGCAAACGCTCGATAGGCCGTATCGCACGTTGGATCCCGGAAAAGCTGATCGAGATCTCCGTGCGAAAGGACGTCGATTATGTATTGCCAGCTCATAAATCGACTTGGGGAGGAAGGAGAGGCGCTCGGGAAGTATGAGCCTGGAGTGCGAGTTTCGATGTATGAGGGGAGGTGACGTTGAACCATGGGGTCTATGACCGGCTGCTGTTCGTTCGTATCCGACATCGTTTATGCTATTCGGTCGGGGAAGTTGAGACGAATGGGGTATAAGGATCGGGTTTGAAAAACCCGAGAGCCGGGTCTAAGGAGGAGGCGGTAGCTGGAGACAATTAGGACAAGTGTTCGTGCCGGAGGTGGTGGTAGTTGGGGACGAGTGATTGAAGCGTGGGACGGAGAATGCAGCAGCGGGAAAGAAGGGCTTCACTGCTTCGTCCGTGCGCGATTCTTCTCAAAACACGTCAAAGTGGCGTAAAAGCGAGACAGATAAACGCCAGGCTGAACCGTTATTCACTCTCGTGCCGCTCTCTTGATCTTTCATCTCGATCGCTTCTCACTTTGCACACGAGAGACATCACCATCTGGGGCGGCTGGATTGATCGTTAAACAGATGCTTATTGCCTTTTGAGGAGATGGAGCAGGAAAAAAAAAAAAAAAAAAAAAAAAAAAAAAAAAAAAAAAAAACAAAAAAAAAAACATGAAAATCTAGAAGAAACCGAAGAAAGAGCACCAGTGTATGGAAGACGGAAGCAGCCTAAGCGTGAGGTCGTTTGATAAAAGCATTGCTTATAAAATAGAAGCATGAGGTATGACTTGCGGCTCTTCCCATCGGGCAGGACCTACAGTTGAAGGGTATCGTTCTAAGTCAATCAAGTCGTGCGTTAAAGTCGATGATCACAGTTGATGATTGCAATGATGAATCATTCCTAAGTACATGATAAAATCAAGCGTTTATATATGCCTCAATGCCCTCCGTATGCGTGTATGATACTAAGAGCTGATAGGGCAGGAGCAGGAGTGAGCAACTAAAAGGGAGAAGAAAACACCGGCTATCTGATGACCGGCGTCTTGAGGTTCGGCAGTCGGCCCGGGCAATGCACCAAGTCCGAGTGAGCAAAGTTGGTGATTGGATGTGGGCTCGGCAAAGACTGCATGCTCCAAGCGAACGCATGCTTCTACGCCGAGGTATCACATGCTTCAACTCCTACAAAGTTGTATGTAAAGACGCAAGCAAAAAGAGAAGCTTGAGGCCATTTATGCCTGCTCCTTGATGATCTGAGCAGCGTATTCAGCAACGCCGTAAATGGTCGCCTGAATGTGAGCAGCAATGTGCAAAGGCATGATACTAGCATCGACAACCCTCAAGTTGGTCGTACCGTAGACCTTTAAGCTTGCGTCCACAACACCACCCTGGTGCCTTGGCAGCATCGATGCGGTACCAATAGGGTGATATTCAGTGACGGAGGTGGTCTTGGTGTAAGTCTCGAGGTCGACGTTTCCAGGCCAGTATTCACCGACAACCATGTCGCTATAAGCCTTAGAGAGACCGACGCGACGGGTGTAGTTGGTACCAGCGGTGGCGATTTCAGTGTCGAAAGGAACGGAGAAGTACTTGGGGTCGATGATGGGGTACTTTGTGGGATCGGACGACTGGATGTGGATGGAGCCGCGCGAGAACAAGTGCTGGTTGGCAGCGAGGATGGTGAAGTAGGTCTCGTCGGGCTTGGGAGTACCAGTACTGGCAAAATAACCGTCAATACCGATGAGTTCCATCTGACCGACCTTGTTAGGGTAGTTGTTGAGGAAGTCGAGCTGCTTCTCCAAGGTCTTCTTGTAAGGAGCACGACTTGCAGAGACATACTTGGTGACCTCGGCGATCATGGCCTTGGCACGCCGATCACCGACGACACGGGCGAGCGAGACGTAAGAGATGGAAGGAACAGTCTCGGTAAGGATGGAAGCCTGGTTGGCCTTGTAAGCGGCAGCCTGTTGAGCAGCGAAAGTGGCGTTGGATCGAAGCGAGTCAAGAGTCTTGAAAGTCGGCTTGAGGTTGTATACGGTAGCAGAGTAGGTGTGGTCCTGGAGGTTCTCGCCGACGTTGGCGTTCTCGTAGAGAAGCTTGACACCAGCTTTGGCCAAAACATGCTTGGAGCCGATACCGGAAAGTTCGAGGAGCTGAGGAGTGTTGACGGTACCACCGGAAAGGATGACTTCCTTGGCCGCGTTAACAGTGTAAGTCTGGCCGTTGCTGGTGAAAGTAACACCGGTGGCCGAGAGATGGTCGCGGCTGGTGTCAAAGTTGACCTTGGAGACAAGAGCGTTGGTGAGGACGTAGAGGTTGTGGCGTGCCTGGTTGGGGAAGAGGTAGGCAGGGGCAGAGTAGGAACGAGTGTAGTTGGTAGGGTTGATATCGGAAGGCTGCTGCGAGACACCGACGTTCTCACCAGCAAGAGTCTGGTCGTTCTTGGGGATGCCGAGGCTGCGAAGAGCGGGGATCCATCGCTGAACCTGGTTGGAAATGTAATTGGGGAAAGCAACCTGGATGGGACCCGAGTTACCGTAGTCCGAGGGGACGGGCTTGACACCAAGCAAGTCGGCGTTCTGCTGGGAAGGGGCATGGAAGCGCTCCGACTTTTTCATAGCAGAGTAGAGGTTGTTCCAGTTCCATCCAGGGTTACCGAGCTGCTCCCAAGCGTCAATCTCGTATCTGGAGGATCGGTCCCAAACGAGGAAGTTCAAGGCGGAGGAACCACCGAGAAGCTTACCACGCGGCCAAGGGCTAGCGGGGACACCGTTGGCAGTGTTGGCAACGGTAGTGTAGTTCCAGTCGTAGACGGTACCGAGATCAGCACCGAACTGTCCTGGAGTGTCGATGATGCCAACGCCAAAACCGTTTCCACCAGCCTCGAGGACACCGACCTTGTACTTGCCACCTTCGGAAAGACGGGCAGCAAGAGCAAGACCGGCAGTACCGGCACCGACGACGATGTAGTCGAACTTTTTCTTGGAGAAGTGGGCAGCGTCGTTGGTGATAGAACGAGCGGCGAGGTGGGAGTTTTCAGCCATGCGGGCGGCCATCTCGGATCGAGGGCTGACCTTGGTCCATGCGACCGGAGCGGCAGCAACGGCAGTAGCGCCAGCCAAAGTAGCGGCGGCGACGAGAATGGTTGACTTCATCTGCGGAAGACTATGTGGTGGTGGTAGTAGTAGTGACAGGTGGGGGGGGGAGGCGAGATGGGGGGGAAGGCGAGATGATGGAGTCTAAAAATCTACCCAGAGAAACCGAACGAGAAAGGAAAGGAAAGGAAAGAAAAGGAACAGGGAGGATGATCAAGGGGAAAGGGATAGGTTGATGGTGAAGAGGATAGAAGGGAGGGTGAAGGGGATAGAAGGGAGGGTGAAGGGGATAGAAGGGAGGGTGAAGGGGATCTGGATTGAGGTGGAAGCAAGACGGAATAGGATTATGAACGAAGGAGTTGAGGGTGAAGCGAGATGAACACAGAGAGGTGGCTGGGAGGGAATTGAAGGCGGAAGAGGAGGGAAGAGCGACAAAGAAGGCAGACGGGATTGTTCATCTGTTGATATGGCTGTTTTGCGACTCGTCTGTGGTACAAAGTGTCCGAGCAGGCGACACAGGAAGAGAGGCTGTTGGGGAGAAGAAGAAGAGGGCGACAGAGAGAGCAAGGAGACGGAGAAGATACAGTAAAGTGGCGGAAGCATGACAGCCGAGTAGCGGCGGAACAGAGTGACAGTTTCGACAGTTTCGACAGTCTCGACAGTCTCGACGCTCACACCTCGTCCGGCGTATTGGGAAGAGAGAGTGGCGAATAAGGAGATCCAACTGCGATCCGAAAGCCCACATTTGGCATGTGGGCTAAATCAAACAAGCCACACAATAGAATTTATAGCAATGCAACAGCAATGCAACAACAATGCAACAACAATGCAACAACAATGTATCTAGCAATGCATCTAGCAGTGCATTAAAGAGTGGCGCCCAGTCCAAAGAAGCAACTCGATGTGAGAACAAAAAGAGATATATAGATTTTATTCTGCAACCTCCCACCAAGACCTTCTACAGTACAGCATCAATGAGGAGCTACTGCATTCTTGCTTTTGCGAAATGCTCACAGAGCATTGCCCAGTCTTGGAAGCAAACCGGCTTGCTCATATCTCCCCGGACGGACCTTGGTTCTTTCCGTCGCCCTTAGCCTCTCACGACATGTATATAGCTCCGCACTTGGTCCGGAATGAAGGCCGCTACATCCGTGGCTGTGGGTGCAAAAGTCACATTCGAAAGCCGTCTCTTTGCCGCAAGGACCCCTGTTGGTTGAGCGACTGGGAGGGTGGTGGGGGGTAGTACGACGAACGGAGCAAGATGAGCCGACTTGGCCGCCTCTGCGAATTTACGAACGAATCGCAGGCGGCAAAAAGCAACAGCAAAGCGAGAGCTCGGCTCCGAGTTAGAATCCTTCCAAGCCGACGGCAAGAGATTGAAATCTTGCATCCTAAGCCTCGAGCCATTGTGCAGAATCGATTTCCTGTCAACACTTTCCCTCCGCTTGCTGGCCTCCTGGTTGCAGCCCAGCGAAAGATCAGAGCGTCGACACCCATCTCGGTTGAGAGTCAAGAGCATGTTTTCATGTTGCAACCCTTCTTCCTCTCGCTTCTGTCTCCGCTGGCAAGATTTAAGACCTACAGAGGATCAGATCGGGCATCTTACTCTACATCTCTATTCTAGGCCAGCCAAACAATTTTCATGTGCTTTCGATTGCCGTTTCCATTGAGCCCTGAGCCGCCGCCTCTGGGTCACTGTTGCCGAAGGAAGCGATCCAATATGTTGATACATGTTGACATAAACGTAATCGAGGATACGTCCAGAGATCGGGTACAACACAGTCCCGCTCGTTGTCAAGCTAGATCATCAAGTAGAACTACTCCCACCTTTGGCAGGTACCAGGCAAATGTATATATATATATATATATATCAAGCCGAGAGCACCACGTTCTTGAGTCAATCGAGTATATATCTTTCTGCCCTACAACAGTAGTGACATCGTACTCAGACTCTTCCCGATTGTCAGTTATCGGGACAAAACATCTTCACATTTTAACAACTGTATGTCACTTGAACGCCTGTTACATCCTCTCACTTTCCAAACGTCTCGCTCGATACAAAATGGGAGCGTTGCAGCATCGTCAATACAAGACATGTGGGATCAGCTGCAGAAATGCTCATGCTGTTACATCGGCATCGGCTTACAAATTGGTGGCAACTACTCTTCCATGTGTTACACCGCCTCTTCGCACACAAGTGCGTACAAAATCGAAATGGACGTTTGCCTGTTTAAGCGTGTTTTTGATGCGGAGCTCCCCTATCACAATACAATTTCGAAGCGTGGCAGCTGTCACACTTTATCTTTCTGAATACACTTCAGCACAGTTTGTAGTCTTCAGGGGCAAGCGAAAGTAACACTTTTTTTTTCTTTTTCTTTTTTCCCTTTTCTTTTTTCTTTTTTCCCTTTTCTTTTTTCTTTTTTCCCTTTTCTTTTTTCTTTTTTCCCTTTTCTTTTTTCTTTTTTCCCTTTTCTTTTTTCTTTTTTTCTTTTTCTTTTTCTTTTTCTTTTTCTTTTTCTTTTTCTTTTTCTTTTTCTTTTTCTTTTTCTTTTTCTTTTTCTTATTGGACCCTGACGAGGAAAAGTAGAACTTAACTCAGGGGCACCAATAACGATTCACTCTCCGCATCGTCATACTCCCAACACAACTTCTTCCATTCTCTCGCTTCCCCGTTTTGTTGCTGGATGCTGACCAGAACCTCCTAAAGTCGCGGCAGGGGTATCGATGTTGAGATAAGCGGTCAGTAGAGAGACACAAAAAGCAGAGCAAGATCGAATTGAGGCGATAAGAAGAATGCAGACTGCGTGTCAAACAAGGGCCCCTGTTGTACGTCTATCCTCGACTTGAAATGAGGCTTGAGCTCGTACAGAGCGATCAGAGGGATCCATAATGGCTGTAAGAGGAGGAGAAGCAGGAGCCAAATCAATGCTCCACTATTGCTGCTGTTCCCATGTTGAAACCCTCATCGACTCCTATTCTCCGCTGCCTTTGCTCCATTTTAGCCTCCGCGATCCTTGTCTCCTCCCTACCCTTTCAGAACACTGTAGTAGCTGGCATTTCCCTTGCTTAGCGCTTAGAGTCGCAAAGCCAGCTTCTTGGTGCTCAAGTGACGACAAAGAAGAGCTCCTGCGAAAGCTACAGCGATTCTCGCCTCCACACCGCCACAGCTCGGACTGAGTCGACTTTGTCTCAGATACTTTTCTTGCTCTTGCTTCTTGGCATCATCGACACCACCACTCCTTCGTCAATACGCTCGGCCTCCATCATCACACGCCACTTCACCATCACAATGTCGCATACGACAGCACTCTAGCCCTTCCTCCTTGCCGTCACCGCTGCCATCCGCCGGTGCTCACCACCATAACCGCTAGAGCCTCTTTCAGATACCCATTACACACCCTCTAGACCTCTCAATACCACTACTGACGCTTCTGCTGCCATTCTGGCAAGCAGTCGCCCCGCTCTACCCCACCGCCTACCATGGTCAACTTCACATGCCCCCTCATCCCAGACAAGCCCTCCGATCCGAAACCCTTCTTCGAAAACGGCAATATCGATTTCAAAGCTCACGACGTCGGCTGGCTCATCTGCGGTATCATGACTCTTATCGCCACCATATCCTCTATGTGGCTCATATGGAAGCATCTCACCTACTACACCTGTCCTCAACAACAGCGTCATATCGTCCGCCTACTCATCATGGTTCCCATCTACGCCATCATCTCGTTCATGTCCTACCTCTTCTACCATGAAGCGCTCTACTACCAAACCATTCGCGACTGCTACGAAGCCGTCCTCGTCACTTCATTCTTCTACCTCATCCTCGCCTACACTGGTGACACGCCTGCCGAACAGCATGCAGTGTTCCGCAACGTCGAAATCAAGGATCGCTTCTGGGTCTGGCCGCTGGCTTCGTGGAAGTACAAGCCGGAAGGGCTACACTTTTTGTGGCTCATGAAGATCTGCGTTTTGCAGTACGCCATCTTCCGACCGCTCTGCACTTTTCTTGCTGTCGGCACAGAGTATTTTGGATATTACTGTTTGCATAGCTGGATGCCCTGGTTTACACACGTCTGGTGTGCGCTCATCATCAGCATCTCCGTCACTGTGGCTGTGTACTGTCTCATTCAGTTGTACATCCCCGTTCGCAAGCTCGTTGATCCTTACAAACCCATCCTCAAGTTCATCGCCATCAAGACAATCGTCTTTCTCACCTTCTGGCAAGACACTCTCCTCTCCTTCCTTGTCAGCTTCAACGTCATCAAACAAACCGAGTACTTCACCGGCGAACAGATTCAAGCTGGAATCAACGCTCTCTTGCAATGCTTTTGGATGATGCTTTTCGGCTTTATCCACATCAAGGCATTTAGCTATCTTCCATACCGACCCGAGGATCGCTCACGAACGACCTTGCGTGGTAAAGCAATGCTCGACTCGCTAGATTTCAGAGATTGGTTCTTTGAGATGAAAGAAAGCACGCGATACATGGCTGCTCGTAGCAAAGGTCGGAATTACACTCTTGCCGAAGACCTACGTGCTAAGCGTCACCAACATCTACTCAACGCCCTGGGCAAGGAGAGAAGCGCAAATCTGGATGCCCAAGTGGATATGGAGAAAGCCAACATGCCTACCTTTTGGAAGAATCCCGAAGATGCGCAGTTCTGGACGCCAGCTGACCAGTCTGATTCCCCATACGCGAGTAGCCAGGATGCAAAGTCTTCCTCACGCCCGAGCAACACGAGGAACGATGCTTATACCTCTCTTCCCAACCCACTAGGCCGCGGTAGATCTGCGAGACAAGCAAGCAAGACGTACGCCGACAAATCAGGAACAACAGCTTCACGCGACTCGCACGCTGCACGAGCAGCAGAGCTGCAAAGTCTCGTTGCTGAACTCGACCTACAGCATGTCGATCAGTCTATCGTTGGTGCTCAAGACCACGACTATGGATACCAGGATGAAAAGTACGAGCGAGCAGGCTTGATGCCCAGTGAACCAAGTTCGAGTAGATTCAACGGAAAGAAGGAGGTCGAGACGACAGAAGAGGAGCTGCATCCGGAACTGACGCAGTACCACACACCGACGGTCCAGCTTGCTAATGTTCCTTCGCTCAGTTACGACCACGATTTAGCTTCGAGTTCAGGCTTGGGAGGAGGCAAGAGGAGGGGCAAGGATCTCAGTGCGGTAGCCGAGGAGGAGGATGAAGCAGCGGCGGCGGGGCAGGGTCGTGTAGCTCCTGGTGTGGGTGCGTTTGGTATTGCTGCTTGGCTTGGATGGAATAGTCAACCTCAGCAACAACCTACTCATGCGGCAGCGGAAAGAGAATATTTCCTCCACCCCGGCGGCTCCTACGGCGCCAGAGTTGCAGCACATACCCCTGACGCTGAGGGCACAGGCTGGTGGCGAAACTACTGGGACCGAGTCTCCAACCCTGGCAGTCGCGAACCATCCATCGTCGGAATCGAAGAGGACGAAAAGCAACCTCTCACTACCGAGCGTCCAGCAGTCATGCGTCAAGTCACTGCCGCATCTTGGAGTATCGAACACCAACCCCACAACCACCACCACCACCAACAACGACCGCTTCCGCTTCCACAACCACCAGCACTCAAGATCAACACCCACTCTGCTGAGCGAAAAGGCGGCGAAGCAAGTGTCGATAGCACCACTTCCCCATCCTCCTCCTCCTCCCTCATTAGTCCGCATGTCAATTCTCCGCTCTCGAGACTGATCCAGACTTCTCGACACTCGTTCAGTTCGCCGAACCGGGATGAGATCAGGGAGCAGTCGCTTGCGGCAAATTCCCCTGCAAAACCTGCTGTTCCAGTTTCCAAACCAAGATCGCCGAAAGTGATTGTCGCACCTATCGCAACAAGACCGATGCTGGCAGCGAGGAACGCATCCATCGCTCCTTCATCGAACCAAGCTAGCCTCAGTCGTGTCGCCTCCACCACCACCAATACCAACACCGCTCGTAGGTCCGTTCCCGCTACCGCATCGAACAACGATTCCGCCGCTAGACAGATGGCAAACGAAATACTTAGTTCGGTGGATAACGAAAGTGGGAAAAAGCATCCAATTAAGTACGCTGATGCCCTCTTACCACCGCATGAGGCTCTCGAGGAGGAACTGTTGGAGGAAGGGAAGGTGGGATGGAAAAAGCTCGCCCCTGCTGTAGGTCCGAAGGGGAAGTTGGTGAACTTGGTATTGCCGAATCCGTTATCGCCTGCTAGGTTTCCTTATGGTCAGGAAGGGCCTGCTCCTCCTTCTAATTCTGCCCCAGAAAAGGAAGTTGCCGCTCCTGTGAGCAGGAGAGAGCCAAGCAATGGTGGAGGTACGCTGAAATGGGCCAACCAGCAACCGAGACCACTAAAACCCAAAGAAGAGCCTCTTTCCCTCCCCGATGTGAAAGCAAAGTTGCCCGAAGGAAAAGGTTTGATCACGGTCGGAGGAATGTCATTGGCCCAGCATAAAGCGCAGGCTCAGATGGAAGCTCATCAACGCTCATCCTCCTCCTCCGCCAACCCTACTTCTACTACACCAAATGCTTCAACCCCACCCAAATCGATCCTCACCTCTAAACCAGTGGGTGAAGGGAAATTGTTGCTGCCGGCTCCATCGAAACTTGCCACCACCGAAGCCGAAGATCCCTATCGTGCTACCTCAACCCACATCCGTCCCAGAACCAATCCCAAACCCAGAGCACCAGAAAGGGTGAGAGAGGGGGGAAGCGTAACAACTTCAGCCGAGACCAAGACTTCAATGACGACGGCTTTCCAAGTTGGGAGTATAGTCCCCACATCAGTCGTGCCGTTTGTTGCGCTAGGTAGTGCGTCGGGCGGTGGGTTGGGCGGCTACTATGATTCGATTCGATCCCAACATGGGCAGAGGGGGATAAGTGGAGCGGCTGGTGGACGAGCAAGTTTTATTCAAGCATCGGAGAGGCATTGTTATGTGCCAAGTTTGAGTGGGGTACGACCTGCGATGTTGCCTCCTCATCCAGCTCATCAACCACAACAGCAGTATCCATATGCACCTGGGCCGCAACAGCGGGGTCAAGGGAATGAATACTTGCCTCCGCATTTACGTCAGCCTCAGCAACAGCAGCAGTACGGACCACCATCAGTCAACGGTTCTCGGTTCCAACCTCACCCTCAACCACAGCCTTACCCCTCGCAACAGCAACTTCGATACTCCCACCCTCATCCACAACAGCCTCAACAACAGAGGGATTATGATGGACATGATTCCTCACCACGCCAATCCCATCGAGGACAAGGGCAGGGGCAAGGAAGGAGCCAGTTTCAGTATGAGTATTATCGAGACTGAAACCTCTCCTGCACGTCAATTTGTGATGTCTTTTGTTTTGTTTTGTTTTTGTTTTTCTTATTTTTTTTTTTATGATTTCATACGACGTTTCTTTCTGAAATGATACCTTTTTTAATGATACTAGCTCTAAGTTAGGTGCTGTTGAGAGTGATCAGAGCTTGTGTGTAGTGAAGACGAAGTGATGCGGTGCGGTTTCATGGCAGAGGATCGTTAAGAGCGTGAATGTGGGCAGGGGCGAATTTTGTGACCTCCTTTTTTATCGTTATTTTCAAGGGCGCTTTTTTTCCGGCACCCAATTCTTCTCAGTTCACACAGACATGGTGTTGTCAACGGTTACACTTCGATTTGCAATTCTACGCTCTGTTGTGCTGGTGCTATGCTGAATGTTTACGGATCGCTATCGATTCTCCCCCTACAACTACCACAAGTAAACCCGTTCCTTCCATCCCCACCGTTGCCTTTCGGAACCCTCCTAAACCCGGCAGTCAAACTCTTCATTTCATCTCTCCTAAGCAAATCATCAAATATCCTCATCCGTTTGTGCTCTTTGCCCAAAATGACCATACTTCTATGCATAGCCCACATTTTACCATTTTCGGAGTACTCGAAAGGATTGTCTGAATTACGTTCTATATCATCATATACTCGGTTGATGAGAGATTCGGTATCGGCAAAGGTGGAGTGGTATCCGTCATCTTCGTATGGATCGTAGTCTTCGAATGAATCGTAGTTGGGGTGTTCGTCTGCGTATTTGTAACTGTCGCTGGAGTTCGAGCTGATGTCTGAGGGAGTGGTGGAGGGGGTGGATGCGGAGGATATGCCAGAGGGGACAAGGTGGGGGCGAAGATGCGAGAGAGAGTATACGTCAATGTGTCGGTCTTGTTGGAAGTCGAGCCGGTCGGAGGAGGATGTGTAGAGAGGATCGTTTCGCATTGCTGTGAGGAAGTTATCCACCGTTTCATCTTCGCCCCCATCTCCTTCCCCTGCTGACTGCGATTGCGGTTGTGGATGCGATTGCTGAGGAGCATTACTCGTTGAGGCAACGGCTTCGTCCCCAGAGACATGGTCTTCATCATGAGACACAAGCTCGCCACGACGACGATGACGATGACGTTGACGCTGTTTTTCTCTTGTCGCCACATCTTCTGCTCGCATTCTTTGAATCGTTTCGCGCATCTGGTTCATCTCGCGCTCTTCACTCTCCCGAGATCGGCTTGGCGCAGAAGGACCATAGAGGGCTTCTTCGTTCGAGCTTGTACGGCGATATAGGTATTTGGATCCGGACGAGCTTGCTTCGCTGCTACTCAAGCTGACTGCACCTCCGGCAGCGTCATTCTGTGTTGAAGCCTGAATGTCGGGCTGTGCAGCTTCCATTGTTCGATTGTTGCCTTCGATCGAGACATTTTGTTGCGTGGCATTGTCGTTCTCTGCTGTCGTCTGGATCTCGTTCTCTGCAGCATCTACAGCGTCGTCCTGGTCGGTTTCGGGCGCGGCGTCAGTATCCGAGGTCTGAACTGGCTGTTGAGTACCCACGGGGAGGCGTGCGGTCAAAGCCTCCTGGAACAGTCCAAGTTCTTCATCTCGCATTTCGGAATCGGAGATGTCATTGGTGTTGACCGAGTCGCGTTCATCTGAGCTATCCGTAGCATGCCCGAGATCAACAAAGGGGGTGTCGTCATCGGAGTCGAAATCGGCTGCGGCAACGACTGCGATTGCGGCGAGCTGATTCTTGGCAGCAGACTCCATGATAGCGTCGAGTTGACCTTCGGCGGCTTGTTCTGCTGCTTCGCCTTGGAGCTGGGGTGTTGCATCATCCTGCATCGAGCCGTCAGATTCACTTTGCGAATCATCGGAATCTGCATCATCAGAGTCGCTGTCATCGTCTTCATCCTCCTCAGTGCTTCCATCATCATCAGCGTCGGAGTCATCATCACTACCAGCCAGTTGACGAGCATACGAACGAGCACGAGCCCTCGCACCAAAGCCAATTACCAAAGGAATACGATCCATACCACCAGCGACCCCGAATGCATCATCATCTTCATCTTCATCATAGTCCTCCTCGGAATCCTCGTCAATGAGAGCGGCATTAGTAGGAGGCAAAAGCATGCGTGGTCGAGTCCCACCCTTTTCGCGCTCATTCCGATCCCATCTCGGAGGACGCAGCTCGACCGCACTGAGCAAGGAAGCCGAATGGATACCTATATCGGAGGTAATGCCAGCAGTCAGGATCAGCGGCAAAGTAGGGTGGATGAGCGCTGTGTTGATAATGCTTCGACCGCCGCAAAGCACGTGGGCGAACTGTTTGAGTCTGGCTGGGCGTACGATGCTTGGAGCACGCAAAATGGAGCCGGCACAGTAGGCCACTTCAGAGTCGTGATCCACCAGCTCCTCTGGTACCAAATCCAGATCGCTGTCGCCATCGTCGTCATTATTGTCGCCGCCGTTGCCACGAAGCTCTGCGTTCTGGGTCGGCCCCGAAGCCTCGGATGCAGCCAACTTGGGTGTCTTGTCTTGCGCCTGTGGATGCAATTGCGCTGTATCATGAAGCCACTTCTCCCGGTTGACGTACTCGCGTTGAAGCACAAGCTCATCTCTGGAAGGGATAGCGAAAACATAAGCACGGAAGTCATCGCTACCGATCGCATAGTGCAGCTTCCCTGTTTGGTTTTCAAGCCCAAAAGAGCCATGCTTGATAGTGCAGCAAGACGATAGCTTCTTTGGTGCCGAGGGGGTATCTTCGGGAATGCCAAGCCACTCGCAGTAGCCGTCATCGATAGGATCAGGTACGACAGTAGACTCGAGTGTGGCGAGTGGGTCAGGGTCGTTGACGGCATAGATGGTAGGATGGTAGCGCGAAATGCTCGAAGCCAGGAAGCGACCCTGTGGGTCGAAACAAACACTGTTGGTCTCTGCAGCAGCAGCGATGAGACCTCGAGTAGAAGAGTTCTGCATCAAAGCAGTGTGATACCTGACGACGGCATCTTTGTTCGTAAGAGGTCGTTGCTCGTCTGAGCCGAAGCACTGACGAACGTCGTAGAGGCGAGTACTGCCAGTGATGCGGCCGCAAGTGGCTGCTGCAAAAGTGTTGCCATCAGAGGTGTTGGGATTCCACTGGACAGAGGAAAAGCCAGCAACGGCATCGGAGCGTGCTGCAGCAACGGCCTCGTGGGAAATACGAATGTCGATCAACTTCAAGTTGCCACTATCGTCGCAGCTGAGCAACAGGTTGGGATTGGTAGGATGAGCTGAGATCTCGGGAACCGAATCGTCGTGTCCACCTATGGAACTGGGATTGAGGGGCGACCTTGGCTCAGGTTTCATCGGGACGGTGCCACGAATGGAAAGGCTGGAATGCTCGACATCGTAGTAGAGAATCTGACTGTCGTTGCCTGTGGAGAAGAGATACTTGTTCTGTGCAGCCCATGATAGCGAAAAGATGTTGGACTGGTGGCCATGAAGGATAACGAGGGGCACTTGCTCCTGCTCGTCGGAGAGATCGACAAACATGTCTCGAATGTGAATCTGGCAGTCATCACCTCCACTGGCGAGGTATCTGCCTTGGTCGCGAGAGAAGGCAAGCGCATTGACACAGGAGAGGTGGCCATCGAAGGAGTTGCGGGATAGAAATTGCGACTTGTTGATGTGGAATTGGAGGGCGGAATGTCGATTGCCGAGAGCCTGTGCTAGAGTATGAGTATTGCCGTAAAAGGGCAAACGAGGTGCAGAGATAGCTTCGCAGGGAAGACCTGAACGGATGAAGAAAGGAGCGTCGAGATGTGGTACGACATGCGAGTGTGCGTTATCGGATACATTGTCGGGATCTATTGTATCGCCGTAGAGGTCGGCGACTGCAACGCCATGTCGCCAGACCTGGACGATATCTTCTCTCTTGTTATCTGAGATACTTGCTGCAGCGTTCTCAGCGGTCGTGCTCTTGGCTCGAGAAGACTTGATGCTGCCACTCTGTGCAGCTGATGCTTGGGCATCGCCAGAGTATGGCCGCTTGCGGGTTGTTACCATTTTCTCGACAATTGGCGGTAATTCGTGAGCGGAAGGCGAAGATGAGCTCCGAGCTTCGTGCTCAGCGTGGGACAGTCGTCATCGCCTTGTCGCGAGAGTATGTGCGATCAGTGTGATACGCAGCTCTGTCCTCGCTTCGCTGCAGCCACAAATGGAGATGATGTGAGTAGGTGAATGCGAAAGATGACAGTTGGTCTGTGAGCGAAAAACGTGAGCACCAGGTCGACAAAGTCCGAGTTCCGAGTTCCGAAGCAGTTGAAGATGCGTTGGCATTCCAACGGGATTCACGGGGTCTGCGGAGCACAAGCGAGACATCGATAAAGCAGAGCTGCATATAGACAGCATGCATGTGGGATGTATAAGCATTACCATAGCAACACTCAGGAGTAGTACAGGAGGTGACAACTCAGGGGTGATATGAGGAGTGGCTCATCACAGTCCAGCATGTATTGGAGGCAATGATCAAGTATATATATGCTCACATACATAACATCCATTGATAGAAATGATAAGCATTCAAGAAGTCATATGCCTGTGATCAAGAGCTTGTTAGTAGCTCAAGACAGCATACTGGACTTTGTGATCTTCAATTGATTAAGAGTCTGAAGCTCTATCAACCAAGCCAAGGAACCCATCAACAACTATGGTAGAAGAAACTGAAACTCAAGCTGTTGCAAGCAGGGCCAAAGGAGGTGGAAAGGGTAAGGCCATACAACCATGAGTTGTCAATAATGAGGCCACCAACAAGACAGAGACTGAGGTGATTGATGATGATGCCAATGAAGAAACCAATTCTGACTCCAACCTCAACAGTGGTGGCAAGCAATACAACTTCTGCACCTTGGCAAAACTACATGAGCCAGTGCCCAAACTTACATCACACAAATACTACAGTTGGAATGCCCATATCAAGTCTTTCCTCCAATGTGTCCCTCATGCTATGAAACACCTCAAGGGAGTGTATGACAAGAAGCACCCCAAGTGGAACCACACATTTGATGACACCTTGATGAATGCATTGTGCAGCACCATTGACACTACTGGGGAATACAATGTCAATTACTTGATCCTTGACATCATCAGGGAGCACCATACATTCCATCAGGTCTGGAAGAAGATTGAGAATGGACTCACCAACAAAGCCACCACCACCTCTCACCAAAATGCACTCATCGCTCATTTAGGTGAGCTTAGGATGTTCAACTCTGATGCCTGAAAGCTCATCCAGGAAATCAGGCCCATCCAGACAGAGAGCAGCCTGCTGGGAAAACCATTTGCCAATGACACCCTGTTCTCTAACTTACAGAAGTGCACTATTTGCCACCAGATGTACAAAGAGACCATTGCCACCATTAGCCAGCTCACCTTCAGCACCCTTGCTACTGCCTTGACCACTCAGCAGTTGGCAATCAAGAGTAACCCCATGTCATGGGCCTGAATGCTCAAGAAGCAGGAGGGTCACTGGTTCATATGGAAGGAGCACAAGTATTGAAGATCTAGTCGATACCATTAGAGAGCATGGTCATAGTGCAGTCTCCATGGAGACCATGGACTCCTACAGACTCACATGCAAAGGAGGACCAAGCCATATGCGAGGAGGGCCAGGCACAGCCACAAGGAGGACCAAGCTGAAGGAGCAGGCACAGCCACGAAGAGGACCAAGTTCAAGGAGCATGCAGATGGTTACCACTCAGGGGCTCGAGAGACAAGAGTCAAAGGAACTGTCACCAGTCAAAGGACAAGGAGCAGTGTATAGGACACTGGCAAGCAGGTCCTGAGGAGAAGGAGCAGTGTATAGGGAACCAGCAAGCAGGTCCTGAGGAGGAGGAGCAGTGTTGAAGGAGTCGACACCACTCAGGAGGCACAAGGGTGCCAAGCAAGCAGGATAGCAAGGAGGAGGAGCAGTGTCAAAGGAGTCGACACAGCTCAAGAGGCACAGGAGTGCCAAGCAGGAGAGGCCCCTGAACAGTACTCGATGAAGAAGGTACTCTCTGGAGAGAGAGCAGGAGCAGCATCGCTGGCGATGCCATGAAGAGGTATATAACCATGCTTTCTCATCATCAAAGGTCGAGTGGATCCTCATCCACTCTACACAACCATCATAACTAGTTATCACTTCAGCATAAGTATATATTAGTTGCAGTCAGCATAGCAGCAATCTATCAAGGTTGCTCCTCATCATAGTGTGTGTGTTGTATCACCACTACCTGACATCTGAAGGCAGTTCATAGCAAACCAGCAGTCCGGATATAGATAGAACCGAAGGCAGTAGTCCACTGCGGTCCAGGGATCACTTCAAGCATCAAGTCAACACACTGGACACTTGTGTTGACACCACCAACCTTATCACCAACACCATCAACCTCATTACCATCACTCACCAACCTTATCACTGACACCATCAACCTCATCATCATCAACACTCACACCAGACCTTGGTGTCATCATAACCTACATATTGATATTGATCATGCCAAGCTACCCCTGAACAGAGTGTCCACAGAGGTCAGCCAAAACCTACGATAGTATATACAATGAATGCCACCTGCTGTCATTGTGCAACTTGATAGTCACCAAACAACTAGCTCGTCGAGACCGATACTGAGACAATAGCTGTTGCACAGTTTGATAGCCACCAAGTATCTCGACAGACCAACCTGGGTTTCAGGCGCGAGACCCCTGACAAGTGGCAAGTGGCTTAGGTTAATTAGTAGGAACCTCCCCTGTGGCCTTGGCATCATACTCTGTATCCCTGGGTAATCCTTCATAGGGTGGGTTATACCTGGGCCCAGTAGGGGATGCATACTTCTCATGGTTAGAGTAAGGTTGCTCATCCTGGTCTAGGAAGGACACAGTCCTTTGTAGTCTTGGTGCTGGGCTGAGTGTGCATGGCTCCTTGGCCATAGATTCTTCAGTCTGGCTGTTGTTCCCTAGTAGGGTTTCCAACAATTCCAGTCTCTGTAGATAGCAATTGGTGGCTGCCCAATTCAATGTTTGAAGCCTCTCTTTCCTTTGCCCTTTCCATCATCCTCTGCAATTCTTCAAGCCTATCCTTTGTGTTGGGCTCCATCATAGTGTTGTGGGGCACAGCTTGAACAATCCACTCTAATGTAAGTGGTTGTGTGCCTGAAACCAGATTGGGTGCTTCCAGTTGATTTTGGTGAGATCAACTGGGTAAGATCTATTTGGTATTTTTTGGTTGAAAGTAACCAGATGGTTGAGTTCTGGTAGGTTTTGGCTGACCAACTTAAACACTCCCTTCAGAGGCTATGTGGCACATCTGTAACACATTGGTTGGAGAATGGTATAAGATACCACTCTCCTAATACAGCACAAGTGTTTGTGGTGCTGCTGCTTGATGCTCTTGTCATTGTCTGGACCACAATAAGATTATTGCCTACAGATGACAAGAGGTACTAGACTGCAGGTGTTTAGACACTGCCTACAGTAACTGACTGGACTGCAAATGTTGAGCAACACTGCCTACAGTGATGGACTTCCAATGGTGATACAACACACACAATCAAGAGGTCATTGCAAAGCCCTGCTATTGCAATGAAGCTAATTGTAACTAAGAGTAAGTAGATGTAAAGTAGAGTGGATGAGGATCCACTCGTATGCTATGGTGAAGTAGTAGTATTTATGTGCTTTGAAGAGGGTCGCTGGCGACACCGCTCCTGCACCTCTTGAGGAGTGCCCTGTCCTCCTCATCCTCTTGACTCCTCTTTTCCTTGAGCTGTGAGTTGATCTTCTCGACACTGCCCTTCCTTCTTATGGTTCCTATGCCGGTCTCCTTGGTCCAGGTCCCTTTCTCCTCAATCAGTGACCATCCTCCTGATCCCTAGCTGGTGCCCCCCTGACCGTGTGACTATCCTTATTGTCCCGCTCCCTAGAGGTTATTGTAAGCAGTCGCGCACCTGAAACCAGGTTGGGTGTTTCCAATTGGTGTTGGTGGGATCAATTGAGTAAGATCTACTTGGTATGTTTCGACTAAACATAACCAGATGGCTTTGTACTGGTAGGTCTTGGCTGACCGCCTTGAACACTCCTTTCAGAGGTTGTGCAGCATGTCCATTATTCTCTGGAGGGAGAGTAATACACTCTCCTTTACAGTACGAGTGTTTGTAGTACTTGTCATGGGCCTGGATGCGCAAGAAGTAAGAAGATCTGTCAACTCATATGAAGGGAGCACAGGAATCACAGAATCAGGCAGATCGTGGGATTTGCAGCAGAGTTCATTGAGATCTGTGGTAGAAACAGTTCTATGACAGATCCCAGCAAGATCTGCATGAACAAGGATAGTATTACGAATTCTGCCAAGATCAGTAGTAGAAGAGATCATGTGGCAGATTCTGCAGAGATCAATGGTAAGTGTCAGGGGTCTCGCGCCTGAAACCCAGGTCGGTCTGTCGAGATACTCGGTGACTATTAAACTGTGTGACAGCTATTGTCTCGGTATCGGTGACTATCAAGTTGTGCAGTGACAGCAGGTGGCGTTCGTTGTATATACTATCGTAGGTTTCGGCTGACCTCTGTGGACACTCCGTTCAGGGGTAGCTCGGCACGATCAATATCAATGTTATGATGACACCAAGGTCTGGTGTGGGTGTTGATGATGATGAGGTTGATGGTGTTGGTGATGAGATTGGTGATGTCGATGATAATGAGGTTGATGGTGTTGATGATAAGATTGGTGATGTCAATGATAATGAGGTTGATGGTGTTGGTGATAAGGTTGGTGGCGTCAACACGAGTGTCCAGTGTGTTGACTTGATGCTTTGAAGTGATCCCCGGACCGCAGTGGACTACTGCCTTCGGTTCTATCTATATCCGGACCGCTAACCTGCTATGGGCGCCTTCGGACGTCAGGTAGTGGTGATACAACACACACACTACGATGAGGAGCAACCTTGATAGATTGCTGCTATGCTGACTGAAACTAATGTATACTTATGCTGAAGTGATAACTAGTTATGGTGAGTAGAGTGGATGAGGATCCA